TAGTCATCTGCCGTGGTGGCGTTCATGAAGGTCTCCTCCAGGTGGACACTGGTGTCGATACCCCCGGGCAGGACCAGTTTTCCAGAAGCGTCGATCACTTTGGCTCCACCTGGAATCATCAGCTCCTTCCCCACCTGCTGGATGATGCCATTCTCGATGTAGACGTCGGCCTCCTGGGTGCAGTCATCGTTCACCACCTTGCCTCCTTTAATCAGGATCCGCACCATTGCTGAGCTGGAAGACATGGCTATAGCTCTGTAAGGAAGAGGGGATAAATTAGGTATTAATACATTTTTAACCTTTTTTTCTCAAGTATAGTTGGCAGCTGCTAAAACTGTGGTAAACTGACCAAATGTAAAACCAATAAACTACAAAAAGCCCAAGAAAAGTTACAGCTACAGCAACTTTTTCTTTACTTTTTTAAAGTACCTCATTCTGACACAGTGTAGTAAGTCTAGCAGAGACAAGAATCAGCAGTGCTGCTCTGTGGCCAGTCTGTCAGGCTGTGACTGACATCAGCTACAGGACTGAGTAGTAGGCTGTGTCAGTCACTGCCTGTGACCTGACGTCCCAGTGGACAGTGATGTAGTGGTAAATAGAAAGAAGCTGAATCCAGTTGTGGATCACAATCAGGCAGACAAGAGTCAATAAGGCCATTATTTTGAAAGTGTAAAGCTACTTACAATGATGTCCACTCACAATGAAGCTATATAGAAAGAATCGTAATGGCTGAAAAGTAAGAATTAAGTGAGTTGAGGTGGGTTTTCTTCCACAACACGCATGCCAAATAGCTCTACTCTACCTCTCTGCTACAGGGCTTCGCAATCAGTGGGTCAGCACCCCACAAAGGGTTGCAAGATATATCTAAGGGGTTGCCAGATGATAAGGCATTAGACAGTAGGTTATAATGTAAAAACTAATTTTGGGGTATTATGTTGGACAAGTGGTTGAGAGACATACTATGTCAATGCAACGTCCCTGGTTCAATTCCAGCCAGGGACCTTTGTTGTGTGTCTTTCTGCCTTGTTTCCTGTCTGTCTCTATGCTATCACCTCTGTCATAAAGACCAAAATGCAAAAATATTACACAAAAGTATGTTCATTTTTAAAACTTTTCTATACTCTTTGCTTCTTTAATTGTCAAATAGTTTTACTCATTCAGCATCTAAAATGATTCTTACTAAACAATCTCTGAATCAGTGTTGGTGTTGAACTCATAGACATGCATCCACATGTAAAGTAAACCACTGAGGATAATGAGGTCATGTCTTCAGTATATTTTATGTTATGTGTAATGTATGTTACAGACTGATTCCAGGATTTTTGAACCACAAAAATGAATAATGGAATATATAACATATAATATATATAAATAATGAAAAGTATATCTTTATGTTCTCAAGTGCAATTTGCAGAACTGCAGGGGGTGAATTTTGGGAGGAGGGTGGGGTCTTATTTCTACAATTCTGGCTACAGTCCTGGGCACAACCACAAGGCTGCTCCACTCTGTTCTGCTCTTTAATCTAAACAACACAAAAATCACAGGCAAAATAATGCAAACATTAATTTCTTTAAATCAGTTACTGGGCAGACTGGGTTTGATGATATCAGTGATTATCTATTTAACAATAACAAAGAAGATCTGCCTCCTCCCTTCCCTTTTACACCACTGTATTAATGATGTGAGGTATTGTTTGTGTGTGTGTGTGTGTGTGTGTGTGTGTGTGTGTGTGTGTGTGTGTGTGTGTGTGTGTGGAGTGTGCCCATCCTGCGTGCTTGCGTGCATGTGTGCGTCCAGGATGCGTACGTATGAGGGTGCGGCAACTTTACTGCATGGCATGGACTCCTTCACACATCCAGATCTGATGGCTGATAATGTGGAGGATGCTTTATTATTAAATGCTCATGCATTGATACTATCAGGCCACAAGCTAGAAGACGATGCACTAGCACAGTATTTTCCTCTGTGGATTAAACCCTGGAAGCAGCTACAGGCTATAATAAAGTTATTGTTATATTAAAGGGGCCTATTGCTCAGTAACCACCATGGAAGTTGACGCCGGGTAGTCAATAATAAAACAGGTGAGCTTACCTGCTGACTTGCACGATGAATCAGTGTAAAGAAAGTGTTTTTTATAAATAAAACATACATCGACTGCAGATTCAAGATATGCAACCACAATATGACCTACAGTTTAAGTCACTTTGGAGTACAATTATAATACTACAGGCCCTGGTACTATATTGCTCAAATATCCTTACAGCCTATATTTCTATATTTGTCCTTCTATTACATTTGCTACAAATCAAATGCAATCTCAACTATATGCCAGTTGCTATCATAAGCAGCCTATCCAGCCTAAATAATACCATCTTACAGCGACAATGTGATCGCAGTGACATGATGACACTTCTACTTCTGCGACTTGACACAAAGAAACCGGTCTCCATCCGGCATGATCGGCTGCACAGGCTTCATTACCGACCTAGAAACCGCCTTCTCTAACTCGCAGTCCTCCCTAGTCCCTCCTCCACAATAAAGACCAGCTTGCAATGCAACGGCGCTACGGTGGCCTCGCATTATAAGCACACAGCCCTCCGGCCAGGTGGTAGTTGTACTTCAGGGTGTGTATTTATCCTGAGAGGGTGGCAGGCACAGCAGGCAGGGCAGAAAAACCCAGGCGTTTAGCCAGGGGGCATGGAAACAAAGTCCAGCAGGGCATTCCTCTCTCTCTCCCCCCCCCCCCCCCCCCAGCAGACCAGAGCCGCTGCAGCCAACTAGTGAGAATAATGCTGATGATGTGGTCCACATACCTCCTCTATGGGCCTGCTGCTGCTGTTCCACTCGGCTCTCTGGTTACTTTCTGACAGGAACAGAATGCAACACAATCCGTGGATGGCACTTCCCAAGGAGACACACACGCACGCACACACACACACACACCTACACACACATACACACCAGATGGATGCCTTCCTGGCCGGTCCGGGACCAGCAGTACGCAGCATCATCACCATCAAGTCAGCAAGGAGATGTAAGGGAGACTTCCGGTTGTGGCTTTCAAAATAAAAAAAAAAAACCCCAACAAATTATTTTCCTTTGCAAAAGAGTAGGGAGACAAAACTTTAAAATCAGGTTGAAATGCCGTTTTGTTTCACTTCATTCACTCTAGTTGAATCACTGAACAAGGTCTGGTAGCAAACTATGACTGAACTGACTGATGAGGCATCTGTATGAAATTAAAATTCATTTTCACCCATAGGGCCTATGTGATTTTAAGAGCTTTACTACCAGCCTCATTCATATTTGTGCAAAATATTTTCTCCTGCCATGCTCTTGGCTAGAAAATACCCTGCATGGGTCTAAAAATACTGCTTTTGGAAAAAGCTTTTCTTCTGCCTCATACTGTATATACTTAATAGGACTATAATCATCAGTAATGATTAACATGAATCAGTTAATAAAAACCTCTCAAAACTAAAGACATTTTTGCAAATTGCTCACTGTGTGATCTAGTAGGCCACTACAATTAAATGCAATCGTGTATATGTTTGTAAGTGTGCCAGTGATATATGCCAATGTAACTGCTGAAACGCATACTCTTCACAAATATGTACATCAGGCAATAACAAGCAATAATTTAAAATCATCTGATCAAACTTTGTATTATCTAACACAAATAGGCCCTACAGTGGCTTAATTGTCAACAAACCAGTGTGATCTTAAAGAGTTTGACTACTGTACAAGCACACACTTTTATGCTTTTATTTTGTAGGCCAATCGCTAGTGTTCCGGTGCCATTCTATGTTTCTGTGGTCAACTTGATGCGGCTCGCAGCATCCAGGCCGTGAGACGGTGCGACGCTCCAATCAGCAGCGCCGAGTGAAGGCTTGGTCGCCTAAGCAACCAATTACTTTGGACTTAGGGCGTGTCCACTGTGAGGAGGCTGTACCACTATCAGGAAAAGAGGGTGGCATAAAGATAACAGCAGAGTGAGACTGCATAATAGATTATTATAATGTATTATTATGACTGTTATCATGGATTTAATGGCTTAAATTTCTCTGTGAGCTTTAATTGGATATATTGATAGTCTAGTCTTTCTTATGTCTTACCTTACATGACCCGGGCTTGATCTGCCACAATTATAATGGAAGAAAAAATAAACATAAAACAGATAGATAATATATTTATGAGCAAATGGCATTAGTAGGAAATGTAAGTGCAAGCCAATAAACTCTAAATTGATGGCTGAATGGAAGACTGCAGAGTGGCAACATGTTCAGGTCTGATCAGAGAGGAGCTGTAGGGCAACACCCTTATTTAAAGGACTGAGGGTGGTGAAGACCCAGGTGTCAAGACCCGGAGTAATAAATACCCTGCTGGAGGGCACAATAGCATGGAAACTGGAGCTGAATATCAATGTCCATTACCCCCATCAGACCCCTGACAATTAGAAGCTGAAACAGAGTCACATGAATATTTATTATGGTTAAAATGCTCCAATATCCAAAATATCATCATCATAATGAGACTGTGTGTCAGTGTTGGAAGCCCATTTCTGCCACTTGTGAAAAGTTTTGCATTATTAGTTGTTTTTCTCCCCATAATTCAGATTTTATTATATCATGATTATCAGATAGTTTTTCATAATTACAAGATTTATCATAATCCTGACTGAGTTTCTCATAAATATGACAATTATTGTGTGATACTATCTACAAATTACTTTTTATTCTATTAGTAAGATCTCTGCTTTCTACTATAACAAGTAGAAAATGTTCTGTCTGCCATGTGTCTCCTTTGCGCTTGGAAGACGAGGGTGTAGAGACCAAAATGCTACTAAATCCAACAAACGACAATGTTGTCCCCCCCAAAAAACACATTATCTTGGATTGTGGCACATTTAATAGTGAATCTATAATGTTATGGAGAAATGCTTGAGATTGGAAACTAAATTAAATATGAATAATTAAAAAAAACGGACAGGAGGTGGTGGATTTTTTTGCACAAAAACAATACATTTATTCAAGTGTTCTCCAGCACAAGTACATAGGGAGCCTGTATCTTCTTTCTGGACACTAAACATAAGTCTGGGGGAGGGGGGGTCAAAGTGGAGAATGACTGCTACATTTGCTGTACGAACTGTTCTTGAGGAGAAAGCGTATAGGCCATAAACAGTTATGACATATAGAATTATTGACCTGCCTTGAACATTAAAAATGAAATGTTGTTTCTGGTAAAAAATAACAATGAATTCAAAACAACATTTTGAAAACAGACATGGAGAATATTACGGCATGGAATGTACGATTAAGAAGCAATGCGTATTAAGCATATATTATGCTACAGTAAAACGTATTACTGGTTTTTTTTTTCTCACACGATTTTCCCACAGATAAGCACCAACTACAGCAATCTCTAGTCTAAAACAATATAGGAAACCTTTCATTATTCCTTATCCTTATTTTTTCAAGTACAAAGTTAAAATGCCTTTGTTAATATATTTATATGAGTGAAATAATAGTTATTTTTCCGTTACTACAAGGAACTTAAAAACAGTCAATGTCGACACATGTTTATTTCTCTTCCAATCAAATATATTTTAGATAAAATGTTTAGCACCATCGGAAACACCTACAATCCCTCTTACAAAAGAAAACAGAAGCAAAAAAAACAAAAAATGTAGGGCTGTGCAGTGAAGTAGAGACCGTTCATCTTAATGCTGTCCATTGGCCACTATTAAGATCACAACAATAAATCTGGATTCACTTGACACAAAAAAGAATCGGTACGATAAAGTCGACTTGGAGTCTCCCTACATCTAATGCTAAAAGCAAGTTTTGAATCAAAATTGTCACTTGATTTTTATTTTTTAACCTAAGAATTTTCCTAATTTGATGATATATATTAGCAAAGAATTATATTTGTACATCTCATAGGTAAAAAAAAACAAAAAAAACAAAAATTAAAAAACAGCAACCGGAAAACTCTATGTACATATATACAAACATGAGGGTATGTTAAGTATTATAGGAGGAGGGGAAAATAACATCTGGTTAAAATATCACAAAGCACAATATCTCATATTGAGCCTGGTGTGCGTGGACAAAAATTATGTCAATAAGGTCACTTAAGAAATTAGTTACATTAAGAAATTAAATTTCAAATTTTGAATCTTAAATATGATATAGATAAGCGATAACATCTGTTTTTTTATTACCCTCTTTATTCTTTGAGTGCTGACAAGCACTGTGTCAGTTTTACGTTTTGACAAACTGCCGCCTAAATCCTCCATATTTAGCTTAGAGGTTACAATCAAGAGAATTTAGTTTGTTAATGTAATCCAAATTTGGATCAGCACTTAAAATTTGTCAACATGACGACTACGATTTATCAGGGCCAACTGTCCTTCACAATGGACACAATATTGTACAAAGCGCATGACATAGTTCTTAAACTCTGTCTTACATTTTACAATCTTAATAGAAATAGATATTTTATGAATCTGGGTAGTAACATACTGTATCGCTGTTTTCAAACAGAGAACAATATTGATGATGGAGGAGGGAAAGGGGGTTTGGGGTTACAAATGTCAATCCATCTACTATACACTGAGTCAAAAAAAATGGGTTTCACATATCAAAATCCATTCTTCCACTTCTATTGGCACAGCCCTACTATATACAAAAAGTATTACACGAGGGCAGATTCACATCATAAAACATAACAACATAAACAATTCACAAGAACCAATATTTTTTTTAAAAATATCAAGAAAAAAAAAAAAAAAAGAAAGTATACATATAAAAGTGCTTTATAATGTTGATAAACCAGCACAAAATTGCTATAAAAAGGTAGAAGAACTTTGTGAAGCCGCACCATATTGTTGAAGATTTGCACCTGACAGTTTTTCAGTTTAGAGAGGTGAAAGTTGAGGAGCAGAGATACCCGGCCTGGTCAACCTACCTCCCTCCAGCAACCACACTTGCTAACAGTTGTACAGTAATGTCATTGGTCAGGATGAAACTAGAAAAAAAAAATAGTTTCACAGACATTGATCTTATGGTTTTTTTTTTTTTTTTTTTTGAATGACAGAAAACATCATTTCCCATGTGGCTAGCTTCACTTTCTGTTTGTGCAGATCCAGGTAGTGAGCCTGAGTGTGGCAAGGCTGAGAGATTAAATGAGCACCAGTACAAATTGTATAAAAGCTGTAAAATGCAAAAAAAGAGGAGATACTCTATTTTGCAGTCTACTGTCTTTGAAGTGAACAAAACGGCACGGAGCAGAATTGTTTTTTTTTTTCATCAAGTGTAAATACATCACATGTTTTTTCCAGCAACAGGTTGAAGAGCTCCGTATTGTCTAAAGTCATAGTGCCACATGGGCTATGATGTTTCTCATCATCTTGGAGCACCATGGTATTGTAACCATATTACAGTAGTACCGTTATTACCTTCAGTTGTGTATAGAAACTGTAAACAAAGAGGTATATGTGATCTGGTGTTTTGGATTCTTAAAGACACAGCTCTCCTGACACTGAAGAAAGTCGGCTTTCTCTTTCACATCTCTGTGAGGCTCAGTAGCTGGAAGCATGGCTGCACTGCAGGTGGGAATCTCACAGCCACGACGTACAGTATGCTCACACAGCAGAAACATTTCACATATCTTAAAACCATGTCCTATATCTTTCAGATCTTTCCCATCGCGTTACCGTCTCTTTTAAAATTCATGTTTAGCACTTTTCTGTCTCAGTGTCTTCAGAAGAAAGCATAGTCTCAAGTATAGCTTGCACAAACAAATCAACAATATTTGATAACACTGCTAAAAGGTAAAATGACATATCAAAATTAAATAGAATAAGAATTACAATTCAAATACAAGAAATAATGTGATATCTACGTCAATGTTTCGCTTGTAAATTATACAAGAGTATAATTTGAGGAGCAAGGCTCTTATTTCTACTCACAACATGTAGTTGTAGTTCCTAAATGGTTCCGAGTGAGTTTTCTTGCTGCTCAGGCACAGGCAAAGTATTCTTTGAGTGGTGCAAACAGGTGGCGGATAACCGGGACACTCCATGATCTTCCCAGGAGCCTCTGCCTTGCCAGTCGGCCCATGTTGGACACGTCCGTATAGTGAACTGGGAAGCCAAAGATCCTGACAGGGAAACCAGCCCGACACAAAACAACCAAGAGGACAGACAGACAGGCAGGGAGCAGAACAGGGGAAGACACAGTAAGATCATTTTAAAAGATTCGGATTCCTGGAAGAGCTGTGAAAGGTAGGATGTTTACATACCTCTCCATCTCAGTGCACCAAAGTATGTCGTCTTTCTCATTCATGAAGACTGGGAAGTGCTGGTCCTTGCCCTGCTTGATGGAATTAGACCGGGTGGTGATGGTCCTCACCTTGCCAAACTGACAGAGAAAAAAGGCAATAAGAGTTATATTAGTCTGTGAGTCTAACTAGTTCTATGTTTTTTCATCCTTTGACACAAAAAAAACAGAGATTTACTGTATCACAGATAGGATTTTTTGTTTGGCTCCCCATTAGCTTCCACAAAGTGGTTGCTGGTCTTGCTGCAGTCCACACATCAATTAATAAACATAAGGTTTCTGGATTCAGTTAAATACATGAAATGTCATGATATTTTCAGTACTGACTGATTGAGTAAAACTGTTACCTCTTGCTGCCACTGGGAGCCGCCCGTGTGCTTTCTCCAGCTTGGAGCGATACAATTAAATATGTTGTTTGTTTCTTCTGTATTTGCTTGTTTTTTAAGTTTAAATTACAGTTTTGACTGTCACAGACTGGTTTAATACACTTATTGCCTCAACCGAATTAACTTAATGTAAGGAATGTAGAGGTGTCAGACTGAAGTCCACAGGTTCATACAGAGCATCCAACAAGTTGCGGACAAATCACCAGGTGGTGCACGTTGTTGTAATATATTTGTTATATCACACAAGTACCTTGGCTATTCGGCCGTGTTCTAAACATTCCTGGAGGTCCAGCCTGTCACTGCACATAGCACTCAAAGGCCTGAAAAGCAAAAAAAGAACAGGAGCCACAGTTGTTATTTAGATGTTAATTTCTCCTGAACTATCCACCAAGATCAGCTTGAAAGTAGGCCAGAAATAGGCTTGACTTGTCTACAACAACTAATTTAATAGCTGTAAACTAAGTTTAGGGTTTTGGAGAGCTGTTACCTGATTGTAAAGTGTTCGTTTTCTCATACTGAGCTCAGGGGATGCAGTCTGAATGTGCAAAGCTACAAATATTGGCGCTTGTGAACGAAACCAAGACTGCATATGAAAAAGAGAATTTATTTCCCAATTTTAGTTAATATATGACTGGAATAGTCACTCTCTTAACTAGGGCTATGTTAAACAACAGTTCTCTCTTTGTGTATGTCACAGACTCCTGCTTCCCTCACCATTCACACACCAACCTGTTCATGCCAGGAAGGTTACCCCAGAAGTAGCGAGCACGGTGGGCAGCAGACACTTCCTTGGCATCGATCATCACTGGGTTGCACTGAAATCAAAGTAACGCAGAGCAGAAAAGACACCAGTTAGAGAGGAATCAAGGTAATATGCTGTTTTACATATTATTTGTATACATAGTTGATACTTGATAGCTCACTATTACTGGCAACAGTTTGAACTGACTAAAATCAATTTAGGATCAGGTGTAAACCTAAGTCAGCATCAATGCACTTTTCACTACCATTTAAAAGGGGAGTCAAAAGCCAAACAAAGCTGCTATCTAAGAATACATTAAAGAACAATAAAACACATCATTGGATCAAGATTAAGAGAGTCAGTGTTCCTGCCTAAAGATAATGAATTAGTGCCACAAGGGGGCATTCATAATCCATCAATCCTTTTGTCAGTGGAGTCACGTCGCACTGTATCTACACTGAAGTCTAAGATTTAACTAGTTGGTAGAAGTTATGACAAGTTACGACCTGTAGGATTAGATAAAGAACCTGACTTCTAAAAAGCGAGATATGTCCCTCTTATCGCTGACACCCATGGCAACCACATTTTCAAAGAGCCAGAAGAAAGGCCGGTCGTCTCCGTCCTTTGGTCGAGTCTCATGGAGCAGCCTGTAAAACTCAAAGAACAGGCGGCCGGTGCCTCCTGTGGGACAGACAGAGTCATTAAACAGTGCTGAAGTACAGTAAGGGGCACATACTGACTGTCTATTCTGATAAACAACATCATAAAAAAAAACCTACCGTAAAGACCTTTCCTAGCAGGATTGACTATAGAGAGGTCATTGCATGGGCTTCCTCCAATAACTAGGTCAAAGGGACCCCACTCCTGTATCTGTATACAGATTAAGACAGAGACAGTATAGACAATGATATGTTGTAAGATAAAGTGACCAAGCATTACAATCCTCCAACTTTCAGGCATTTGTGTAACAAATACTTTTTATTGAAGCAATTCAGTCTTAATTGTAGAGTCTGGTGGATGCTTTAAAAATGTCTTTATTGTGTTCTAGTCTCCAGTCTCTACCTTTAATCAGTTCATGCACGTTGGTAATATTATTTTTGTTCTTCTCTTGGACATATTGAATGTCACTGGCCAGGAATCATGTAATATTATGTCAGTAAATTGTACATCTGGCATGTTAAGGACTTTGATAGTCAGGTCAAGAGAGTCTACAGTATTATGTTCGGGAGGCTTAGTGTGCAGTTACTGTTGTTTAGGCAACTTCAGGTCTCACGCAAGAACATTTTTGCATTCTTATCCTAAACTTCTCTTTTTTTTCTGCTTGTATTGTGTTTCATGTCAGATTCACCAAACTCTCTTAGCTGCACAAACTTGTTGTAAATCACATGTTTCATCCTGATGAGTGCCACCTGTTCATGAGTGCGTGAGATTTCATCATTAGCGTAAGCTCCACTCCTAAAACTGTCAAATAACGCAATAACTGCTACGTCTGCGGGTACGTTTCATTCACAAAAATGTTACCAAATAGTAAAAAAAAAAAGAATTTCACACCTCAGAGCTTCAAGGCCTGCTGTCAGAGATCGGCAAACAAATGTAGCAGAGTCAGTACAGTGGCATTACACAAAACAATATTAATAGTACAGCTGTCAACGGCGTGTCATCAGAGCAGCGCTGCAGCTGTCGAAGTGACAGAAATGTTTTCGCAAATGCCGAACTGTATGTGTTACGGAGCTGAATATGCCAATAAAATATATAAAAACCCAGCTGGGAAACTGTGATGACAATGATCTGGTGAACAGAATGTACTCTATAGTTTTTCTTACATATTAAATATACGTTAAACATTCTATTTAAGGTCATATATATATATATAATATTGAACTCCAAATTCATTCAGAATGCCGCAAATTCTCTTAAATCCCACATAAGTCCCACGAATCGATTCGAAAGAGTGGTTCTTCTGTGTGAGAAAACATCTGTATATCAGAATTTTGAGCAGGGAGAACGTGTTACATCCTCCTTGGGGGTAACTACATGTATATCGGAGCCCTGTTTTGTGATGAGGGGTGATAAGCAGGTATTTTATATGTAGTATTAATATAGTTTTAACGACAGCAGAGAGTCAACCATGCTCTGTTGCAGTTGAGCTTCTTAAGGCGGGGCACACATTAGAACTGTTATGAAAATATTATTTGCACGTTGCGACAGATCGGATCAAGCTGCAGTCTGGGTCGGTTGGTGTTGACATTTGGGAGATAAAATGACATAGTGTGCGGTGTTGAGAAATTCTAACACTTTGTTCTCCAATTCGCTTCTTTCAGTAGAGTTTATGTTTCATGTTGCAATCATTTCTCCATCTACCGTCTCGTCCAAACACAGATTCTTTACCTTTTTCTGCACAGATAACAGTATAAATGAGCAGTGTTCAAACTCTTTTTGGACAAATTTGGGTTTCTGTTTTGTTACAGGAACAGAGAGAATTCATGTTCTTGCAGGTTTTCTGCGGTTTCCTAGCAACACATCTGTAATCGTAGCCAACTATCACTCATGCTATCACTATCACGCATTGTCTCTGCCGCGATTTGATCAGTCTTTGTGAGTTCGTTCCTACTCATTAGTTACCAGCAAGGCTGCTGTTATATAATCCAACTATTGCATGAATGTGAAGCATAGTTCAACTGAAAAAGACCATACACAATTCACACAACCACCTAAGCAAAAAAATAAATATAAAGCTGCAAGCAGCGTTGGGCGGGACCTTGCACTCCACGTAACTCGGGGGGTGGTGCGGCCGCGTCACATGCCGTCGTAACATGTTCGGACCACAACATGAAATTTTCACATCACCCAACTCCCAAGCCCTCATCGCCAGAAGCTGAGGGAGACCACGCTACGTTGTCACACATTTCAGACACTGCAAAAGACTTACACTTTCATAGAGAGACTCTTCACTGCGAAAGGTGGAAATTCAGCGCCACGCCACGGACACAGTTTGACACACAGTAAATATTTGATTGACTTATGATCACCAATGTGTCTAGATTGCAGTGATCGAATATGAAGTCAATATGATAAAATCTGTAGGAGTTAGTTGAAATAGAAGCCCTGAAATACCGGAAATGGCATCACAGTGGCCGACTTTGACAGCACGCCATGGACATGACCTTCAACGTACAGTCACAAAAAGCACGGCGTTCATTCAGCAACATTTTTTTACTGTACTGACCAAATTTGAAGTCAAGCCAATAAAACCTGTAGGAGGAGTTAATTAAAATAGAAACCCGAATAGCCAGAAATGGCATCACTGTGTGAAATTTGATTCAAAATGGCCAACTTTGATGGCACGCCACAGACACGCCCTTCAACGTACAGTCACAAAACGAAGAGCGTTCATTCAGCAAATTTTTTTGACTGTACTGACCAATTTTGAAGCAGATCCGATAAATTCCCTAGGAGGAGTTCCATCAAATACAAGCCCAAAAAGTGAAAATGACCACAAAATGGCTGACGAGAGTGAAAATTAAAATGAAAATAGCCGACTTCCTATGGGTTTTGGGGCAAGGGTCTAACAGGCTTTTTTGTACGTCTCAGCACGTTACACGTGCCTACCGAGTTTCATACATATCGGTGAAACGTGGCGCCGGGGCTGCTTTTTAAAAATCCTGTAGGGGGCGCTAAAAACACGACAAACACGATTTTTGGTACGTGAGCTACAGGCACCAGTCTACACGTGTCCTGTGAATTTCATATTCATAACTATTACGGTCTCCGCAGAGAGATTTACCCTGCCACCAGAGCGCCACCTTGTGGCGTGATTTTTTTTCCTTTTTAGGGGAGCCTCAGGGAGCCATGGGCAATCATTGTACCGAGTTTAGTTTTAATCACACTTGCCGGTGCGGAGATATAAACTTCTTCATTTTAAACAGCGCCACCTTGTGGTGATGACCTGAAATTATGCATTATGCCTAATGGAGACATAAGGAACTATTGACACAAGGTTGGTGTCAATCGAACATACCAATGTAGAGGAATACCCCACTTCCTTTTTTGACGAAAAATCAACAGGAAGTGCTAATTTTATAACGTGTTTATTTTTTGAAATATCAAAATACTTGAAATTACTTTTTTTGCCAGGGCGTGGCCTATATAGGGAGATTCAGCTCCATTCACCGAATGCATGGCAATAAGGTTTTTGAATCTGAGACAAACAATGTGGGAGTTATTAGCCTATTGAAATTTGCCTAAAAAGTAGCGCCACCTAGTGGCCTTCCTAGTGGCTGACCTGAATGTGATGCATAGAGTATCCAAGATCGCACCAGGCCCGACAACTTTGCCAAATATAATAGACATAAATTAATTAAATAATAAATTAAACTCACATTTCTGCGTGTGACGTTCCTCACATCGCCAACATACATGATGCGACCCTGATGCTTGACGTGACCCACAGTGATAGAGTCTTCACACACTTCAGAAGCTACATAGCGATCCACTTCAATGCCGAGTTCTTTCAGCACCAACAGCCCTGCATGGATGGGGTCAAAGGTCAGGCAGAACATAGAAAACTAAAGCTTGGAGCGGCAGCTGTCTCTGACTAAAACAAAAAAAAAAAAAACCTATGCTGAGTAAAACTGAAACAGACAACTCAATTTAATTTCAAGCTAAAAGCACTCTCCCCTCATCAATATAATGCTTTGATGTCAGTCACATATTGACATATTGACAACTAGGCACCGTAAAAAGTAAAAAAAATCTCCAATAAGAGTTCTTTTTTATTCTGCCACGACCAAAATTCTTATGAAAATGTCAGTTTTAATAAAAAAAACAAAAACGGGGATTTAGTGTAACTTGATACAAACAGAGGATTTCATACAGACTTTGATCCAGTTCTTGTCTAACCTGTTGCTATGCCGTCAAATAATGACAGGACCCGAATGGGCTTCCTCTTCTCCACCATGACTGGGGGGTAAACCTTTGGTGTTTCCTGAAACACAACACCGAGAGAGAGGGGGGTAAGAAAATGAGACGTAGAAAAAAAGAGTCCTCAATGATTCAATGTTGGTGGGATTTATAGCCTAAAAGGCGCATAACTCACAAAATCTTGGTCGTGATTATTTGCAAAGAAGTGCTGGAGACGGCTGGGCCAGTCAGCGCGACGCCCCAGTAGACCAAACACACTCTTCTGACCACACATGTAGCAGTTCCACGGGTCCTCTTTGATGGCTGCATGTGCCGCTCCTTGACCAACGAGGAGGTCGACACACTCCACACAGAAACACCTGAAGAAAAACCATGAAAGTTAATTAGTACCTAGTTAAAAGTGTCACAGACAGGGAAGTGAAGTCAAAAATCATTGAACGCATTGTTGATTTCTGTCTTTTAATGGGATTGTTGACAATAGTCATTTATTGCACAGCTTAATTTAAAGGATAAGGCTAACTGACAGTTCACTCCTCCCAAAATCAATTTCTAAATCCACCAGAGTCAGAAACAGGTCACACAGAGCACCTTGGTAGCTAAATGGTTACAGCGCATGCCACGTGGCCAAATGGTTCAATTCCTGCTAGTGTTCTCTCTCCCTCTTTCCTGTCTACCTGCCACTATCATATATGGCAAAAAAAGGAAAGAAAAAACAGGCCACACAATTACAGTATCACTCTTCGTTTCACATCTTCAAGGCCTAATTTTAAGGGTTTTGAATGAGGTTTGGGAGTTTTTTGAGGCAGCGAGTTATCATCCAAATGTCAAATGCCATCATCTAAATACACAGCAATCCTTTGTTTGCTGATTGGCCTCCAACATGTGACTGACAAGGCTTAATCTGTTCTCAATGGTATTTTTCTAGACTTTAATTTAGCTGTGTGAAGACACTTTATGAACATTTCTTTATACGTGACAGTGGTCTATTCAACTGACATACAACCACACTTTATATAATATTTGTGATCAGCTGCTTCTCCACTGGACCTCCATGATGGTGCTGACATCAGTGCTATGAGATTTTTGTGAGACCACTACAAAGCCTCTATTATGTATTCAATATGCGCAATGATGGCACAATTATGAGGGGTACAAGACATTATTCATTCTGGCCCTCTCACATACATACATTCTCCTTTCACATTCATACATTTTTACTCTCACATTCATATATTTTAACTCACACATTCATACATTTTTACTCTCACGTTCATATATTTTCACTCACACATTCATATATTTTTACTCACACATTCATATATTTTAACTCACACATTCATACATTTTTACTCCACATTCATATATTTTCACTCACACATTCATATATTTTCACTCACACATTCAAATATTTTTGTTCTCATGCATGTGCAATCAATGTATACATCTAGTATAAATAATATATGTATGTAAGAGAAGAATATATGTGTGTGTGAGAAGAATATGTGTGTGTGAGACAAAGTATACATGAAACGGAAGGACAATAATGGAAACGGAAGGCAGGCCATTTTATCGCGCTGTGATTGGCTGATAAGTTGGTGCGAGGTCATGTACAGGTCATGATTAACATGGAAGGAAAAGAGGAGACCTGTGCACTGCAGCAAGCCGTTGGGGTATTAAGAACTATTTTATCATCATCTGAAACAGTCACATCGTTGTCCTCGTCCCTTGAGCAGCGGAGGACAAGCTCATCAGGACCTGACGTTACTCACAGCACGGCGGAAAGTGAGACGAGAGAACTTTTCAGACCTCGAAACTCCCAAGTCAGCCAGCATTATAGAGCAGGTGAGGAGAGACATGGCTGACACTCTCCCAGCTCCATCATATTTGATCTTTCAGTAGATTATAATATATCTTTTAACACCATAATCAACCAATGTTGACGATAACCAAAACTGCTAACTGCAACTTTTGGTATTTTGAGCGTTCTGGAATTCTAGCTTCTAATTCTAGCTTGTGTAGCTAAAGTGAAGAGTTCTCAGCAGTAGCAGGTTCAGTCAGTCCATATCAAAATATTGTCAGAACATGCAGTATATGTTTAATGGAATGTAGACCAGAAATACAGAACTTTTTTTTTCATTCCTAAATGACAGTAGAGGGTTATTAATGTAACTAATGTAACCCCGTGTATGGGGTAAGTTGAGCCGTATCCCTACTCCCCCTCCACCCTCCTCCACACCTCCACCCCACCCCTCCCTCACCTTCTCCCTCCCTAAATAACACTCACTTCTTCACATTCATGTGTATTTTATTTATTTGTAACAGGTACAATAACATTTTTTTAATTATTATTGCATATTACTGCTAAACAGCTGTTTTGTGAAAAAACATTTTAACATGAGAATACCTTAAAGTACGCTTAGGAAGAGAACATTAACAGCTATGTTTTTGGATACACTTATTGAGTGTATTTTGGCTGTAGCCACGAGCTACCATTTTGGATCACCCCAGAGCTACCATTTTGACTTTATTAGTCCCCACAGCTAAAATGGTGCACTTTTATGCTAGGTTTCATGTTGTGGTCCACACGTGTTACAACGGCACGTGACGCGGCCGCAGCACGCCCCGAGTTGCGTGGAGTGCGAGGTCCCGCCCAATGCTGCTTGCAGCTTTAATTTTTCTTTGCGTTACACATGACCCCTCACAGTAGGGCCACTTCAACATTCAAGTCAACAGAAAAGCACAATATTTTGAAAATATTAACATTACTAACATTAACAACACAAAATAATATCAGTTTACATTTATTTTACACAGGTACAGTATTTGTAAGCAGACATAATTTCATTGTTGGGTTGGCTCTGCATAAAACATCTGCATCATGTACTAACTTTTCACTCTCCAGACTTGCTATTATCGCCAGGTTCAATTCCTCATCGTCAGAAGACGTTTCAGAGAGTGCAGCCATTACTGAAAGGTAGTTCTCATAGTTTGCTGATTGATGGTGTGTTGAGGTATAGGCAGAACAATAACTTGCTGGGATGCTGCTCTGGTAGGGTGAAGTTGAGATATCTTCACAAGTCAGGACCAGAGTTGGATCAACTGTAGTTATTCCTCTTGATGATGAGGTAGAAGGCTGTCTGGTAGAAGGGCAGCTCTCCAGTGGACATACTGGCACCTGACCAGAAGAACTGCTTATTTCAGTTAGTCATTTATAATCACAGTTTGGACATAATAAAAACAAATTACCTTACATCAGTAGAGAGTTTTTCTCCAAAGGCATCCCATATTTGTTCAGTGACAGTTTCTCTGTCCCTGTTCATGTAACTGTTGCTTTGTGCCCGACGACAGCACTGCTCGATGATTTTGGAAGAAGGATGACATCTTTGTTGAAAGTATCGTGATAATGTGTTTTGGCCCTACAAAACAAAGCAGACTTGTTATTTTTGGATCCTTAATTACATGCCCTTTAACGTTGCATACTAGTACATACAATTATTTGATTCATTTAAATCAACAAGCTGATGGATAAACAACAACGAGACAAAGAAGGCTGCCCAAACAGCAAACTGCAATAAAACTCCTTGTACATTAAACTGGGCATTGTCAATATCTTTAGAGGGTTACATTAGTTACATTAATAACCCTCTACTGTCATTTAGGAATGAAAAAAAAAGTGAAAATGTTCTGTATTTCTGGTCTACATTCCATTAAACATACTGCATGTTCTGACAATATTTTGATATGGACTTTAGCTACGCATGTTAGAACTAGAAGCTAGAATTCCAGAACGCTCAAAATACCAAAAGTTGCAGTTAGCAGTTTTGGTTATCGTCAACATTGGTTGATTATTCACCTCGAACATTCTAAGGAGCTTGAAGGGTACACCTACCACTTCCGGGAATTCTTGCGTCGCGATTTCTCTTAGCGGCAATGGCGCCGCAGTGCTGTGTTCCCCAGTGCACTTCATCACACAGGAAAAAATCCAACAGAGGACAAACCTTTCACCGTTTTCCAGAGGATAAGGGACTACGTCGAGAGTGGATAAAAAAAATCAGAAGGGATCCTGGTCGTAATTTTAAGGTAAGTTTTCAGATAGCTGGTGCTTTGAGTCAGTCTCCATAACTAGAGAGAGCCAGGTTGTTAACATTTACCGCCTAGTCCAAAATTAATAGTATGTTATTTAAATCTACCACCACAGATTCACTCATATATAAGTATATTCTGAGTGAGCTTGTTTGTATTAGCTTCTAGTCACTAGCTAGTTAACCAAGGGAACATCAGTGTTCACATCAGTGTTCACATCAGTGTCCCTAGCTAGGAAAGGCAGGAGCAGGAGTCTGACAATAAAATTATCTTTAAAAATATTTAAACGATTACATTTCTTTATTGGTGCAGATAAAAACACACACAAAGGTCTCGACATTCCCCCAGACCCTTGTAAAAACCAGACTGGCATCACCAAGCTGAAACGTCCAACTGTGTTTGCATGGAGTCGCAGACCAGAGAGGAGGATCGTTGTTAGAACTGCAAGGTAGTATTTAGATGAGTGGATTTACCAGTTTGTAATGCATTTATCAACTGTGTAGTGACATTATTTCTCTGCTGATTATTTCCAGTAATGTTTCCACGGACCTCGTTGATGGTGTGAATGTGTTGAGGTATGTAAAGGTGTAATAATTATAACACTGTCACTGAGCCAATGATTATGCTGCTGTTGATGAACGGTGGTCTAACGTGAATTATATCAGTGTAAAGTTTAATTACAAACATCCAAATGCTATTTCATACGTTTTACAGTCTATGCGACATAAAAATCCATGTTTTAACCCATAAACATGCTTAATCCATGTATCCTTTTAAAAGACCTAATGTGTCCATCAATAGGTTTCTCTTATACTTCCAGTGAATAGACGCCCCCTCCCCACCCAGACCATGAATATGCTGCACTGCCTCCCTCACTTCAAGATCAACTTGAGGAAGCTCGCAAGACCATCTGTGAGCAAGAAGTGTTAATAGCAGAGCTTCAACAAAATGAATGTCAAATTTTCAAGGTGATGATAAACAGGTATTATTTTATACAGGGTTCCCAGATTATGCTACATTTAAAGCTGTGTTTATGGCCCTGCAACCTACTGCTGAAAATATGGTGGGATGGAGTCAGGCTCAGCGACTCAAACATACAAATGTGGAGGTAATTCGGCAAGGCTTTAGCGCCTCTAAATTGTCCACTATGGACCAGTTTTTTCTTTTTCTTTGCAGGTTGAGGTAGGGATTTCCTGAGCAGGACCCTGCAACTCGTTTCCATATATCACAGTCAACAGTAAGCAGGATCTGTGTGACCTGGGTCAACTTTTTGTACTATGTTGGGAACACTTCCAATTTGGCCTTCAAGGAAAACTGTGGATGAGCTTATGCCAGATTGTTTGAAATGCACGTTCCCAGGTACTAGAGTTATATTGAATTGCACAGAAATTCATGTACAGAAACCTAGCTCCAAGGTCCTTAACTCAGTGACTTACTCACACTTCAAAGGTAACGCCACATTTAAGGGTCTAATTGGCATTGCGCCCTCAGGTGAAGTGACTTTTGTCAGTGACTTATATACAGGTTCCATATCTGTCAAGGAGATTACAAAACAATCAGGTATCCTTTCTGTGCTTGAAGAAGGAGATATGGTCATGGCGGATTATGGCTTTCTCATCAAGGACCTTCTCTATGAAATACGTCTCCCTTGTAATCCCTCCTTTTTAAAGGCCCAAGTGGGCATTTCACTGCCATGCATGCCATTAGGCGGATTAAAGAGTACCATATATTTGATAAAGTGTTACCCATGACACTGGTGGGCTCCATTAACCAACTGTGGGTCGTTTGTGCCCTTTTAACTAATTTCCCAGGTCCTCTCTTTTGAAATTGTATTGTAAATATTTACCAATGTTATGTAAATATCTACAACTTTAATGTTGATATCCACAAATATATTCAAACCTTGTTTAAGAAGTGCTAATCTTTTTATGAATGTGTACAAAACCTTAACCATTAGGCCCTATTATTGCTCATCTTTACGAATATATACAAAACCTTAACCATTATTATTGTTCATTTTTAGGAATCTATACAAAACTCAAACTTTTATTATTGTTCATCTTTACAAATCTATATAACACCTTAACCGTTATTACCGGAATTGTTAATTTTTATGAATCTATACAAAACTCACCTTTATTGTTCCATTTTTTTTTAAGAATCTGACGTGGTAATCACTTCACATGCTCTTTGATATACCGGTGACTGATTTTTTTTTTATGTGTTGAGATATGTGTATGTATAAGCTACTGGATCTCCCTCCGAATTTCCCTCCATGTAAATTTATCTAAAGAATAAAGTACAATTTTATTACACATGGATGATGTCCTTCATAACTTTACAACTTAGTATACAGGAACCAGAACTGGTCAGAATATCAGAAAGAGGTCATTCAAAAACATTGACAGGCACACTGGTCTAGGTTTGTAAAGGTAACATTGTACATAAAAATTGGTATGGGGGAATACAAATGCTTGTATATTGTAAGTAAGGAAAAACGTACCGGAAAAGAACATTAGAAATTACATTAGGAACAAACAATTAAAAAACATTAACAAAAGAGAACTATAGAACTACTATATACATTCAGTGATGTATTACATATTACATGTTGTTACACACAGCAGGCAGAAAGTGGGTGAAAAAGAATGTGTCCAATTTACATTTCATGTTCTCCTACTCCTTTGGTTCGAAGTGCACCCGCTCCAAGTGATGGTCATCTTTGCATTTCACAAGAAAGTCACACCACTTCAACCCAGTGGTGCCCATCTGCCCCATCACTTGAAAATAGTACTCATGTGTGGTCGTGCGTTAGTGAGGCACTGCGGTCAATCACCTTTCGGTCAGGTGAGGCACCTAGGTGTGGGGCGTGGTGGTTGATGACAAAACCACAGGGGAAGATCTCAAAACCGGTGAGGTCTTGATAGTCGGCCGCAGCAACAGGCTCCAGCTCCAGGCTCCAGCTCCAGGCCTCGCTTCATCACCTTTGTCTGCACTGTCTTTTTTTTCAGATTGTCAGCTAAAACCTTGAAGTCTGCCACCCTTGAACAAATCCTCTTGAAGGAAGAGGCGGTAAGACAGTTGGTTCGGACTTTATGCCAGGTCTTACTATGGCTCTGTCCCCTAGTGTCGATCTCCAGCTGTATTGCAACAGCCTGAGTGACCGTCAGGCCACCATAGAAGCACGCCTCAGTGTCATCCAGAACTGTACTGAATGAGCATGGCTGTGATGGTAGAGGAAACGGGGGATCATCACCAGCCCTGGTAGACTGTGCTGTGTGGTAAGCACAGATCCCTTTGGAAGGTCTCCAAAGACCGCTTTCTGTTCTCCTCCAGCAGCTTGAACATCTGACTCTTGCTCTGTATTGCACTCAGGTTTCGGTGTAGACTCTCTGCAAAGGCATTTGATGGAAGCGGCAGTGACACAGGGCAGTACAGATTCGACATCAGACAACTTCAGAAGAGCGTTGCCTCTTTGGCGGGGGTGCGTTGGTCACTGCTGGTTTCAGCTTCGAAACACTTACAGAGCTCACCGTTCTTGGACTGACACCCAGGGCCCTTGATGGAATGTGCCAGGCTTGAGGCAACGACGTCTTGCTAGTCATTGGGGGAACAGACGCGTAGCCCATCTTGACAAAGTGAGCCAGAGTATAGAGCAGCCCAGTGAGATGGTTGCACTGTCCCAAGCCAGCTTTGCAGTTGCATTGTGTCTCCCTTATGTATGGCTGCTCAAGTGACAGCTCCACCTGAAAAGATAATCAAACTTTACACACTTGACACTTCAGAGTTGCTAATAACAAATACATAACATATGGATTAAATAAATATATATACATACATACACTGAGTGTGCAGTGAATTAGGTACATCTGGCATTTTAATGTTCTGCCATGAAAAATCTTATAGGTTCTTTACAATGACATTTGCGGACATAACTTGAAATATACCTAAAATTTTGGACACTCATTGTACAAAAAAAGTCAGGGTTGCGGAATAGCAACGTTATCTTCCCGGTTCCATGCAGCTCAACGATCTAACAGCTGATGAGCGGCTACAGTTTGTTCACTCGGAGGTTTTCTGCTCTTTCTAACAGCGACACACAAACATATTACTGACTGGGCACGTTTAACAAAATACAGACGAACATAAAGCCAATTTAGCCCGGTTACAAAACGGCATAAACTTTGTGTGAATCTCTATAAAAATATCAGCAGGGGAGAATAAGAAGACATCTGCACCAGCGGGCTTAATAAATGAACCTCACCTTATAAGTTTAATGTTCATCTTGCACACATTAAACAAACATTGAACAAACAATAACTACGTTAGCATCACTGAGGCTCCTGTAGCTAACAACGGTTAGCATGTGCTAGCGGTACACGAACAATAAAAACAGCATAAATTCTTAAAAATACTTACAGTTACTTCCTCTGCCGTCTCTCCACAGACAGTTGGTACAATCCCTCTTTCAGGAACAGTCTTTCAGTCAGTCCAGTGTTGTACTGACCGAGGTTGTGAAAACAGTCCGACACGAAGTGTTTCACACGTTCTGGTTTTTCCGACGGACATTGGCGTCAAAAATAAAAATAAATCCAGCATACATTTTTTTGTCTGTTTTCTGTCATTTCAAAATTGTTTAATTGCCTTTATTGTTTTTACTACGGACATTTACGGGTTTTGCGAACATGTAACCTACACATTGGCTGTAGCCAAATTAGCAAACGAGCATTCGGGATTTAGTAATTTCCAGTTAAGTTACCATGGCCTGCCTTCCGTTTCCACTATTGTCCTTCCGTTGCATGTATACTTTGTCTCACACACACACACACACACATATATTCTTCTCACACACACACATATTCTTCTCACACACACATATATTCTTCTCTTACATACATATATTCTTCTAACACACACACACACACACACACATAATTCCCACACATATATATTCTCACACACACACACACAATATTCTTCTCTTACATACATATATTCTCTAACACACACACACACACACACACATATATTCTTCTCACACATATATATTCTTCACACACACACACACACATATATTCTTCTCTTACATACATCTATTTTCCTCTTACATACATCTATTATTTATAATAGAGTAAAAATGTATCAATGTGTGAGTGAAAATATATGAACGTGTGAGTGAAAATATATGTATGTGAGAGTACAAATAAATGAATGTGAGAGTGAAAATATTTGTATGTGAAAGAAGAATGTATGTATGTGAGAGGGCCATAATGAATAATGTCTTGTACAGCCCCTCATACACAATCCTATTATCTGTATTGAAAAAACAATTGTACATTGGAAGCAGTTCCATACAAACTACTGATTTGTGTAAAGATGGTGTATTTATGTCCTATGGAGATTTTTTTTTTTTTTTTGTCTAAAGGCAACCACATTATTTCAATTTGCAGAATGTAGCACACAATTATATAAATTTAAAAAATATCTTAACTAAAAACACCCATCTAGTCATTATGTTCATCTGATGTGTTAATTTACATGTTAAGTTTACATTTCGGTGTGGGTTTGAAAAGCCAACACTTTTGTATGAAAACTTTGGCTGTAATGCATGAGTAAAGCACCTGTTCAGTGGAAATAGTGCAGGATTAAACATTATTCTTTCAGTTTGCTGTTTTAAGTTATTTGATTTATTTTTATGAAGTCATATGTTTATAGAGTGCCTTATTTAATTTCCTGTAATTTATAATTTTTTAGTTGTAGAGTATTATTTTGACACAATATATTTGTTTATTTGCACTAGAATATAGTTTTTAAGAAAAACTATAAAAAATGTTTTCATTCATTGTCCTGTAAGGGTGCGGAGCCATCAGCCAGTTAAGGACCAAGACTGTCAATGGTGCCAAAAAGTGTCTCCAGGTTCACCACAATCCAGCTCCATTCTCTCACCTATCACAACCATAAACACAACGCAGAGTCTTCACATCAGTGGGTTACACATACATCTCTAAGGTGCCTGCCCTGTCGTTAGTTTGTGAACTGACATCATTCTCGCCACCCCGTTTGCATTAGCCGTACAGCTGCGCTTGTGTAACATATGCCTGTGCTTATGCATGTAAGGGCGCACAGATGCCCAGAGGGGTGCACGTGCACTCCACCAGGGGCATGACTATATCTTGGGCTCTTTTTAAAGGCGTTTCAGTGGAGGATGTCTGCTCCGCCACGAGCTGGGCTTCTCCACACACATTCATGAAGTTTTATTGTCTGAATGTGACAGCAGGGAAGTGATGTGGGTGACATCACAGTTACTGCTGTGCCAGGGCTGTATCTTCGCAGTCTAGCTGCAGAGTTGTCTTGGGCGTGATACAATTTCCCTGGTACTTACATGATGTACTGAGTGTACCGACCAAAAGGGAACTGGAAGTTATGAATATAACCAATGTTCCCTGAGGTACAACACAGGTTGAAGTGCAGTTTAAATTGAGAAGATGAGACAAAATACAAAAGAGACAAAACATGCTGTCATGCTTCACATTTACATTGTTTATGAAGACATTGTGTCTATTGTGGTTTCTATTACCCCCTCCCACCAGTAGAACCTAATAGAAACCTCACCTGCAGCAGTTGTGGTTTCCGCACATGAGCACCTCGCGTCCCCCGCAGCAGATAGTGCAGTACGATTGGTAGCCATCGTCGTCATATTGATACGCACATTCTAGGAAGCAGTTCTGTAAAAAAGGAAGAAAAATAAAACTAATCAGAAATGAGCAGTCTGACGTATTAAAAAAAAAAAATGTTATGGAGTCACATCAGGTGCTGATGGAAATATGTTCAGTTTATTATCAGCTTTGAAAGGAGCTGTGATTTCTTTTTACGACACAGTAGTTGGAGTCCCAGACTTTTAATGACCTTTATCACAGCTTACCTTACAGCTCTGGCACATTCCTCCAGCAAACAGCGGGTGCTCAAGGCTGACATTCAGACTTCCACAGGAGATACAGATGTCTGTAGACAGGAGTGCAGTATGTCAGTATTTAACAGGCAGAGGTCAGAGAGGTGTGAACAATGCTGCTGCAATGCTCCCAACTTCACACATCAGTTAAATTATTTGAACAGCTGTCATGCAGGTGTAGATCTAATGATCTTAGCTGGTATGCTTGGAGACAACTCATAAGGGAGTCAAATTTCTTCATCTTTACTCTTTTATCGTTCGATTAACATAGACGCACACATTTCTGCTGGTTTGCTTGTCAACAAGGGTGAGTATAAGGCGTCTAGTTGTTCATCCCCTGAGAGCCCCCTGGTGCTGCCACAAGCTAGAGCAAACATAGCATCACTTACCCTCTATGCTGCGGCACTTTTGTCTCACTTCATGAACAAGCCGCTCTGAAAATACAAAATACAAATGAGAAATGTAGGTGAATAAAATCCACACTCAAAATTTGTGTCCTTTCAACCTCCAATTTTAGTTTGGTTGTCTTAAGTTTATTTATTTACACGGATCAAAAAAAAAAAAAAAACACAATATAACTACAGATAATTGTCATTCAACCGTCTGTGTAAATCCAAAACTAAAGGTATTCTTATAAATGGCACATAAATCTATACAGTAAATCATTTTTAATATAAAACCCAGAGGAAGTTATGAAGTTAGAAATCAGGTATAAAGAAGAATGTTTTGGGTCCAGTTTGGCATTAAATCCATCATGGCTACCTGTTTTTTATGTAGGAAGGATAGATGATTATTACCCTTAACAGTACAAGTAAAGGGGTACATTAAAGGCTTCTGGAGTATATTTACAGCTAAAAAGCTTTTGTCTTGCCTCAGTAAATCATCCAGTTTAGGGTCAAAGTTGGATAAATAATCAGATCCTAATGGAAACAAGAGTCTGAGCAGAAGATAATTGGTTGATATATGAGAGGTGATGTCCAGTAATTAATTATATTGAGAGCTTCAAAGCATTCAGCTTATTTATTTGAAACACTCTTAAAGGGCCAGTGTGTAGGACTTAGCTGCATTTAGCGGTGTAGTTGCAGATTGCCTTTCTAAGCTCGAAGGAGAAAATACGGTGGCTGCATGAAAAAAAACTCAAAAGGCACTCTTTAGAGCCAGTGTTTGTTTTGTCTGTTCTGGGCTACTATATAAACATAGCCGTTCAACATAACGGCCTCCATGGAAGGCGACCTGCAGCATCCATAGATAAGAATGGCTCATTCTAAGGTAACTAAAAACAAACAGATTCTTATTTTCAGGTGATTATACACTAATAAAAACATACCTCATGCATATTATATTCCATTTCTGCCTATAGATCCTCCTAAATGTTAGACACTGGACCTTTGAGTCGGTAAGTAAGTAAACTTTATATGTACAGCATCAAGTTACAAGGTGCTTAACAGGTGCACAATTAATGCAATCTCATGAAATGCAACAAGAATGTTAGAGAATGGAGAAATACAACAACATAAAAGTAATACGTATTTAAGTATAAAAACAGATTAACAGCTTTTCTAGGCTAGACCAATACTGGTTTCTGTTATGTTACTGAATCAGGTACTCATTGCCAAGACACTCTGCAGTAATATCAATAAAGCATGTTCGGGAATAAACCCAAGCAAACATCTATTCATTGTCTTTGGAACCACCCAAGCCTTTTTGCCTTGTCACATCACTCACTTTCATCTTGAACCTGCCACTCTAATGTACTTCTTGTCCGCACACTACTTCTCCGACCACTCACTTTCAATGTACAACTCTGCTGAGTCCTCCCCATGGGAAGGAATATAGAGTTCATGACTCCTATTTAACGTAATAAACGAGGCACCTTACCTCGTGTCCTCTCATCAATGATGTCCTTGACCTTCGGTTTCTCTGCTGTGCTTTTGCGGGGCTTTTTGGCTGGAGGGGGCGTATAGGCTGCTGCTTCAGGCTCCACCCATATCTCAGGATAAACCTCTTTGTATGCGTTACGCTCCTCTGGGGTGCACAGCATATCAGACAATTAATATTACAAGCAACATTATGAGTTATTCAATCACATGCTTAATTAGAGACATTTGTGGTCAAATTAAAAGCTTTTCTCTATGAGAAATAGAAGCGTTGATAAACATGGGCTTAATAATACTGACTTCCTCTTACCCTCAGGTGGCTCTAAGGCCTTGGGTCCAGTGGGCTGAAATCCTGTCATAGCCCAGTCAATCATCTGCTTGTTTAGCATTTCCACTGATTTGGAGGTCTCTGTTTCATCACTGTCGGGGCAGGCCATGAAGGCCTTGCCTGCCCGGCTGCTAGCCGCCTACAAACACATAAAAAACACTGATGACTGAAATCATCTTCAATATATACCTACAGAAATAAATCAGTGCAGTCAAAGTTTCAACTAAAGAATTCAGTTACAATTTATCCCAAACAGGGATTATAATCCTTTTCTCTTTATTCCTCATATCTGTAACTATAAAATTTGCTATTATTTGAAAGAAACATTGAGCTCAGGTTAAAAGGCAGGTTATAAATCACCTGAAGCACTTCATAGATGGCTTTCTTGTACATGGGCTGCTTGTTGTAAGTTGGTTGGTGAAAGGCATTATTAAAGGAACTTAAAGGCAAGAGTTTTTCGACGCAGACCTGTAAAATAAAAAGAAAATTAAATAAATGTTTACTTCATGTGTTCTGAAAATTGTGTTGTTGTGGCAAAACGGAGAGCTTAATGGTTTTTATGTTTATACTGGAATATAGTAATTAGTTGAGCAAATAAAACAAGAAGACTCATTATACAGTGTGTGGTTGTTACTATAAACGGAAGGCTGTTTTGCTTAATTTCTGGTTAAAAAAAAAATAGACAGCAATATTAATGTTGGCTCTAAGGACTCACCACTGAGAATTTTCCATCTCCAAACCACATGACCCATCTGGTTCCCTCAGCAGCTCTGCTCCGTCCCGTCTTCAACCAGGATACGATACGGCCTGGCCACCACGAAAACCCTCGCAGCTTTCCCCAAACCAGCTCGCCAATGCCAAAACCACGACCGTCCTGCAGCCAAAACAAAAGACAAATAATCCGCAATGTATTAACTTCTCGGCATAACTGTAAAACCTTTTTAATCTGTCTGTCTCAGTTTGGTAAAGTCAAGTAAATTTTATTTTTACAGCCCAATATCACAAACCATAAATGTACCTTCAAATTTGTACAGCATACAATACCCTCAATGTAAAAACTCCACAAAAAACCCTTTAACAGGGGGAAAATGGATGAAACCTCAGGAAGAGCAACAGAGGGGGGATTCCTCTCTAAAGACGGACAGACATGCAATAGATGTCGTATGCACATAGTAGAAATGCAACTAAAGATTAGTTTCATAATTGATTAATCTGACAATTATTTTCTTCATTAATAGCTTTATTTTTAGTCAGTAAAGTGTTGATACAACGCCTCTTTATGCTGCAGGCTTTCCTGCATCATTTTATACACATTTTGTTCAAATTCAACATGCTATATTTGGTATCTTTGGAAACTTTTGGATCTCCACAAGGCTGACAGTTGTAAAACACCTGAATTGAATAAATTCCCAAAACACGAATGAACTTGACACAGATTAACCCTGGTCTTCAACTAAATCCTTTTTCCAATAGAGATCTCTGTAGTAAAATCCCTTTGGTCTACAGTCAGACATTAATCAGTGTGAATTCAGCTCAAAATGATCTCACCTCATACTCGGGCTCAGTGTCTGCAGACTTAGGGGATGGCTTGTCTCCACCTCCGATGGCGACGGGCTCAGGGGTCGTGGCCACAGTGGGGGAAGCAGGGTCAGTAGGCTGCTGCTGCTGCTGCTGCTGCTGCTGAGGTGGCTGCTGATGTTGTTGTTGTGGCAGCGACGGCTGTGATTGCTGTTGATACTGAGGCTGTGACTGAGTGTGCGACTGAGGCTGCTGCTGCTGCTGTTGCTGCAGCTTTGAAGGCGATGGGTGTTTGATTATTGAGGCTTCTTCTTTCTGGGTCTCTGTTTCATTCTGCTCGTGATCCTTCATCGCGTTCATCGCTGACATCTGTTTGGCCTTTTTCTCTGCCTGAAACACAGCCCAGTGACAGCCATTACAAGGACCGGCCTTTTCAAAAGACGTGTCCTGTTTAAGGTTAGTTTCAAGACTACTTTTCTAAATATAAACACATTTATCTACTGTACAAAAAATCGTCTCCCACTATTCAGATTAAAAGGCCCTTGAACTTGATAAGACTTGACAAAAAATAGTTCTACAAGGAATAGAAAGCATAGGGCCATAACAAAAGGTAGACATAACAAACTCAAAACCGAAACCTCAGAAAGCTCAACCGAAACTCTTAATGTCGGCCACGGTGTCTAACTAACCATTGCGCAAAAGAGAAGGGTGAAATGAAATAAAAGTGAAATGACTTGGAAACCACACACATGGAAATAAATCAGGAAAAAATGTAAAGAAACAAACAGATCTAACCGAGCATTAAGTTGCAAGTGTAGATGGCTCCAATGCCTAATTGCCTAATGCTGAATAAAAAAGACATAGCAGGTAAAAAGAGCTTTGTGCTAAAAATTCTAAAAAACCCTGTAATTGGATTTACACTTTACACTTGGAAGCAGCTGATCAAGTTGTAAACACAGAATTGACATATTATGAATTTATGAATTGTTATGGCTAATATGTTAGCCAACAGTTGCCTATTTAGCAGACATAGAGCAACATTAGCATTAATTTGGAGTTCTGGTCACCCAATGAATATAAGTCTAAATTGACTTTTTGCTTGTGTGGGAAATATTAAATGCTTTTTAAATGCTCTACTCTACTAGTTTTTTTTTTCGCTGAAAACAACTGTCTGCTGTCTGATGGAAAAGATGCTAATGAGAGCGGTGAACAAGAACCAAAAACCAAAACAATGAGATGAAAGACACTAAAATAGACCCTGTAGAGCTGAAGGGAACTGCAGAGATGGGTGAGAATTGTGGGTTTGTCACTACGAGCAACATCACTTTCCACACGCAGTCATCTGATCATTGTTGCAGAAACGCATGCTACATGGTACATACTTGTCCATCAGACCAGTGAACTGTAACCATACAATATATGTAATCATATATTCTGTATTCAAAATAACCATGCAGCATTCGGAATACAATTGTATGTCTACCAAACACAGTATAAATACAGGTTGATAGTATTTGTAGCCATTTAGCTGTACACCACAAGTTGTGCACTTCATTTCTGTGTACGTGCAGAATCTTGATTGTGGGAGCCTGACAGCCTTTTTAAACATAGCTTTATCTCCGACTGTAAGGCCCATTCATCAACAGCACAGTATACAGTAACTCTCTAGTGTCCATAGCTGCAGCGGAAAGTTCACTGGGTTTGTGGTACCTGACACTAAACCGCTAGGTCGATCAGAGAGGACAAGACGCAGCCGGGACTTAAGCCTTTCACAGTAAATCCCCAACAGCTGCACTCATTCTGATGTCTCTCTCTCTCAAACACACACGGTAGGACTCAGCATGCACACACATGTTAACTGTCTTCTCCTCCTCTCACTCTTTTTTCTTCGAAACACGCACACACAGAATATATATCTGCAGTCCCGTATGTAAACACGTGTTGGTCATACTATAGGCTCCACGTGACAGCAGTGCTGCACAGCTGTGCTTACTTTCCTCAAGTCTTTCTCAAGTTCTCAGGTCTCTTGCACACACTGTAAATGTCCAGAGGTGGACTGGGTGTGGGAAGAGTAGAAAAAAAGTCCAGAAGGAGAGCGACTGGTTGAGAGCATAGCACAGTCCTCCATACTCTCTCCCAGTGTGACTCGTAAACAATAGCGCCTTTAAGGGGAGGTGGTGCCCAGACGGCATGGGGAGGGGGTTTCAGAGCAGAAGAGTAGAAACATGTGCTCTTCAATCAAGAGGCTCTGCTGTGGTTTATAAATATCTGTACTGTAGTGCTGGATAGATGGTTCAAAGCCCTTGGCCATATGTGTTAGACCTCTTGGCTCCAGCACAAGCACATTGGAGTTAGTGTTCGACAGCCTGCTTGGATGTGTGGTTCCAGATGGTAAACTGCAAAAAATAACAAATGTCAATTAAACTGCTAAATGCGTTATGTGTATGGGGAGAAACAATCTGTAATCATATGTGAGGAGAGCAGTTGCCGGTGCAGATGGGAAGAAATGGGCTGACTGAGAATAACTGCTGTGTGAATGAGTGAGATAGTTCATCAGTGGTAACCAGCAATCACAGGTATACTGAGAGAAATGTAAATGTACATAAAGCTGCTAAGCTACTGTTACTGTGCTCATTTTGGTGTGTTAGGGTCAGACTGACTCCAGGGCTCCTTCTCCTCGGAGCCAATGAGAAAGTGACACTGAAAATGCCAGTGGGGGGAGGAGAGAAGTACAGTGCCTATAAGAACCAGAGATTTTTCTCTGGACTCAGTTGTTTTATCCCCTTTTGGGGGCCTCACAGTGTGTGTGCAGCTCCACCAGCAAGACAGCCCCTCCGAGTCTAAAGGGGAAAATAGGAACGGAGGTAGTGGAGACACAATACGGTCTTTATCATTTACGCACGCCTGCCTGTCACTGACAGCTCGGAAAATACCACCACTTATATCCGCTGTCACGCCGTGCTGAAGACAAATTCCAAAAATGTCAGTAGACATACTCTAGATGTATAAACACAGCAGAGAAAATGTGTTTAAATAACCTCACAGTGAAAACATCTACACTTTTCCCCCCTTGGAAAAAACTATGTTATATACGAATACAATGAAAAACCAAACCTTACTGTACAAACAGTAATCGTGGATTTTGTTACAGATTGTAGTGAAAACAGAAGCTCTACAGGCCTCTGGCAGAGTGTAGAGACATGTTGGGTGCACAATCAGGGATAATCTGACTTAGAGGTCTGTGCAGCATGATACCCTGAGGGCTCAAGGGGTGACAGAGTGCACTGGGAGGCAGAAAAAAAGAGAAGAGATATTGGTCTCAGGGGTGCGCAGATGATACTTTAGTATCTAATCTGGGCTGTACTTGTTAACAAAAAGGTCACATTTACTGCGTGGCATCAGTTATTTATAAGACAACAACAGCCTATTATAACAGTTGTTAACTTTACGAGGAAAATTTTGGAGTCTCAAAGTGTCAAAAGTGTAGATGTTGAGATGAAACGCCATTGTGTAAGCCCTGAAAACTCACATGTAATATAGGGACAAAGATAACAAGGATCCAACAAACTAGATTGGAAAAAAAAGGACATTAAAGTACTGGTTCAGGTGCCATCAGTTCAAAACAAACGAGCGCCCTGCAAACTCTGGTTAAAGGTAAAAGTTAGATGAAATAAACTGTCACTTAACATTACTTCCTTGCACAATGTGACAGCGAGCCTTTGAAGCAACACAAAAGAGTTTGACCTTTGAATGCAGTAGTCTCTCATGCGCAACAGGCAGTAGAGACACAGCGGGGACTGTTTTGTGTAATTGTTTGATGGATAATACAGTGAGATATGTCTTCGGTGCAAAGACCTAAACTTATCTGTGGTGGAGGACTGCTTACAAATAACAAAAACTTCCTTAAGTCACGACAGGTGTAGTTAACTCAAGATGCATCAGACCAAGAAAGCTGCAAAAACTAATCCTGAAGCTTTAAAAAAAAAAAAAAAAAGAAAAGAAAAAAGACTTTTGCTTTTAAAGTGGAAATACTGTCTGAAAAAGCACAAGTGGCAAGTTCTGCTGTGCAGCTATGTGGCTACTGCATTCATTAGCCTGATTTTAGCACAGATCCCTACAAAGGCTGTGTATTTCATGAGTGGCCTTGGGGGGTCACACCAAAATAGGCCATCTGGTTCTCCTTTTAAGAGATAATTAGGAATATTACAGAGTCAGCCATGAATACATAAACAGAATTCCCCATGAATCCACAAGTGGAGTTGTTAAAAAAGCTCCCTGAGGAGGCTGCTCGGCTTACTCCAAAGCCCTTTAAAATCTTTTCAAGTAATCAATTATTCTCCTTATAGTAAATCTATGTCCTTAGTCAAACAGAACAAAGTACACAATGATAGGAAGGAAAGGGACTTGACGCCTACACAACAACTTCACCCTTTTCCCAGTTAAATGTTATGTAAGGTGAAATCATGGTGGCTCTCAAAACAGCAACATTTTTAAGGTAAATATATCTGACCTAAAACAAAATTATACTACTCTGACATTTTTAGGCGCTGCTATGAAACAGGAAATAGTTTAAAAAAAGCCCCCCCCCACGGGAAAAACTTTTTTTCATGCAAGCAACTTTTTCCCAAACACGGCTAAAGCCTGCTCACTCTTCCTCTTAAAGTGACTGTTTCCCTTTAAGCCGTGCAGAGCAGATGATTCACGACAACTCTCGTGGAAATACCTGAAGTCAGCATATTCCCCTCACTGTAAGCAGGCTAATCAAACATGCACACTATCCGTGTCATCAAACAAACAATGCAGTGCACATACCCATACACACCAGCTTGCGCAACCCTCATAATCCAGTGTGGGGCTTGAGTTTTTTTCCACCCCCACTCTCAGGGTAGAAGACTTCGCTTGAAAAAGGAAAGCATGAACATTTTCTTTGTCTGGGAATTTGAGGGGTCAGGTGATTGCCGACAGGAATTCTGGTTGGCTAGAGGAATTTTGGCAGCGAGCCAGGTAGCTTGCGAACAGAGAAATTTTCTGCAAACCTTATCTTCACCCTTATATCCATAGCACAGAGTTCATTTCCATAGCTGGGGGAGGGGTCAGGAGAAGAATGGGGAAGGGAAACAGAGAGGGAGAAACGGAGAAGTCCACTGTAACACAAGGCACATGAAAAAAAAGAGAGAGAGAGAGAGGGAGATCCTGGAGAAAGTGCAAGACGGCAGTAACCTTTTTAGCCACCATGTCCTCCCTGCTGCAGAAACATGCAACAGCAAAAGGCTCTGTGACAAGAGCAGAACCAAAACCAAAGGCTATGCATCATATTACTCCTCAGGAAAAGGGGCTTTGATGCCAGAACAAATTAGATCAAAGCTTGCAACACGCAAGATTTAGAAAAAGGGGGGAAAAAACAGGCACACTCAAAATTTGCATCTTGCAAATCCCCTTAAATCTCAGCCTTGTAGAGCTACTTGCTTCAGAAAATCCACCTCTGTTTGGAAAACGTGAACAGCCTACTTGCCTCGTATTTTATGACTTTTCACTTGTGGGACCCCAGCATGTCCTGCTAATTTGGCAATATTTCCTCCCTGGAGACATTTTTATGGCCGCTCTCCGAGCCTTCTCTAGAGGAGCGCAGAGGGGGGGCATGGAGGCAGAAGAAATGGAAGACCCCATGTTGATACTACGGAGACTCCTTATTATGTAACAGATGAAGTTGCACTAATCACATTACTACCAGGAGTCATATTTAACGTGACTCATTAATGTGAGGAACTTCATATTTATAAGATTTAATATCTTGCCGCATTAGGTACTTTTTTTTTTTTTTTTTTTATATTTCTTTGGGGGCTTTTATTGCCTTTAATTGATAAAGACAGCCGAAGGTAGGCAGGAAAGGGGGGCAGAGAGAGGGGATGACACACAGCAAAGGGCCGCAGGTCGGATTCGAACCCTGGGCTCAGCCTCGGTACATGGCTCTCCCAACTGAGCTAACCGGGCGCCCCTGCATTAAGTGCTTTTAAATACGGCCCAAAAGGAAATCAGATTGGATAAGTTGCCACATTTTGCTGAGCAGGAGTTCAGTGTGATCACCCTGAATCCAGGAAAAAGGATTAAAAAAAGACCAGTTTGTTCGCAAAGAAATCTACAATGTCTATAATTTAAAAAGGGGTTTTGAAGCTTTCCATTGAATCACATGATCTCTGTGAGTTGATGGAGTTTGCCCAGTTGTCATAAAATTGTAAAACAAAATTCTAAACACTTTAAGGACTTCATGTCCTGATGAGGTGAAATTAGTTCCTGACCTTGGAAACAGTAGTTGACAAATAAAAATAAAAAACTCACCAAAAGGTCTATTTAGTAGCTGGAGCTTGAGGATGATCATTTCATAAGATTGAAAGCTCCAACATAATTACTTAATGAAACAAATTATTTTGTCAACGACTGTTTCTAAGGTCAAGAATGAACTTTCAACAGTTTATTATTGCTCTACATTTACATGGAGAGTTTAATTGGAACTATTTTCCATCAAAGCAATAGTCCCAAATAAATGTATTGACAGCAAGCTGTGTTCAGACCGACTTATTTCATCTGAAAAAGTAGTTGACTCTGGGTTATCTTTCACCACAACGCCAGCACAGGTAGATCACTTTGTGAACATAATTTGTTTCTCCTTTACACCCGAGTTTAATGTGAAAATCATTCATCATCAATTTATAAACTGTTGTGCAGCGTTTTGGCGTCTGATAAGCCTCAAAATCGCAGATCTCATCAAGATTGCCGAACTGACCAATACCTTGAGGCAACATGGGCCCACCAGCCATTGACAGTGTATATAATGGACAGAGCTTCCAGTTCTGTGAAGTGAAGCGGAAGTGTCTTAAACCTGCATTATATATAAAGGCCAGCAGAGGGCAACTCCATTGGCTGCAATAAAAAAAAACTATACCATTCAGTCTTATGGAGAAATAACCTGACTTCTCACTTGATTCTTTAGCTCAGTAAACAGTTTACTAATGAGTTTATGGTCTCAATCGCTTCTTCCACACAGCGTGATGTTAATTTAGAAAACGATGGTCCAATTTGGAGTAAAACAGACGATAAAGCTGCGTATTCTTTGGGGCCTGGCTACCTTGTGATTGACAGGTCATTCTCAGTGAATCTGTCCATGAAACTCAGAGCAAACAGTCAAACTAGGTAGTGCTGATCAAATACAGATCAAGATTCTGTTACCGTTCCCCATTTCTCACCTTAAATCGTTTCAGGAACAAACTTTATTGTACGGTTTATCTCTAATACGCGATTGTGTGTGACCAGGTGGTCCGCCATTGTTTCCTGCTGTGGACAAGTTGAAACTGTGCAGCCAATGACAGCAGCTCAACTCGCAGTATGTCACCTCCGCTGGCTCCATCAAACTGTCATAGTGGTGACAGGACTCCTCTCTGTCGCTCATCTGTGGATTATCCAGCTTAATAAGGACATTTTTTTCTGGAAAGAGACCATCTGCATGGCTCAGTACCATCAGGAGTAAGAGGAAAAATATGTTTTTTTGGTGATTTAGGTGAACTGATCCTTTAATGTAGAATCACTTCACACAGCTTTAAGACACCAAAGGCAGTCAGAATGATGCACATCTAAATTTACAGCAACAATTTCATCCAGGAAACATCAATCATGTCAAGGCATCAAACAGATGTGATCAACGCAGCTGCATGTGATTTCTCCTCTGCTGATACAACAGACAAGAACAAAGTCAGGAAATACAGGAGCTGACTGAGCCAATGGCCTTGAAAAATCCACTGAAATAAATGGTACCTTCATGAGATATCAAATGACCCATCAAATACACTTGGCCGTGAATACACCACAAGCCCTATCTTTGACCCTGGCAGCTTTGGTCCACGCCTGTCACTCACCCTGTAATCTACAGTGGCTGGGACAGTGCTGGGGTACTCACCTCCATCTTCCACTTGGCCAGCCACTCCTCTCTGGTCCGCTTGCTAATGTAATAAGGGTCACCAGCCTGGAAGGTTATTCGGGGCTCAGGCCTCTGACGAAGGCTGATCTCAACTCCCCCTCGCAGCCTGCCTCGACCTCCCTGTTTAAGGTGTTAAAAAAAAAAAAAAAGTTAGCTACTAGTTTTTGATTCTTTCTTTTAGAGTTTGTCTCATTAGGAAGCATGCAGATTTGTTCTAAATCTGTGCATCCAATCTGTCACTAGAGCTTGTGACAGACTCTAGTTCATAAGTCAGTAATTTGCGGTTGAGGCGATGGGGTTGTCTAATTTCTAAAACGATGATGACTCACATGTTGGTGTGCCGTATGGTGCTATCAGCTTGTGATTGGTCAGGCAGCAAGGAGCGATGCCACAGTGTCTAATCACAACTCCCTGGCAACAGTCTCAAGGTCACCAGCACCAACTGATACGAGAAGCTCCCAAGTGTATTTGATATTTCAAATCTATACACCATTAGGTACCATTTCTTTCCTGGACCTTAAACATAGGACTTGAAGATAGGTGACTATGCAAAGCTTCTATTCAAGCAATGGTGCAGATACAGTTTACTTTCAGTGCAAGCTTTCGAGATACATTTGTGGGAGAGGAGGTGTCCAAAAGTTTGACTATACACAAAAATCTTAAAGCTTTAAAGAATAGTTTGATATTTTGAGAAACAAGCTTCACTTTCTTGCCAAGTGTTAGATGAGAAAATCTATAGCACTCTCAATATGAAGCTGGAGCCAGCAGCTGATTAGCTTAGCTTAGCCAAAAGACTGGAAACAGGAGGAAACAGCTAGCTTGGTTCTGTCTGAAGAAGGGATGTCAAGAAAACCGATACCTTCAGTACCAAGTCGACACCAGAATTTTAAGAACAGAGGGCGCGATTCTTTCGAACCTGGCGGGGCAGCATGTACGCCCACAAACATTCTAGTCTGCCCCAGGAAGAAGAAGAACATGTAGAAGACAGCAACAAGTGCAGCTGCACAGGTGATTTACTCGCAAAACTTTCACACACAGCTCTCCGTCATCAGCTCTCTCCTCTGTCTGTGTCTCTGTCGCTGTGCTGCGTGTGTCAGCCCAGTCGCACCTGCAGTAAAACACCACCACGTGCATGGCTGAGCTGCTGCTTTGCGGCGAGACAGAGAGTGGTGGAGAGCCGCACACTCACCACACAGCTGCAAGTGCAACAAAAGCCCCACAAATAAAAAAAGGAATTTTTTGATGTAATCCGCGCAAAATATGTATGGACAAGAGACAGCAACACTCAGCAGAATACAGTTCTTTCAGGTAACTCAGGTAAAGGCTGCACTGAAGCAGCAAACTCTGCAGGACACTTTTAAAGGGAAAGAGAAATTCCCTCCAGACAACTGCAAGACCAAAAAAGGTTACAGAGAGTTTGTTACGCTAATTAATAGCCTGCCTTGTTTATTAGTTATTTAGTATATAAAATCTATAATATATTAATATGAATATATTAAGTATAAAAACATTGAGGAACAGCTTGATTTTAGGCATTTTCCTTAATGCAATGCAGAGCTATTCACCTGTATTATTAAGGAAAATACAAGTATTGGATCAGGACTAGGTATCAGCAGATGTTAAATTGGGATCAGGAGCAAAAAAGCTTTCACCGGTATTGGTATGGACAACTAAATTTCTGGTATTGTGACATCCCTAGTCTGAAGTTACTAAAATCCACCCACCCGCACCTCTAAAGCTCACAAATGTTTGTTTAATCCTTACAAAAACTGTAATGCCAGAAAATTACTGCTCCCAGCCAAGAAGTAGTCTGGCACATAACCCTAATAGTTGGACTGAACCAAGCTAGTTGTTTCCCTTGGATTCCAGTCTTTACGTTAGGCTAACAGGTATGAGAGTGGTATCAATCTTCTCATCCTCTCATCTTGGCAAGAAAGCAAATGAGCGTATTTTCCAAAATGTCAAATTTTTCCTTTAAGGTGGCTTAGATACTAGACTTTGCACAGCCTAGCTGTTTCCCCCTGTTTCCAGCCTTTATGCTAAGCTAAGCTAACTGGTTGCTGGCTGTAGCTTAATATTTACCTATAAATCCTCTCATCTAACTCTCGGCAAGAAAACTAATTTTCCTACACAGCTACAGTCATGCAAAACATGTAAACACTCCAATATCAAACATACAACCTGTTCCACAATCGATATGAAGAATATGAAGAAAACTGGATGGGCTGATGTTTTTATAACATACCAGTATGATGGAGTCCGCTGGAGAATTCAGTCATATTCAGTGTTTCTTTCACTAAAACGGTCCTTTAATATAGTATAAAAACAAGCTTCTGTTTGAGCTGCACCACAACCATCTATCATGCTGGCAAGGAGATGATTCACGGTTTGTAACAGGAAAGGTAACTCACCCAAAAAAGGAAGCTACAGCCCCGGCAAGTGTGAAAGACAACTCAAGAGTTACATCAGCCAGAGAACAAAGACTCGGCAGAGTAGATATCTTACCTCAGTCTTGAGTGCATGATCCCCGTTCTCCTCCTTGTGCTCCACATCTAGAGAGAAGACAGCAACACAATGGGTGGCCTGAATCATTCATAGGAGAGTGGAAATTGACCACAATGCTTATCCTCGTATCTGTGTTAAACTTAACTGCCCTCACATTCATCAATAAACCATATGACACATTTATTAACCCAAACTGTTACACTTGCCCTCCAAGTCGTCCCATTAACTGTGTGTTTGATTTGATCAAATTAAAGACAAATTAATAAAACTGCTGATAGATAGTGGCTACGGGGGAAACTCCTCATATGTGCTCAGATTTTGCAATCGTCTGGAATCACGGGAGCTTGTGCGCTCAGGTGCCATATGAGGGTTTGATGCAACCCAGAGGGTTTGGAGTGGCTGCCCAGGTTATGATGAGTGTGGAGAGGGGCCAGGTTTATTTTGGCAAAGGTCACACTTCTGACCTTATATCCCCCTTCATAAGACACACAGCTGGTAGCTATTAGCATGGCCGCTGACACTGAGCCGTAAAGGCAACAACATACTGCTTCACTTGACTGTGGCTCTGGGGCCGTATATAATGTCCCTGCCAATCTCCAAAGCCTCAACAGGACCAAGACATGAGACTCCTCTAGCTAGTTATGTACAAATGGAAGGTGGAGAGATGCAGAGTATTTGTCTGTTATTTGGTTTTGTTATGTTTTACGATAAAAGTACGTGATTTACTTTGAGTACAACAGTGAGATACCTTGGAAACAGGAGATGACAAAATAATCTCACCTTAAGGTCCATTTAGTAGCTGTTCTGGAGCTTTTGATCATATCACATGATCTTTCATGGAAATGCAGATGTTCACATTTCTATTTTTTCTGAGCACTTGAAGAAATTTTATCACCTCAACACAACAACTGTGCGAACTCCATCTGCTGTGAAGATCATATGATATAACTGAAAGCAGCTACTAAACGGACTACTCCTAAATAAACTACTTAATGATATTTCTAGGAAATAATGAGTTTTTACCACACTACATACAGTAAATTTGACATATATACAATACAATAAATAATATTTATATTGACAAATATTTAATAGTTATATCAATATGATATAGTCTATGACAGGTGTCTTCTTTTACATAATTGATTTTCTTCCAATCCACTATCGATCCAGTTCTAATAATAAGTACTTTTAATTGTGACACTTCAATATATTCTGACACAGTACTTCTTGACGTTTACTTCAGTAAAATCTATCATGTAGGACTTTGACCTGTAATGGGCTATTTTTAAATTTAAGTATTGCTCCTTTTAGTGAAATAAAAGATCTAAGTACTTTTCCAACACTGGTGTAAGGATTTAAAACTCTTGAATATTATCAGCAGTTTTTTTACAAAGAAAAAATACTTTCTACAAGAAAGACAGTGCCCATATATGCAGAAAAAGCTGCAAAACCAAAAGTGAAAGAGGCAGCAGCAGGCTTTAAAATTGTCGAAGAAAAGCACAGAAAATATTTGGTGAAACATGCACTGAAACCACAATGTAACACAATAAATGCCCCATCTGGGATTTCCCATTAACTTGGCCATGATTTGTAGGTCTACAACAACAAGGCCATGTTATTCATTGTTAAACTGCATTGTTTTCCTGTGTTCAGCAGAGCAGTGAGGGGTTAGCCAGGGAGCATGGATAGCACCCAACTGAAACACTCGGACAAGAAAAATAGATAAGGAAGCCAAAATCAGCTTCATCACAGAAGCTCAAACCAACACCTCTGGTATTACTTTTCACAATGTTTAATTTCAGTGTACGCAAGTGTTTCTAAAAGTGCCCGGGCTCAGTGATATGACACCAGTGGAGTATACACATCATTCAAGCAGCTGTGCCCTAAATTAGCATGATGGCACAGCCTGAGTAAACATGACTATCATCGAGTCGAAGCCCAAACACTATCATAACACTTGAGCCCTGAGAGGCTAAGGACAACTTTTGATGGCATGTTTTTTGCACAGCCAACTCTGGCTTGTCAGTGAAGTACCCTACAGACCTGTCCAAACAATAGTCCGCTCTCTTAGCAGCCTCTTCAAGTTGGTTCCATGTGTAGCTGAGCCCCCTGTTCCTCCCTCACCCTTGCTCTTTTTTCTTTTCTTTTTTCCATCCCTCTCTGCTCTGGTCTGGTCTCCTCGTCCTCATCGGGAATAAGTGACTATATAACAAATCGGTGAGGCAGTGTGGACTGCCAAGGTCATTGGGTTTGTGAGGGGAGCTGGCTAACGTTGCCCATAGAGTATACCTTGCCAGTTTGAGTGGATTCCAGCTCTCGTATTGCTAGAGCTCAGTTCCACTCCAGCAGGAGCTCAAATCCTTCCTGTGCCCTCCAGATGGATAGCAGAAACCTTGTTTAGCTGACTATCGATCCACCACACTGCCCCCCCACCAAGGACTCTCCTCTCTGAGATGAATATACCAATGCTCCCTCTATTCGCAACTGTATTCATAGTGGGATTAATATATTTTAGTCACAGCCAAATTTCGCTGTTAAGTGCATTTAAGGTAAGCCGAGACGTCATGCAGGCGCAACAGAGTGTGGTGTTTTTTTTTGCACTTCCCAGAAATCACTTGGCAATTAAACTCTGGGCAGTACTGTAGGCTGATGCTGATGTAATCTAAATTAAAAGTCTGTGTGGCCCTTTTTTTTTTTTTTTTAGAGAGATTGCACATGCCCACTCCTGCTCTATTTTGCTTTAAAGTCGCCTGCTCCCACAATCCTTTGCACCAAGTCCACTCACTTACCTGCAACAACCTGTACAGTGTGCCTGTTACTTTCTTAATCCTCCATTATTGGCGTGCGTGCGTGCGTGCGTGCGTGCGTGCGTGCGTGCGTGCGTGCGTGCGTGCGTGCATGCAGCTTGCAAATATCAACACCTCCCCATCTTGTACCATGTTCACACATTACAACGTAACTGCAGAGGTTCGCCTGCAGCCTTGAGAGAATGTCACGCATTGCTTTTACTGACTACAAAGTTCCTCTTTCGGTTCATTCAATGAAATGCGAAAGACATCACTTCCTGTAAGTCAGAGGACCTTTCATACAAAAGCTCTAACTGAAACTTGAAAACAAAATATCGTAACAGCATGTTAAGGTCTACCAGAAATGGAATATAATATACATAGGTCTTCATGTCTTCATTAGTGTATAATCACCTGCAAATAAGAATAGAATTGTGTGTAGAATGAGCCATTCTTACCTACGGAGGTAGTGGGTCCTCTTTTACAGAGGCTGCCATGTGGAACCACCATGTTTCTACAGTAGCCCAGAAAGGACAAACCAAACACATGGCCCTTCTGTGTTTTTTGCGAGTTTTGTGGCCAATGTAATTCTCCTTTTGTCTGCAATCTCACTGCTAGATGCCACAAAATCTAGCACACTTACTTAAAGATATTAATGATCATATAAAGCAGACTTGTTGTTGTTACCCTGATGGCATTTATCAAACAATGTTTTTGAACATTTTAAAAATGTATCATGTATTTATAATCTTTAAAGTAAATATGAGAGTTTTCGATATTTGTCATGCCCTCTGTGTTCACCACTGTGTCATATTAAAGCACATCACTGGACCCAAACCCAGATTAGGGAGCAGACTTGCAGACCTGCTTAGCAAAACCAGTTTATAGCCATTTACACCAAAAGCAAACAGGGTTATCCCAGATTTCTGCTTTGAAGTAAAGTAACAGATCCTAGAAGCACAGATCAGGTGAATGCAGAGTGCAGACTCAGTTTGTAAAGAGTTCTGGGCACGATCATGCCATCCACCTGGCAGGGCCCCCGACAGAGAGGCGGCCACAGCAGAGACCTGCCTGCTCCCAACATCAAGGTCATAGCCAGTGTCTCTGTGGCCGAGAGAGGAACAAGAGAGACACGTGGCTGAGAGAGAGAGAGAGAGAGAGAGAGAGAGAGAGAGAGAGAGAGAGAGAGAGAGAGAGAGAGAGAGAGAGGACTAAAAAGCAGAGAGTGGGGGAGCAACTAAGTGATATTGTTAATCTCCACCTTGGACTAAAAACTAGCTGTCAGCACCACTCTCTCCCAACAATGCCCCCGTGATTTATATCATCTTTATAGGCTAATGTTATCTACTGCTGCACTGTGGCTGGTACAGATTCACTCCTGCAGGACCAAAACTCAATTTAAAATAATTTGTTTTAACAAAAATGTGGACAGTTTGCATTTTAATCATTTATTTTATTATTATTTGAGTTATAATTTTTATTTCAGGAGGATATTTTGTTGCATTTTGCATTAGAACAAATAATGTTGCTTTCATTCCTCTTGTCTTGGCTAGTTATTGTGTCCTTAATAACAAGAAATTCACATAATTAGGGCTAACTAACAACTGTTTTCATAATAGATTAATCTGACATTATTGTCTCGATTAATCATTTGATAAAATATAGGAAAGTAGAAAATAGAATAGAAAAGTTCCATCACAGTTATCTTGTTTCTGACCAACAATCCAAACTCAACTGCTTGTTTTTATATGACTTAAGATAAAGTAGAGCAGCAAATATGCACATTTAAGAAGCTGAACCCAGAGAATCTTCTTTTTTACTTGAAAAATGATTAATTTTCTGTCAAATGACCAATCAATCAGTCAACTAGTTGTTTTAGTGCTACATGTAAATAATTACTGCATTAATACTTTTGCTCATAGATACAATGAAATCAACCTATAGAAACTGAAATGTTTCTACATTTCCATATTAGGGCTCCACTTCCCTTTTTGCCACATGATTTCAGAGATAATCAATGTATTGTTTCTCGCTGTCTTTTTCATTGCAGCTGCCTGTTTTCTCAGTCATGAATGTTATTTGTTATTTTGTCAACTGGTTGTGCATATTGAAAGCATTTGGTAAACCACACCAAGAAATTCAAAAGCAGTGAAACATAGCATGCATAACATTCAGTATAATATGTATAAGATAAATATTAACAGTATAAATATTATAATTATGTCTGATTTACACTGCAGCCCTAATATATACTAGTGCCTTTCCTTCACAGCACTGTGCAGCAGCATGAATGCAACACTTTTAGCCTCAGTGCTACTAATCCTGGTAGAGTCCATGCTCTGTGTATCTGACATCCATTTACAGTTCTTTACTCAACATCTTGTACTAATCACATGACTTTTCCTGCTGGATCCACAGAGAGCAGATCAAAACATAGCTGAGCTGAACGAGCAGAAGCCAAACACACTCACATTTTGTTGGGCGCTCCAATTTCCGCCTCCCTCGTTTCTTGCGTGGCGGCGTCAGGCTGTTGTCCTTGTCTTTCTCCGAGTCCTGCTCTTCCCGGCTGGGCAGGAATCCGTTCTCCTGGGACGGGCTCTGACCCTGGGAGCTATCCTCTGCCCGGCAGGAGGAAGGGTCTCTCGGGAACCCGTTCTCCACTTCCCTCTTCTCCTGTTTGGGGAAGCAGGCGTCGGACGTCCTGTCTCTGTGCCCGTCCACATCTCCATTGAAGACCTGTGCCATGGACGGCCTACCCATCCCAGTGTAGCTGTTGCCCACACCCATACTGCCTTTGATAGAGCCACAGCTCTCGACCTGCAGGCAGGGGAAGAGGAGGTTTAAATGTTAACATCCTGGTACATCTATCAGCTTTAGAGATTATTATTGCTGTAGCAGTATGTTACAATTTGACATAGTGTTGTGCCTGACAGCAGTTATGACATATCACTGGATACACACACACACACACACACACACACACACACACACACACCACTGTAGCTAGTAATAAACAAAACCTTTCAGGAGTTACAACACAAATCACCCAGCATGCTTGAAAAAAGGTCATCTCAATGATAAACAGCTGGCATTATCAGAGTAAGGATAAACACTTCAGTCTCTATGGGCTAAATGGGCTATCTGAAAGAAAATGGGAATTAAAGCATTCATCCATTCATATTGGATAAGCTCAATTTCCTCCCTTAAGCCTCATCAGCTCTATCTGGACAGAATCAAACATGTAGCTCAACTTCTACACTTATTAGTCAGTGAATTATGGCATTTCCCATTCAGCTCTGTTAAACTAGGGTTGTAAACTTCAATGCTGTGCCAGTAAATCTGCGGTACAGCCATTAACTTGCGAGTGAGGGAAGGGATTACATTAGAGTTCATCAGGTACACTACTGAGCTTCCTGTAGCCGTGCATTTATCATTACATCAGCAGGAAAATGTTTCAGGAATGTTGGCTGTTTGACAACAAAGAAGTTTTTCAGTTTGGAAAGCCCAGTTAAAGTATTTCATTCTATGCAGAGGACTAAATTCAACCAGCGCTGACCCATCTAAAGCTGCAGTTTGAGTTTCAGCGGCAGACATTCTGTTCTTAAACATCGCCTTACTTTAAAAATAAAAGCAGCAAATGACTTGGAAGACCTAGAAAAGATTTGTTTCAACTCAACACTTTGAAGAAATGTGATAGTGTCTCTGCTCCTGCCTAAAAATAGCCCTCAAAAAACACACTTTCTCAGACAATCCCATTACTGGGTCACTGGGAGCAGAAAGTGGAGCATGTCTTGTGAGATCAGACTGTCAACACTGATGAGAGCGACACTGAAGCTTTCATCTCCTGTAGATGTAGGTACAGCAGTTTGCATTTAAGGCTCGCTGCGGGATGCCTCAGGAGACATCTGTCTTTCAGCAGACGATATTTAACAAACACAAGATCCTGTGCTACCAGCTAAAAGGTTCAATGTAATCTCATTCTTGCAGATTGAAGAGGAAAACACAATGCAAAACTGGCTTTAATCTCACCGTGAGACCTATAAAATGTCTGTGTAATGATTGCAATGCAAATTATGCGGAACACAGATAAACTTCAGTCAAACTTGTACTGTATTGTAAAAAACCAAGCTACATCAAGCCAAAGTTGGTTTTGTAGCATTCCTCGCAGGCCACAAACCTCTAAATGACTTCATCATTGTAGTAACTGAGAACAAATTAACTGTAAATGTTGAACAGTTGCACTCTACAAAGTGTGGCACCCTTGTAAATCTGTTTGACACATTGAAAGAAAACAACGAATCCGCAGCTCAGCCATTATTAATATTCTGACACAGCTCACAACTGGAGTGTGTGAGTTTAGGCAAACAGCCACACAAGTGCAGACAGACACATGCACACATGCAATACGCTCACAGGGACAAACAGAACACAAAACTGTTGCTGAAAGAATTACGCAACACATGACTGACCCAGTGAACTACATGTGGCCCCTGCCAGAGGTCAAAGGTCGCAGTCAGTAAATCAGGCAGCTCAGACAGGCAGACAGATTGATCCAGCTGCAGCATTACAGCTTACACATAATACGTTTCAGTAACTGTTAAAGCAATCAATAACAATGGAACAAATGACTATGTATAACACGAAAGCTAGAGGTGGGCGATATATATCGCTTGCGATAATATCGTCACTGTTGTAGAGAGCGTTGCTGCACCGTGTATTAAGTGGATGTGAGGAGTGGCGAAGTAATTTAAATACTCGATAATGACTCAGGTCACATGACTCGGGTCACATGACTCAGGTCGGGTCACATGACATGACTCGGGTCACATGACTCGGGCATTATCACCAAAATCCCCCAAAAAATAAATATTATTTTTTGCCCATATCGCCCACCCCTAACGAAAGGCATCACTTGTATTGAGAAACGGAGAATTATCATCCAACTTTGAAGTTCCCCGCAGCTCTACAAATATTTTTAGTGTTCAGCTCATTGTTTTGGTTTTGCAGTCCATAGATTTACTGTTGAGGCTCACGCTCACCACTCTCATACAGCTGCATCAGGCAGTTGTTTACAGCGAACAAGCTCAGATAAAGCCACTGTACGCTGCCTGCCCATCGCCAAATGGCAGACAGACAAAGTAAGCGACTAGCTGGTGACCATAGTGAGATTAAAAATAGAGCTAAAACAAGAGTGGAAAATGTGCGTTATATTGAGAGTAGCAGGTTCACTAAAGTCATTCATGCCACTGCCTGCATATATTCATCTATGTATATTTAGATATATTTATTTATTGATCAGTAAGTTCTCAATCAACTTATCAATTAATTCCTAATCTTATGAATGAAACCACTTGGCCAAGATACATGCCAGAATGCAGGATTTTTTTCTTAAAATCATACAGTATGTTTCAAAAATATATATATATAAATAATCAGAGGTGGGCAGAGTAGCCAAAAATTGTACTCAAGTAAAAGTACTGTTACTTAAGTAAAAGTTAAAAGTAGTCATCCAAATAATTACTTCAGTAAGAGTAAAAAAGTACTTGGTGAAAAAACTACTCAAGTACTGAGTAACTTTTGAGTAACGTCCGATTTATTTTTTAACACAAGTATTCAATCAGACAGACAAAAATACAAAATAATCATCTTTAGGCAAATTATAATTCATCCAATCAATAAAATTAATTAAAATTAATGAATTAATTACAAAATAGCTTAAATTAAAATAATCCAGGTAAATTCAAGTACTTAAAAAATAAAATAAATAAAATAATAATAAATAAAAAATAAATAAGCACAAGTAACACAAATTTCCAAACCTTTATACTTTTTTAGCAGGCTCTGCCGGCAGAACTAGAGCAAGGCAGCCCATAAACTCTCATAAACTGTGTGTGTGTGTGTGTGTGTGTGTGTGTGTGTGTGAGTGACAAGACACAGCATAATGTAGCTGCTGTTTTGCACTTTTACTAAGGTAAACATGCTTTCAATATGAGGCCAGGGGTGTTCCTCCTCATCTGTGTCTGCATTGCCGACAGTTGATTCTGACATTTTTGTTTGCTACGACTGTAACGCTAACCCATCCCGCCGCTGAGATTGAGTATGGTCACGTGACAAGACTGCACAACTACGTTTGATTGGTGAAACACAGATTCTGTATTCTTAACCTTCCTCAGACTAGCTGAAGGCACTAAATGTTACAGCCTGGACCTGTGATAGTAAAAGGGCAGCAGGGTCTGTTAATATGTAAATAAAACCCTGTGAACTGAACTTTGTTTGGCATTTTTCAAGCACTCATTCAACATTTTCTCTCAGGAACTAATTTGACCTTGTCCATTATGTCTGTGTACTTTATGGGAAAGGTTCAAGGCTTTACATTCTGCTTTTATCTGACATTTAACAATCAGCACAAAGGGGAAAAAAAAAACGAAACCTCCAACCTTTAGTCAGTTCAGGATTCAAACACAAATAACGCCTGACTCTCATGCAGAGAAGAACAAAAATGAAACACCTATTTGACTGGTGCGTCTGGCACATGTGCTCAATCCTCCCACAGCTGTTAAAACACTCACTAAGGCCCTCTGATTCTGACTATAGCTTTTCTTTATCTGTTATTGGTAGTACCACTCAACTGCTTTAAATAGACACTGTCACAAACCCCCCCACCATACCATACATATGTGTAAATATTTTTGTAATCCCTGTTTTGGTTTATTGAATTACACTGTGAGAATTAATTAACATGATTTTAAGCAGAGGCTTATGCAAATGGTAAGATCTCAGGGAATGTTGGCCCAAGAGTCATTATTAAATCAGGGCTTTTAACTACAAAAGACATCACAAACAGGTTACAAATAGTGTTTGTGTAGTGCTTGTACGTAGCTGAGAAAGATGAAGACTGTGTGATGTTTATGCATGAGTACAAAGTAGTATATGTGGTGTTTCGGAAGGCTGAAACAACACCTTTATTTTTATTCAAAAGGTGTTATCTTGTGCAGAAATGTAATATTCTCTAATGCGTTCAGTTTCATAGCAGCAAAACATAGAAATCTGCCAGAATTTCACCAAGACATTTTACTAATTAAAGCCTCTGAATTAGCATTTAGACCATCATGTGCCACAAAGCCTGGGTATGCTCAAAACAAACTCTATCATATGATGTCTATTATGGCAAAAGTTTTTATAGTCGTCCCAAAAGGTCACAGTTGATGCTGGGGTGAAAGCCCACTATCATAGAGAAGGACTGCTCAAAGGAATTCATGGAATTGCACTCATTTTGAAGAAGAATGAAAAAAAGAGAGCTTGAGAGAGGAGTTTAGACCCTGCATACTTATTCCCTTCCACACATCTGGCCGCTGCATGAAATGCTCAATTGTCGGTTTAGTGGGTTTATAACTCGGTTTGACGATCCAACAAGCGCTTTGTTTGAAGGATACTGAGGCCACATTTATGCTCCGACTAAAGTGCTTATTGGATGGTTCAAAGAGCATCTGAAACACCCCCCCCCCCCCACACACACACACACCTTTCTGATAACAGAGCTACGGAGGGCTATGTCCAACAATTTCTAACATTCACACCAACTTCATGCAGTGACTGGCCAGCTATGTAGAAGTGAAAAAGTAAACCAGGTTTGAACCTCTCATGCTGTCTTTCCTCAACTATTTGTGTCACTTTTCATGTGAACAAAAGAGTGCAACAAGATGCCTGTTTTCCAGGAAAGACTGTCTGAGAAGTTGTGCATTTATTCTCAGCATTTATTTATAACTATATTTAATAATTAATGCCGTCTCGCCCTTCATACTGACAGCAGGATTTTCACCCTGTGAGTGTGAACGTTGGGAACAGCTGCTGTAAGATGTGACTGGACAACATGTTTTTGCCTTTTATTTGACATTGAAGAGGCAGACAGGGAACAAAGGACACTGGCTGGAATAGAGCCGTGGATATTGCAGCTATGTGGCACATACTGTAAGCATTCGAGTTAGCATTCTAGTTCTTATTGAGTATACCCAAAGCCTTAACCCATTTAGAGCTGCACAGGACACTAAAACTCTTCCCTAAGACCAAGGTTACAGAAATACTTTAAGGGTTGGAAGATTCTTAAAAGGCATAGACCCACTCTTATTAAATTTTCATAAAATCCTTGAATTTAGAAATTATTTCACGAAGAAACGCTACCAAACGAACAATAAATAAGTAAAACATGACGTTTTTGTTTTTTTTTATGTTGACGTGCTTAAGGACTAGCTGATATCTAATCTTGACTTTGAGCTGATAATTACTATAAAACGAGAAGAATGCATGGATGGATGGATGGATGTAGTTTCGGACATGTCAGATCAACACTCACAGGAAACGGCTTGCGCTTTCTTCCAGGCTTGCCAACTTTACAAGAGGTACTACTTTTAGCCGAGTACTCCTCTGTCATCAGGTCCATGTCCAGTATTGTGCTTTCACCCTGTCAATGAAAAAACAAAAAACAAAACACATGACGTAAACCATGATTTGAAGTCAGTATCCTGTAATAATTGTGTGACCACATCTATAGGAGGCCTGGATGCACAAGATTTATACATTTTTCAAGGTTGTGAAAGACTGTAGTAGTGCATACAGTAAACTAAGTGGAAGTTTCACCTTAGCCAAAGATGCAGCAGGAGTGATACAGGATCTGCAGGAGACGCACAAAACTGCACCATACTGAAACACTTCAACATTTGGGGGGGACTGCAGTGAGTCCTTGAGTGTCTTTGGCGTGAGTGGACAATGAGACAGATAGAAACTGAATGGCACGTTCCTTTGAACTAGGCTGAAGTGAAATCTCCACAGACGCAGCGCTGACCTTCCACAGACAATCCCCTCTTGACACCGTTACAAAGACGTCGACCAGCCCCCACCTTCCCCCCGCTGCAATTTCCCTTTGATTAATAAAACTGTCTACCCCCATGAACAAAGCCTCATGTCCGCCACAACCAAGTACCCCTGGGGTTGATGGGAGAAAAGATGATCCTAATGTAGATGCTTTGAGTTTCAATATTGGCTGAATAGGACCACCAGCACCAGGTCTGAATGCAAATGAGATTGCAAGGCCATTCCTGACAGCTGCGGGGGGGGGTCCTTATTAAATTCCTTTAGTATTGAATGTGAGATTCCCCCCAAGATAAATGGGCTCTCCGCACTGTAAGTCATTCTAGGACTTGTTGTTAAGTACCATCATTTTAATGTTAGGCACTGTGGCGTAAAATGACATGAAACAAGATTACTGTAAGATACAGCAAGACAAACAGGGGAGATTAGGGACACGTGCGGACACCTATTAAATCTTTCAAACAGAAGGAAACTACAGTGACACTGCACACATGTTACATACATACATCTGCCTGCTGTTTCAAAGCTATCTGCAAACAAAATTGCCTGCAAGACTCCATTATAACATGATGCTATCCAGGCAACGGAGAAATCACTGGTGTATTTTAGCCATCTATATCAATTCCTTTACTGGAACTTTCAATTAGTTTTGCATGAAAAAATGTGCCACTTAGTCCATTTAGCTGCTCTAGAGCTTTCGATCTTATCACATGGTCATTGTAAGCTGATGGAGTTTGCCCAGTTGTCATGGAATTGTAGATGTTTAATTTTCCCTTTTTTCCCAAGCACTTTAAGGACTTATCTTGTCTTTGTTAGATTTAAACCCTTTGGCAAAGCCCATCTGCTTATGAAGATCATGTGATATTGTATAGCTCCAGAACTCCAGAATATTATTTCTGTTGCTGCTGTTTCCAAACTCAAGAATGAACCTCATATTTCACATTCAAGTCCTTAAACTGCTCAGATAAATGGGGAAATTCAAACATCTACAATTCCAACTAGGAAAACTCCATTCGCTGATGAAGATGAGGTACTAAATGGAGCTTGTGGTGGGGCAAACAGGAGGTTTTGGAGGAGTCCTGGTGGTTGAGCAGTCTATTAAGCTGTGAGATGAACCCGTCAGATTCTGTGATGCTAGTATTGATATGCTGATCAAATATTGACAGGTTGGAATAATATATCACCGCTATCAAGATACTATTAAGCATTCATAACTGCTATGGAAATACCGTATGTAACCTAACATATCTACATACTAGAGCATTTGGGTTTTGTTTCACCACTGCAACAATAGTTTCGCCCATGTGGGTTTTGCACTTGTATCTACAATAAATAACACTCCTAACTAACTAATTAGAGTCACCAGTATTAGCAACAGCAAACAAATACAGTTTTACACTTAGCAAAAACTGTTGCAGTTGCCATACAGACAAAATTTCTTATCAGGTCACACAATCTGACCTCTGTACTTTTTCCCCATCAACTACCCAGCAAAGCAAAAATACCATAAAAACATTCTTACAAATCTGGACCCGTGCACGCTCCAGATTCCAGCAGACACTACTTGTTAAATAATTTAAAAGATAGAGGATGTTAATAAACACGGGCAGGAATTTCAAAGGTCAGACCATGTTACGTCCTGAGAGTGTTTGCTGCTAAAATGGAATAAATCCATCATCCATTAGAGTCCCAGGGCGATAAACTGATTTGCATAAAGAGATAGATGCGATCAGAGTAACTGATGATGTGATTAATGGGCACAGGGTTATAATTGATAAACATTGCTTTAAAACGCAGAATATTCATCAATGAATTTCTGGATAAAAATACAGAGGTTACCAACGAAGGTTATTGTAAATGTACATACAGATGCTTTTGTGAAGGGACGTGTTTTGCAGATGGTCCTCGTTCATTGTGTGATTACTAATAGAGAGCCTGGTGCAGAATTTGCATAGATAATAACACGTTTTGAGTGCAGCCTGGTGTGCAGGCTCATTTGGGAACCACTTACATGGATGACACAATTCAGTGGTGCCTGTAGGAACAGTCCACACCACAACGCTCATCCAATTCCCAACCCGAGCGCTAACACACTGAATGGAAATAACACGCTATTTTTCACACACAGCTTCACTCTAATATTTTCTGGGGGAAAAAAACAACAGAAAAACCTGAGATATGATTTGTTGTTGCCTGGAGTGAACCCTACATTGTCAATATCTCTGCACTATTTCTGTCTGGGTAGCCGGTTATTTAAGGCAAAGTCTGTTGCCAGGCAACAAGACTAAGGGCAGTACTGTGTAATGGGAACGTGGAGGAAGAGGACAGATCCCCCCAGTAAAAGAGCTGTAGAGCCATTCCAGCTCCAGCACAACCTATACCAGCCAACGCCCCACGTCACCAACCACCATTACAACAGCAAATGTCTCATAATACAGCTGCATCTTCTGCCTGCTCAGTGATGCTGCTACCGCTGCCACTGTGGAGCATCAGTGATGCTGCAGTTACATACAGACTGTGTTAATGAGCCGGTCTGCATTATGAAAGGTGACACGGCACTCCACGTACTGTTGGATTCTTCAGTGAAAATCTGACAATTTTGTCAATAAACAGAAGACATTGATGCGACTGAGTCAGCTCCAGTAAGTCGTAGGATTGCAGAGATCAATAAGGCATTAGTTGGACTGACTGGACTCCATTCATAAAATTGGGAGAGGTTTTAATTGGCTTTGACCTGACGTGACTGTACAAGCCACATTCCTCTTATATCAATGCAACATGGTAAATGGTAAATGGACCTGTACTTGTATAGCGCCTTTCTAGTCTTCCGACCACTCAAAGCGCTTTTACACTACGTGCTACATTCACCCTTTCACACACATTCACACAGCAATGAGCCACAGCCATCGAACAGAAACTAACATTCATACACACATACACATTCACACACCTATGCACGGTATCGGGAGCAATTTGGGGTTCAGTATCTTGCTCAAGGATACTTCGACATGTGGCACCGGGGATCCAACCCACAACCTTCGGATTAGGAAACGACCTGCTCTACCTCTGACCTCTGAGCCACAGCCGCCCAACATCAAAGCAATAACACTAAAACACAAACACACATACACACACTAAGAGATATTTTTAGGAAAATACTATAAAGGCACACTGTACTACATTGTTGCTGGATGAGTCCTGGAGGGAGTAATCTCCTTTTAAATAGGCTCTGTTGAGTTAAGGGTGTCCCAAAAAAAATTGCATTTTGCAGCGATGGAGAATCAAATCCAAAATTAATAGGCAGCAGTCATTCAAAAAGGGCAGAACACGAATTAACTCTTTGAACCCACTAGCAATAAAGTTGAGAAATCAAGTCATTCGCCAACATCATAGCTCCAGAGGAGTATCGTAAAATACCTCGAGAGAGTCTCCTGAGTCATACTTTTGTTTATATCTTACCATTCTTTTTCCAGGTGAATCAGCGTAGTCTGAGCTTTTGAATGCAGTGGTATTGGTGTTGGTGACAGTGTTGGACGGCATCTTCGAAGGTTTCTGTGGGCTTTATGGGTAACGTCTGATAATGGGGCGATGTAGATGAGGTGAAAATAAACTTCTCAAAAGGAAAAAAAAAAAACAACCAAAGAAATGAGAGATGATCCCCTCTTCTCTCCGCTCTCCTGGAAGATAAAAAAAAAAGGAAAATGACAACTTGTTCATTCCTCAGACATTAAGACACACTTGCAATTAAATGCATGCTGCAGTGACACATTTTGTGCACATTTCCACAACTCAGTTTAGTTTTATTTTCTGTCTTTTCTGAGCATCAGCTTTCATTTGTTCAGTGCACGTCATGTATAGGATCCTCTCAGGCTGCTATAGAACACTGTATAGCTACTATCGCCTATAGGGCCACTTTTCTTTTTTTTTTACACGACATGGATGTATTGGTGTACAGTAGTCGAGATTAAATGGCTGTTATGTGCCATATATAACCTGAAAAACGATGCAAAATAAATCCAGGATGATTATATTGTTATATTATATTGCTGTTTAATTATTAATATCTTTACCTCATGTGTCTGGGTTAAAGTTAGTCAACCATGCGTACATAGCGTAGCCACAGTTACACTCCTGGAAAATGTGCACGTAAAATAAATAACCCCCAATGCATCTATATTCACATTGGATGTGTTTAATTTCCTCCAAGGAGGTTAAGTCAAGATTGATGACAGCCGGTTATGATTTATTTAAAAAAAAAAAAAAAAAATAAAGGTCTAATAAGATGCTGGAAAAATAATTGCAGGCAACAACCAGGTGAAAAATAATTTATTATAGAGCCACAGAGGCGTTAAATGTCACATTTCCACCACGCACACATCAAGCTACAACCAGGCCACACGCTCACATTCCTGCCATCGTCTCACTGCACCTAATATTCAATTGGCTATGCGTTAAAAATTGCAAAGTTTTAGGCGTCTGTGCAGCAGGGGAAGTCTGCAGTGTGGACACAGGGGCTGGTGGCTCTTTCGCAGGCCACGGCCACTCAAGTATAAATCCCCGTTATCTTTTTTTTAAATTAATGAGGTCAGTGTTTTCAGATCGGATCCTGGTTCTGTGCTGTAAATTTGGTTCAAGTTCAAGTGCACATCGCGATGTCCAATCAGTACATCAGCGAGAACAAAAAAGAAGAAGAAGAAAAAAAAAAGCCCTAAATCGGCTATTTCCTCATTTCGCCTTCCGCTCTTTCACGGTTTTGTTAACACAAAAACCCTTCCTGCGCAGTTACTAGTGCCGGGTTAAACGGATTTAAATGCGTGAATCGCTGTGTGTTCGTTACCCGATTTTCCCAAGTCCCAGGCCTGACCCTTTTTGTCTCGCTTGCTCCCGGAGCCTCCTTCCTCTTCTCTCCCAGTCCTCCACCAACCCAGCCGGTGAGCTCCTTTCCAGATGCACCGCTCTAACTGCAGCCGCAGCCGCCAGTGTTGCCAGATCTCGCGAGACAAATAATCAACCAAGCCTGTGAAAACAAGCCCCAAACAAGCGACTTTTTCTACTGAGCCCCCCTAGGTTCCGGGAAGAGAAAAACAAATTAACTATGTGCACGGTTTAACAAGAGGGAGTTAAATTATATCAAATATAAACTGATGTACCAAGTACATTATATACACACAGGGGCGGTCCTAGACCATTTGGTGCCCTAGGCGAGCTTCACTGATAGCGCCCCATCCCCAGGAGAAAAGAACTCATGTCCAAAGAATTGCACATTTATTTAAACAATGATAATACAAACAATATAACAATATGTGCAAAAGAATAAACCTGTTCAATAATAAATATACAAAAACAGTAGTGCAACATCTGAGAACAGAAAGTGCACACTAAAGAATCAAAACAAAAAAATTAAACTAACAATAAAACATTGTGTGCAAAATTAGACACTGTAAAATGTGATGTGAGGTTGGCAGGAAGAGCAGCGTGCTCTTGTAGTGTCTCTTCTGGTGGCTCTAGGTGCATAAACAGAGAGAGAACACACAAGAGCAAATACATTGACTGGATGAGACATGGCACAACATATTGTCATTTTCACGCAAGTCAATAAATTTTTATCATCACAAACATTCACTGACACATTAAACTCAGCTGAGGAAACCGGAGCAGCTGAGGCGCATGGCTGTTCCCGGTCTGATGATTCAGCTGCAGGTGGTCCCAAATATTTTAATAGTGAATCTAAAGTGTATTATCAAGTTGCTAAGCATTTTAATTTTGACGTTCTTTTTATATAAATTCACTTAGGATGTGTTTTTCTTTCACTAGAGCGCAAAATGTCCAAAAACTACGTTTTCGTGTTCCATCCATGCACTTTTGTCCAATTCGCATGAAACGTTGCACGTAGCATCTGGAGACCGTCCTGGGAAAAAAAGTAATTTAAAGTATTTTGATATTTCAAAAAATAAACATGTTATAAAATTTGCACTTCCTGTTGATTTTTCGTCAAAAAAGGAAGTGGGGTATTCCTCCACATTGGTATGTCTGATTGACACCAACCTTGGGTCAATAGTTCCTCATGTCTTCATTAGGCATCGTGCATTATTTCAGGCAATCGCCACAAGGTGGCGTTCTTTAAAATAAAGAAGTTTATATCTCCACATCGGCAAGTGTGATTAAAACGAAACTTGGTAGGATGATTGCCCATGGCTCCCTGAGGCTCCCCTAAAAAGGAAAAAAAATCAGGCCACTAGGTGGCGCTCTGGTGGCATGGTAAATCACTCTGCGGAGACCGTAATAGTTATGAATATGAAATTGACAGGACACATGTAGACTGGTACCTTTAGCTCACATATCAAAAATCGTGTTTGTCGTGTTTTTAGCGCCCCCTACAGTATTTCAACAAAGCAGCCCTGGCGCCACGTGTCACCAATATGTATAAAACTCGGTAGGCACATGTTAGGTGCCGAGACCTACAGAAAAGCCTCTTGGACCCATACCCCAAACCCCACAGGAAGTCGGCTATTTTCATTTTCATTTTCACTCTCGGCGGCCATTTTGTTTGTCATTTGCACTTTTTCGCCTTGTATTTTAACAAACAAACTCCTAGGGAATTTATTGGATCTGCTTCAAAATTGGTCAGTACAGTCAAAAAATGTTGCTGAATGAACGCCGCGCTTTTTGTGACTGTATGTTGAAGGGCGTGTCTGTAGCATGCCATCAAAGTTGGCCATTTTGAATTCCGTGGTCTTGTATTTGAACGAACAAACACCTCGTAGGGAATTTGAGATCTGCTTCAAAATTGGTCAGTACAGTCAAAAAATGTTGTTCATTAAAATTTGTGCAATTTGTGACTGTACGTTGAAGGGCGTGTCCGTAGCATGACATCAAAGTTTGCCAGGATCAATCGAATGTCAAACTGTGATGCCATTTTCAGCAGTTTGCAGTGATTTTCAAATTCGATCACTGCAATCTAGACACATTGGTGATCATGAGTTAATCAAATATTTACTGTGTGTCAAACTGTGTGTCCGTGGCATGGCGCTGAATTTTCACCTTTTGCAGTGAAGAGTCTCTCTATGAAAGCGTAAGTCTTTTGCAGTGTCTGAAACGTGTGACAACGTGGTAGAGTGGTCTCCCTCAGCTTCTGGCGATGAGGGCTTGGGAGTGGGGTGACTCGAAAATTTCATGTTGTGGTCCGAACGTGTTACGACGGCATGTGACGCAGCCGCAGCACGCCCCGAGTTGCATGGAGTGCGAGGTCCCGCCCAACGCTGCTTGCAGCTTTACTATTATTGTGCTATAACTTTTTTGATACAATATTCCATCAGTATGTAACTTATACTTATTTCTGTTGATCAGTATATAACATATGCTTATCTTTTGCACCTCTGTCTATAAAGTCCACATGTTGATATCTGCATATGAGGCACTGACTCACTCAGCACTTTACTAGTTTGCACTCTGGTTAGATGTAAAACTGTATTTCACGGTACTTGAACTTGACAGTAAAGTTAAAACTAATCCAAAACTGAATCTAATCTAATTTTGCTATATGGACAGTAATAATAGACTTTTCACTGTGCAGCACGTTGTGACCGTGACGTGTAACAGCTAAAGGTCACGTCAGAATTGTCATTTCTTTTTCTTAAGTTTAATTTATTTTTTATGTCAAAGTATTGTTGTAGATAGAGGGAGGGCAAACACTGTTGAAAAAGTAAATAGACATTATAATTTTAATTATAATTTTTTTCTCGCCGCATATTTGGCGCCCCTCACAAAGTGGCGCCCTAGGCAAGCGCCTACACAGTAAACCTCTGATAAATAAAATTTGCACACACAAATAAATATCATCCTGAATTCACAAATTCTTTATTTATTATTGCAGGGACTGCAGAAGATCCCATTTTTAAATAACTATAACCCAGAAACAGGAGAAAACAAATTATTGATAATCTTAGTGTGCAGCAATAAAGTGGCTCCTGCTCTGATAAACAAATGACTGAGATAGAAAAGACTTAAATAAACTAAACGGGTATATATTATTATATTTCTTCCCGTATTTCGCCCACTTTGTCCCGGGCATTTGTTCCTCAAAAACTCTCCTACAGTCCACCATCAGTCGCGCGTATTTTCATTTAAACGTCACTCACTGACGTTTTCCTAACCAGAAAAAAACAGATTGCCCTGCTCTGCCTCTGATTGGCTAGTACTCGTTGCCATCTAGGTCAGAGCCAATTAGAAGCAGGATGTGGGTGGGAAGAAACTCTGCTGTCTCCTGTGTGTATGGGGAAAGGGGAGGGACAGAGGGAGCAGGCAAGACAAACTCTTACGTTTGAATAACATATAGAAAATATCTGCTTGACATCTTATTATGGAGCTGGGAACAAGCCCAAATAAGCAACTACACTTTAGAAACAAGCCCCAAAAAAAAACGCGACCCGCGACAACCAATATTTGTAAGCGACTTTACAGAAAAACAAGCCCAAAGTCGCTTATAGTAAGCGGACTTGACAACACTGGCAGCGGCCTGCACTGTGCAGGGTCCTAAAGCCCATCGGATCACTAGCTGACACAGTGTGCAGAGGGGGGAGGGGGGGAGACAAGTGTCAGTAGCAACAGCAAAATAACCTGTTTGGCAATGGCAGAAAAGATTTGACACATTTTTCATGGGCGCAACTCACATACTCAGCTCTGCTGCTCATCCCACAAGTGCATGTTCCTTACAAATGGGGCACCATTTGAAAGGAAACTAAACAGGCTTTCCAACGGTATAAGATTTATTGCCAAAAAGCATTGTAACCACAGAGAAATAATCAACCAAACACAAATTTCCTTACTCTTTGCGCTAAGTTTATATATATAGTGGTTGCTGACATTTGCACATTCCATCACAGAAACCTCAGCTATTACACCATATAGGCCCAATTCTAGTACGTGTGGTTACATTGGTACACTTTTGACATTCCTTTGTCATTCTTGTATAAAATGTGTTTATTCTTCATATGTTTCTATTTTGATCTGTAAATTCTTTGGCTGCTGTGACCCTTGAAATTGTGTTCAGGGATAAATACGGTGTCCTTTTGTCCTATCCCGGGTTGAACTGACTGTTTTCACAGCATACATTTTGACTGGTCAAACACAGATGTAACTACTAACATTGGTAATTGCTGCATTGCACTCATTGCTGGAGCACAGCCGTGATTATTGTTCCAGCTGTGCTTTTCCTGCTAAGACGAGTCAAAAAAAGTCTGCAGTGAAAAAGTTTTGATTCATCTGATTCATTTATGAGCAATAGAGAAACAAGAGTGCTTTGACGCTGTCAAGATTAATGTGAGAATACAACAACATATGAGCAAAAACTATATGTAAAGTATTGGATGGAAAGACTTGTACTTCGGTGATGCTACTCATGCTGATCAAACATGTTAGTAAAATTCAGAATAATGGAGTTACTCTTACTAAAGGCAGGAAATTCTTGTGTCTTTTGTGTGTAAAAACTCAGTTTGGGCTAAAGTTTAACTGGAAATTTTCATTTGCATAACAGAAACTAGAAACAAGCAAGAAGAGGCTTTAAACTTATGCAGCTGTTGAAAACCAAATGAAAGTGAAGATTGTAAACAGTCCCACAGCAGTCATTTGTGCACAATATTGCTGTATAATGGCAACATAACTGCACTAATAGAAAGAGGGAAAAAATATGTCATTTGCCTAGTATACATATCTAGTATACACAAGTACACATACTAACGACTTTACACATTACTTATTGTAAAACAGTTACATTCCTGAGTGCACTGGATTAATCATTTATTTGGCCTTAAATCTAAATATCAAAGCGGGTGAGTATGTCTTATCTTTAGCAATTTTATAGATTTTATTCTCTCAGCAGAATCTTCATCTGGCACCACATCTTCGTTTCCTTTCCTAGAAGAGTGCAGCTAGAACAAGATATCAAATCTCTTATCACTTTCCTTCCATTAACCCTACAGCACCAACCTACCACTGCAACCCACATTAATCCCATACATGCCCACCAGACGGAGACACCGTGAGGTTGCAGGACGCAGCCAGAGACTCACAGGGCAACTCCCTATGAGAGCAGTGTGTGGGTGTTTGGACAATGACTCAAGGGAGAGAGAGGAACTGTGTGTGCAGCAGGCCGATGTGGTTCACTGATCTGGAAGCAGCCACGTCTCCTCTTTCTCATTGAGTCAATGGCACTGAGTGGTTCATGTGAGGACAGCAACAGCAGCAGCAGCAGCAGCAGCAGCAAGACGATGCCACATGATCTACAGTCAGGAGGGTGTGATACCAGCTAGTGGAAATTCTGTATTGCCCAAGAAACCCACAGAGGAGGATGCTAATAAGGTCATAGTAGCTCGACCTCATGTCACCTGTTTTGCCACTGTCTGAGCCTGAAGCAACAGGAAAACGGCCGGAGATTGTTTTTGATTTTGGTTTGTAGTTGAAGCAGGATATGGCATTGTTTTTAGTTGCCCTTTTGAGAGGAAGTGTTTACCCATTTTCTGCTTTAAAAGAGAAACAAGGGGAATAGTCAGGCACAGGAGACACAGTGTAATTTAAGGGTTTTATTTACCTCAGTGTGCCTGAGAAACAAACCACTTGAAAGTGAGCACAATTTAAAACAACAAAGAAATACAGTTCTTTCCAGCCCTCCACTACAGGCTACACCGAGGAAACTGACTGAAATATTTATATCTATCTGGCCGGATAATGAACACAAAAAGGTGACAGGAGAATATAAAATACCTCGGTGGTGGAAGAAATACTTAACTTACGCACAAGAATCAATAATATTATATTCAAAATTTCACTTCAGCAAAAGTTGAGAAATAAAAAGAGGACAACAGCAGCCAAAGTAAAAGTACTTATTATGCAGCAGAAAGCCTGCTTCCAGAGTGTTATATTAGGATATATATTATATTATTGATTTGTAATTATTGATGCATTAATGTGTAAGCAGCATTTTATTGTAGTTGGTCAGGGTGCAGACAATTTTAGCTACTTTATAAACCTCTGGGTATTTTAATCAATAACAGTGCAACATAATTTATTTATTGATTTTGTAACTAAATATCAACTAAAGCTCAAATACTCCAAATAAATGTAGTGGAGAAAAGTAGAAGTATACAGTGGTATGAAATAGAAATCTACAATAGTGCTAAAAGTACCTACAAATATTAATTGACAGTACTTTGAAAACAAAATTCATGTTGAAATCTCCCTCAGTGAATCCTGATGAGGTGATTCTGATAAATCATCCCAGAAGGTAATGCCTTTGTGTTCTGTTTAACGTCTAAATTACTTGATGACAAAATAAAAAAAAAAAAAAAAGGGGGGTTAAAAAAAAAAAAGAGGGGGTTTTTAAAAACCTGTGAGAACACTTCCTGATGCTTAAATCACATGCTTATATTCCTACATTAATATTACAATGGTCACTTCACTTTGTCTCTCATAGTCTATGAAGTGACTTTATAAATAACAATGGTGGAAGATTCAGAACCTAAAAGTGTTCGATACCACTATGTTAAGATATTATTTTATATAATATTACTATTGTATTTGTTGTGTAATTTTATTTGTTTTCATATTACTTTTACAATATTAAGTATACAGTCATTGCAACTTTTAGTGTGTGTAATGTTTGGTTCATGTATTGAATGAACGTAATGAATATTTTCTCAATAGTTTAGAAAAAATGCATATTTGCTAGAATTATTACTGATGCATATATATGTAAGCAGCATTTTAATTTTGTAGTAACAATGTAACAATTGTAATAAAAGTAATAAGTAACTCCAGCTATCATGTAATAGAGTAAAAAGTACAATATTTCCTGTAGTAGTAGTGGAGTAGAATTTCAGAAAAAGATATCAAATAAAGTATAAGAACCTCAAAAACACACTTAAAATAATGACGTGACCCTGTAAAGCCATATTTTAAATCTTTTTAATATATCTCACATTTGATTTATTTACAAAAGACAGTGGCTTTGTGACATAAAACTATGTTTTGTAAAATCAACATGAGAAACAAATGTGTACCAGAAGCATAACCATACAGAACACATACATAGATAAATAACATCAGGGGAGCGTTGTCGCCGACGCCGTCCTCTTTGCATGTTGTCTCTCTGCAAACAATAAAAGGATCACAATGTATGCACCTCTGTATGACCGGCTGTGTTTTATTCGTATTACCCCGAGTTTGGTCTGACAGGGTATACAGTATTGCCTTCACATTGGCTAAAATGACATCAGTGACTCTCTATCAGTAGTTTTGGAATGTGTTTTCTGGCTTTATTTTCTATTAAATGTGAGTTTTTCCAGCAGTGGAAAACATTAACATGTGAACATCTCCAGGCATTCTGTGAATAGACTATGGGCAACAACAACATACTAATGCAGATATACTTTGATATATACCTGTAATTTGAATACAACACGATGTCTGCAAACAGTTTGGCACAAATGTAAAGGCTGAGCATCAGTTTTCCCCAGAACACATTTAATAAATAAATAAAATCTCTACAAAGTCACAGACAGAAAGGCTGATAGATGGTCTTATTTGCTGAATGGATACTTTATACAGCACTTTTACGGAACAGCTACAGGCACAAACTGAAAGAACAAAAACAAAGCTAACCTTTGAAGTCAAATGGCCAGAATGAAGGGGAAGACAGTTTAAATTCTTACCTCTGCATTTTTAATCATTTCTGGACATTTTACGCTGAATAAACAGCAGTTGTTATTTAAATTACATTACTTTAATTCTAAAAACCTCTTCATGGTAATTTATATTCGGGTGCAAGTGTGAGTGTGCACATGAATCTGCATTTGACAAACTCATTACATTGACTATACTCCACTAATACTGTAAACCAGAATAATAACAATAATGATAACATAGAGCAGAGCAGAGAACTGAATGAAAACATCACATTTAGAACGTCGATAACAGAGGAGCCTCTTTTTGTTCTTTTTCTTGACACAGTGTAACAGGTTGCTGAAACCTTATACTTAGCTTATAGGATAGGCTTACTGTACAAATCTCAAAACAAAGCGTTCAGGCTTTTCAGCTCAATTCAGTCAGATTTTACCCACAACTTGCTTTGAGAACTGGAACATATTACTCAAAAAAACTGCTCCCAGATCTTTTTTCACATTTGCATTTACTAAAAAGCAAACATTGCTCATTTTTATTTGAGATGAACAGCTACCCTGAAAGACAAAAAACATTGAACCAGAAGACAAAAATGTGAAGGTAACTTAGACCTGATTTCTGTCTGTCTCAAAACAAACATCCTCTCTGGTTGACAGCTACCTCTGCAACAGCTTTGCTTTTTCCGTGAAAGACACAAATTCACACACAAACTATATCCAACAACATGCTTCACCAAAATAGCACTTCAGAAAAAACACCTTCTAAGGATCCACATTCTTTATCCTGCGTTTAATCACTTCCGGTTGTTTTCACCTCTATATATTTAAAGAGTTTCATTCCAAAATTGAACCAAATTGACTCGTGAAGGGAGAATAAAACGAACGTCTTTAGGAAGAGAAACTCAATCTTACGACAGGGATTACAAGGAAGTTGAACAACGAATTTGTGAACAGTGGATGTGTATTTGGAATGAAACCCTCCATTATTAATCATCCTCAACCTCTGTGGCCAATGACGTCTAGCATTTAAAGGACGTCACCACCACATTTCACCTAGTATAGCTCTGCAGTCCCTGAGCACCTACCTTCATTGGACATAAACATTTTCAATAATCCTTTATTAACTAAATAAAGCTATCAAAGCATGTCCTACTTGCTTACTACGACCTTACATCCCCACGCACTGTATAAGTGTTCATTTTGTAACTCACAACTAAAACTCAGTGCCTAGTTCATTACTATTTAAACATCCTGAGGTGCTTCCCTACACTTAAAACAATAAATACTACCAGCTATTCAGGTGTGTTCAGTTAAGTTTTCACGGGGAGGAAACAACGAGACTCGGCTCATTATTGTGTTTGGAGTAGCCCCTTGGTTTCTCTTAATTGCGCAGCCCTCTTATTTGCAAGGGTGGCTCACTGAGAGCACAGTAGCAGCAGTACAGTATGTGACTCAAGGAGTGTGTTTACACGCACGCAATATTCTGGATACCAGTTATTATTTCTGGTTAAGGTCTGAACCGGGACATGTTTTTTTTATGTGTGTCTTCATATTGCAATAACAGATATGCCTGCACACATTCAAAGAAGTGGTCTTCTGGGAAGAGCTGCAACTAACAGTTTCTTTATTAAATCTGATGATGTTTTTTCTTTTGGAGAATATCACTACCCCTCACGTGTCTGTGAGGAAATATGAAGCTACAGCCAGCATGAAGACTGGAAACGGGGGAAACAGTGAGCCTGGCTATGGCTTTGTTTAATTTGTATAAAAATAAGAAGTTGTGGTTTTGCGGGGGTTATTTTGGTTGGCAACCTCCTCTCAAAATATGACTGCAGGAAGTCACTGTGGTTGGCCAAGAAATAGTTCAGCCCCCAACATCCTTAAAAACTACAACTTCTTGTTTTTACACTTAAACGCTAAAATTTGCAGATGAAAATGATCTTGGAGCAAACTCTGGTATAATACATCCAAGGTAACATGTATGTATAATATTGAACACAATGCATTAGAAATAAAATGAATTAAAAAAAGCCAAAGGCTTTGGATGACCAGATTAGTTTAGGTTGCTTAAAGCCTGGAAACAGGGGTAAACAGCTGGCTCCGTCCAAAGGTTAAAAGACACCTAGCAGCACCTCTAAAGCTCACTCTGATGCATTATATCTTGTTTGTTTAACCAAGACAAGTTGGGGTTTTTTAGGGGGGAATTATATGCTGGCACAGAGATTTCCTGGAGTCTCCGCTGGTTGCCTGGCACCCCCACGGTGACGGCAAAACTCCAAGAATTTTTTCAGAATATGGTTGCGCGAGTAAACACACTCAACGTGAATTCTGAGGCAGGACACTTCTGACACCCCAGCTGTCATCATAAACCCACAAAGAGCTGGCATAGCATGGTACAGTACCTAAATCCAGACATGAGTGCAACTTCATGCAAAAATGATTTAAAAAAAAAAAAAAAGAAGACAAAATAATAATACTAGCGCTAATTATACAAAAGCAATGACAGGGAACGTGTTGTGTGACAGGAGGTCACCTTCATGTCGGGGGGCGTTCCCGTGGTCATGTGTTTTACAGTATTTTATATACAGAATGATCTGCTGCGATGGAACAGTTGGGGGAGAAAGCACAGCAAGCCATTCCTTAGCAGTCATGAGGGAAATCATTGGGTAATTACAGCAGTTTTTGTTTACAGAACAACATACACACTCGCTAATTAGACACATCTTGCTACCTGCAAGGTGTGAAGAAATTGTTTTTTTCACATAGTGAAATCCTGTTAGATTACAGCATGCATTACTCTACGTGCTAATGCCAGGGGTTGTTGTTGTTGTTGTTGTTGTTGTTACAGATTCTTCCCATTTGATGACTGTTTGTCCTTACAGGGTGGAATGGTGTTGTCTTTTCCTCAGTGCTTCGGTACTCTAACTGTGCCTGGATACACACACAGAAGAGCAAATTTAGTGCTGCTGACAGTCTGCAAAGTCTGAATTAATTTGTAAAAAAAAAAAAAAAAAAAAAAAAAAGAAGGTATAAATGAGTATGTGGCTGTGTGCCATGGTGCCTTGTTACTTTGGATGAAGGGTTGAAGCAGAAGCTCATTATAAAGAGCCAAATAAGTATTTTATTGGCTGATAAAGGTGTCGTGCAAATGTTTAGCTGCGGCCAACTCTTCCAATCCAACAAACGAATAAGCAATGCTGTCATAATTAGCACCAACTACTGTTCGTTCAGTTGCAGAAAATAAATGTACTTCAGGCGACTTGTTTATATAAAGTTAATATATGCAAGAATGACTGTGGTTGCAATAATTTTCAGATCATCAGAGTCATTTTCTTGTGATAACAGGTTGATTATGTTGTTAAATTATGTTGTTATCCCGACAAAACAATGTGATTTTTTTAGATAATGGGATAATTAAGGCATACAACAGCTTGCTTTCTAGAGATAATGAGATAATTATCCCATCACAATATTTTGGTATCTTGAAATAAGAATATAAGTAACTTGTGATCTCGAGACAACATAATTTTTATTATTATCATTGTTACAACCACGGCCGCTCTTGGCTTTTGTATTATGTTATATATGCATAATGTAATATTAATTAATTCCTACTTTTTGTTGTTCATTCTGCTTCAGCTGAAAAAAAAAGAAAGGGAATATTGCATTTTATTGGCCAATGTTTTGTTTAATCTTTATGATGATAATTCTGCATTCTGTTTTTGAGTGGCTTACTCTAAATATGTATGGCTGGCTCTGAAAGATTCAATTAGAAAACTATTAGCATGTACTTACCTCTGTCCCCACCGTTCCTCATGTTGATCTCCTCCTCGTCTCCCCCGTCATCCACTTTAAAAATAAAACCCAAGATTTCAGTAATATTGTTTTTTGCTGAATGTAAAAACTCAAAAATGTGGAGGGAAACTTTTCAGATACGGGTGTAAGAATGACATAAATGCAAAGAAAGGTATGTGTTGAAGATAACTCAGTAATGGCGTGTTAAATTCCTTATTAGATACTTAAACCCAGGGAACAAAACAGTCTTAAACATAATCCAGATGATAAAACAGACTCTAAACATGTGGTATGGACAAACCTGAGTGCAGCTCTTTCACCAGTGATGACATGGTGTTTGTAATTGAGTCAGCAGCAACTAATAGATCATTCCGAAGATTTCTAGGTACACCTAGAAAACAAAGACATTTTAAAATCAAACTAAAAGCAAATGCAGTTTTAGTATGGAAGTGTAAATAGGCAAAGGTGGTTGAAGTGCATTACGTGGGAAGTATTAAGAGAATGTGGGTCCTTCTATATATTTTTAAATATTCCTAAATAACTACTCAGTATGTTAAAGATTTGCAGGAGTTTCACAATGACAGCTCTTTGTTTCAGGTGGGGGTGCACACTCACCCTGAGCAAAGGCTTCAAGCACGTCCCCTCCCACCCCTGCCAGGCAGTCCTGTGGTGTGTGTGTTGGGGTGGACCCAGCCGAGGTGGAGCGTATGGGCATGGGCATGGAGCAGCCCGCACCGTGGCTGGGGGAAGAATGAGGGGAGCCTCCAGACTGGGACTGCAACAAAAAAACACCCGTGATAGTTACAGTATCGTCAGCAAAAAAATTTAACCTTTACAATTTGTCTTTTCACGTATTGCCTCAAAGAGTTTAACATGTAGATGGAAAATGCCTCTTTTTTGTTATTAACTTTTTAAATATGTCAGCTCACAATACAGGTTTGTTTAACCTCAGTTAGTCTTGAAACAGATGTACACTTTGGGAAATACGCAAGTGAACTGAAACAAATAGATATAACATGTAATTAAATTAGCTTTAGAGGTGCTTATGCAGATTTTTGGACAAAGCTAGGCTAACAGTCTTTATTCTAAGCTATGCTAACCAACTGCTTGGGGTAGCTTCATATTTACTGTACAGACACGAGAGGCACTGATGCTTTCAATTAACTTAAGAAGCAATAAAAAGCATATTTCCCAAAATGTACAACTTTTTCTTTAAAATCATATTTACTCATCCCATAAGACATAAGGCAATATGCATATTTTCTTCTTTCATATTTTTTTACTATTATTCAGGCTCACAATAATTTGGGAAAGTTGGTTTTGAAACATGTTTATGCGTTTGGTGCAGTCTTGATTTGCATAAGCAAATAAATACTATATCACCAAAAGAATGAGATATATACATTATGTTTTACCAGGACAGGTGCAAAAGATTAGATGTTACTAGGCAACTTATTGGTGGTGCATAGATAGCAAATAATGTTCATGTGAATCTGGGCTTCTGATAGAGAGAGAAAAAAAACTTTTTTCCAATTAAGCTCTACATCAACAAAGCCAATTCTGGAACATTTCAATGGAAGATGCCGTATTGCAATCACAGATTGCAGCTTTGCTGAGAGAGATGGCCTTTTTGCTTCTAAAGATGACTTTTATTAAAACAAACACAGACACAGATGTGACCTAAAGAACTTAATCCTTACAGGGAGAACAAACAAAAACAAGGCAAGAAACGTTCTGGAAATCCTAAACTGGCTGGATATACTGTGTAGCCTCTATAGTGCACCTTTACTGCATCAAGGGGGTAATGAGAACCATGTGAGGGCGAGCAACTGGGGCCTGCGCTGAGACGAGAGATATATCTCAGAGAAAGGATCACTGTGTGTCTCTGGGACTGGTGCAGGCCCAGGTCGATGGCTTGGAGCCAGGCAGCAGATGGCCGGCCAGACTGCAGTCACATTAGAAGGGAGGTTGTTAGTGCCGATGAAAGGAACAGGTTCCTGACATTTGGGCTAAGAAAAACATAGTTCACCCAACTCGTGTGGACCGAGGACCAAATGAAAGACCAAAACTGATCTTGAAGATTTTGTCGCAAGGAAGTGGTGGTGTAGGACTAGATTAGTGTAACCCAGTTATAAAGTGGAATCCTATTATCTTTGCTAACATCCCGCTTAAAAATCTATTATAAAAACTTCCTTCAATCACATCTGTGTGAAGGGGGGCCTATAGTAGCATTAAACTAAGTGCTGAGCCAGGTATTGAGCCTTGCAAACTGAATTAAGGGCAACTTACAGCCTGCTTCTGCTCCTCATCCTATCAGCCAGCAAAGGTAAGCAGTGAGAGAGAGCAAGAAGAGTGAGAGCAACAGAATTAAAGCAGCGGAAGACGAAGACGAAGACGAAGAAGAAGAAGAAGAAGAAGAAGAAGGAGAAAGGGGTTTCTGCATGCACCATAAGGCACATTAACAAAACTTAAAAAACAATGCAATGTCTTGGTTTAAAAGAATCAAACATGCCAACATCTCATTTCATCAAACATGCCACCAAGCTTTACAAACCGAATCATATAAACGAGATTAGAACTGACAAGACCTGTAAAATGCTATATATAGCATATTTAGGAAAATGAGTCAGTGTTTATGCTGCATCCTAGGCTATTAATACTGATTCAGAGGCCTTTTTTTATCACACCTAAATCTTCTAGAAACAGGTGATCGTCTTACCTTTAGCAGCCTCATGAGTCCCTCCAGCTGCACCATCAGCTCCCGTCTGCTCTCCTGCAGGGCCGACATGCGCCTCTCCAGCTCATCCTTCCTGTGTCTGCGGCACAAGGAAGAAGTTTGGGGATACATTAAAAAACAAGGGTTGAAGTGATGCTTGGATCTGATAGTATTAAAGCACAATGCACGGGCAGATGTAACTGTTTTTGAGTTCTCTAACAAAGCCTTGATTGTTTGTTTCCATATTGTTTGTAAATGACTTCACAAATACATATATTTCAATAACAATATTTATATTTCTTCCCAGTAAAGGTATATGTGAGGAGGTTACTCATTTATTTGTGTAGCAGATCCAATAATAAGGATCAGCTGCAGACACACAGATACTACGTGTTGATACTGCATCATTTGCATCCTGCCACTGCGCTGTTTTAAGCTCCTGTTGCTCTGGTCTAGTATAATAATGTTTATCCATTTGGTCTCCATGTCATTGGTTGCTTCAACACAAAAAAAAAGACATTTACTTCACATCTGGTCACTCTAAAGCACAGCACTCAAACCACCCGCTGGGGTGCCACATCTGGCCACAAGACAATTTTATTAAAGCCCCAACATGTTTAATTGACTGCTAAATCCGGCCCACAATTTCTTATTATTTTCTAAGCCTAACCTGCTGTGATTCTTTCTTTTATTTTACAGTTATCACTTAAAATCTGCCTCTTTTTTTTACATTTAACATTCCAAAGCTGCACCTAGTTGCACTACTAGTCAACACAAGTACTTCTATTGTGACCAACCGAACTGATTTACGGTTAAAACCAAGATAGGGTTAATGCTGACCTGGAGCACAGGACAGTTGCAAGTGAGATGTACAACTGAGTACTTATTAATTCATTGCAACTATTACTCATCTCGTCGGCAAGGAGAAAGGTGCTATTCTCCAGGAAACTCAATCTAAACAAGCAGAGCAGTGTGACCTTTGTGAGAGAGGGAATAGGGAAAGACTAGCTGCTCAGCTTCAGAGTGTACAAGGTTTAAATTCATTGTTTAATAAAGAGATAAATGTGGGCCCGTGGGAAATTTGAGCTTGTAACCCCTGTTAAATATAAATATCTGGCTCTCTTTTCGATGTGGAGTCTGGCTTATTATTACCCTCTGGTGTTCACAAAGTGTAACTGCATTTTGAAAAAACTGTAACAATCTTCTGTCTGTCCGGAGTCATTCTATCAAAAACCACAAATATCTGCAGACTGTAAACACTGCTGCTCTGTTATGTATCCCCGGGCTGAATAAAGGCAATATCAGAACTATCTACCCGGGCTCCAAACACAGTGCGAAGTCTGTGATGAAATAATTACTACTTGATAATATCCAGGTCTAAAACCTGAATCACAAACAGGCTCAGTGAGCTGAAAAATGCTTCTAGATATGTTTGAATTACACTGGGAGAAAACAGTAAGAGGAATAAATATAGCCTCCAGTGACATAAAGCAATTATTCTACAGTTTAATTACCACGTGTTTTTATACATATAATTCCTGTAGATATAAGAATCCCTTAACCTGCTAATGAAGGGCTGTGTGGGTGGTGAAACTGAGGCAGTATAATTCAAATTCATCTCTGGTTCTGCTGTAACTGTACATAATTGAGCAGCACTGAAGGGTAGTCAATAAATTATGTTATTAAACATTAAATTAAATAAAATTTTAAATCTCGGTTAAGGTTGTTGACCATAAACCTTATTGCTGATTCATTATTTAGGTCAGACCAGACAAACAATGAGTCATTCAGGGCAACAAGTGCTGTAACGCGTCTCCCTCCAAGAACTGAACCCAAAGCGTCCTGCCAGCATGATAAATGCCCAGACTGCAGCTGGTGAAGCTAATTCAGAAACACCCTCCTGAATTAGTAAGACATTATTTTCTACTTGAAGAATGGGTCCCGGCTACATAAATACATCAGCCCTGGAGTGGTTTTACTACTTGATTTCCTTAATATATTGCTCTTTTGTCCTGTTGTGTGGAGGAAGATGCTCCTTATAAGCGGTGTGGTGGTGGTGGGGATGATACCTGAGGAGCCGCAGTTCGGTCAGAAGTGTGGGGTTCTGCTGGGCTTTTTCTGGGGTCGGCTGAGAGGCCTGCTCGTGCTCCAAACGCAGCCGCTGGATCTCCTGGAGGATCTCCCTGAATGAGTTAATCACTAGTTAACTAAACTGAAGTGTTGGAAGAAATTTTGTGGTATCCAGCGGTATAGTTGCAGATTACAACTCCCTTGCTTCACCCTCCCTTTCCAAGCCTGAAGAAGCAACTACGGTGGCTGTGAAAGCTGCAAAAAAACGCAAACAGCCCTATCTAGAGCCAGTGTTTGGTTTACTGTAGAAACATGGCAGTTCAACATAATCATCTAAGGTTACAAAAACATAATAATTCTTATTTATTTGACTTACACACTAATGAAAACATAGTTGTGCATAGATAGATTATGAAATAGATCGTCCTAAATGTTACACAATGGACCTTTTAAAGAATTGTTTTTGAAAATACGCTTACACTCGACGGGTTGCCTGGTGTGCTCACAGTGATGTCAAGAAGAAATTATCTGGCAATTAATTCCCCGTAAAACCCCAACTTGTTGATATAACGTTTTAATTAGTGAGTTTTAGAGGTGCTGGTAGGCAGATTTTGTTACCTTTGGACAGAACCAGGCTATTTCCCCGTGTTGTAAGCTAAGCCAACTGACTGCTCTCTATAGCCATATAATTAGTTTTACTGATCTTCTCATCTGACTCTTGGCAAGAAAACAAATGAGCGTATCTTCCAAAATGTCAAACTATTCCTTTAACTATTGTATATGGTGCTGGATTGTTTACATTTGTATGTTTTATAAGCTTTTGTTTTGCATGTAACAAAGTAACTGTAGTAATTATAGCTGACAGATAACTATAGTGGAGTAAAAAGTGCAATATTATCAGAGAAAAGTTGCATAAAAAGTACCGTAATAGTAGTACAAGTACATTACCTAAATTAACTAAACTAATAATACTTAGTTGCTTTCAACCACTGCCAACCAGCAACATAAATACAGATTTGTTTCCAATGTATCACTGAAGTTTAAATGCTAAATTGTACCTGTTTTTGTTCTCCAGCTCTGCAATCAGCTGTCTCTGTTGCTTATTGGCATCGAAGTTGAAACCCAGATCTGACGGAGGACATTGTTGCTGAAAAACAAAATTATCATACGTCAAAAGTCAAAATACAACAACAGCTACCGTCTGACCACAGTGGGCAGTAATGATTCGCTGCTGGACACTTATTATGTTTCTGTATAAACAGGGAGCCTTTTCAGCTCAACACAGCTTTCCTTCATCCCTCTGAATAAAAACTACCACGCAACATGAACATTTTCCGCCTTAGAAAATGTAGGCTATTTTACATGAGCGATTTCTAAATATTTCTTTTTCTGTGCTTTTCTCACTGGTTTGAATCAGACATTGCGAAGTGGTAGGGGGTTGCTTTGTTTTTCTCTGTTCTGTATTCCCATTTCAGTTTTTCCTTTCAACAATATCCTCATGAAATGTTCACATATGTTTACGTTACGACCATCAGTTGGAATTATTTCAACTTCGTTTCAGATAATTCATGTCTTGTCTGTCATTTTTGGCACAGCAGAGAGCTCTAAATAGTACAAAACCCATGAGCTTCAAAAGCTTTCAAAAAGCGGTGCCATAGTTGCTGAATTCACCCACAGTTGACCCCAAAAGTGCATTGATTTAATATGCAGATTATAAAAATGTAACTTGGAAGTTGTAGTTAATTTCTCCTGCAAATTTTATGTAACCCTACTCAAGCTTGTCTCATATGTTCTAACGAAGTTGTTTGTATTTGTCAATCAAAAGAAGAAATATAGTTTTTAAACTTTAATATTGCTTATTTATTCATGAATATTTGGAGAAATACTTGAAAACCAAGTTTTCAAAGGCTTTACAGTTATAATCGTTAAAACTTTTATGAAAGCAAAGCACATTTTTGCAGTTTTCTTCAATAGCCGTTAATGTATTTACATTTACTAATAACCTCTAGTCCACAATTCAATTCACAAGAAAAAAGCATGTGACCAGAACAAATGTATCTAATTGATATCAGCCTTACTGTTTATTCTCTTGTTCAAGCAGTATTAAGTTACCACTAATGCAAACAGAACATTTTCCTACTGCTGCTACTTTACATTAAAAGCCATCAGTTGGCAACACGCAGGGTGGCTTTTATTGTGAAGCAGTCACAGAAAACACAGTGTATTTGTCACTATGTATATTGTCACCTTCGGTTCCTCAGTAAGATAACCAACTCCACCTCTTTTACTGTGTCCTGCTGATGTGTGGTTGCAGTTATCATTAACTGACTTGTTTGGCTGCACTGTAAACAGATGCACCAGTTGCTCTTCTGTTATATGTCTGACAAAGTAGCTGCTTACAAGTGTTTGCTGAAGTATTAAATCGCACTTGCTGTTACCACGTTGACCGTGGATGGTGCCAAATCAGCCAGGAAGTGTGAGTAGTCTTTTCACTGAAGCTTCAACATTTAAGTTCTCCAGCCACAACAAAATGCCTAACAATAACTTGTCAAATCATTAAACGTGAAATGCAGGTTGAGTGAAGCCCACCACGGGGCGTCCTGCGAGACACTCACTGTGGAGTTGCCTGCCTCAGCTGCCAGGCGGGCAGCGTAGCGAGCGATGAGGCGGTGCTCTTCATCTAGCCGACTGGGACTCTCCAAGACACTGCCCAAAGTCAGAGAAAGAGAAATACATCACACACACACACACACACACACACACACACACACATATATACAGCAACGCTGACTCTAATGTGAAAAAGCTCTTATGTAAGTAAAGTTTGTACAGTCTATGCGATTATATGAAGGAATTTGCATAAAATAAACTTCGAGGTGACCTTCTTATATGACATTTGGCTTTGTCTCCAGTGTTGATAGACAGTCTGAAATAATTGGCCATAACAATGAACTGACATGAATAAGAGAGAATGCAGCATGCCAAATGCATTTGTCACTGTGCCAGTGCCCATTCTGGCCATTTCATCACTGACGGGAAATGTCAAATAAGGCATGAGACTTTAAATGACCATGGGTGTGGCATATGGCGTGGACAGATGACAGGACATATGCTGTCCCTTCTCGCAGTCTGCAATGAGGAGTGAAGGAGAGCTGAAATGGTGCTGGACGCTATCTCACTCTGAGTGGAGAGTGAGCGATGATTAAGACCATTAAACCCAATCTGGCTTCAAACTCTGCTGCATCAACAACTACAGTCCCTGCAGCTTTGACTACCCAGGTCCAAAACACACTGCAAACCAGCCTTTTAATTGACATTTGTATTAAAAAATCTTATCTTTCTCAGAGCAGATAGAAAAAGCTGTCAGTGTGATGAGATAATTTTAGATGCTGCAGCTCCTACCTCGCTTGTTTCAAGAGTTTTCTAAGTCCAGTGATGGTATCTTAAAATACTCTGCGGATCATTCGACTCATTTGAAGATAGTGTCAGACTCGAAAAACATTCATTTGGTCTGCACTAGGCAAAACTGAAATCACTCCACCAATGTGTCAAATCACTTGTTTTGAGGAAAATATCAAGACATGTCTTGTTATATGGGACACTTTCTGAATAATTTACAATCTTATCCTCGGGCTGAAGCATACATGGAGCCTGAGGTTTTCTTGTAGGATTAAAGTAAGACATTAATGCACGTAAGGGAGCTGCTCGGGTTGGCTCAGGAAATACCGTGACCCTACGAGGTCTTTTGGAGCTGAACTGCATGTCTGGATCTTCAGGCTATCAGCACAGAACCTGCTCCTGCCCGTGTTTCATCAGGGAGTTTCCTGGCAGCACCTGATGGTCCGCGTCAGGTTTTGGAAGACGCATGAACTGCCTTCAAGCCCTCCTGAACTGGCATCTTTCCCAGGCATCTTTTATTTTTGTCACACATTTGAAGATATCTACATTTTTTTACTCAAACTTATTTTGGTCAGAAACGTGGAGATTTTGTTTTTTAAAGGCTGTCTGAGGCCAGAGATACACATTTGTTTACTGTCTAGAGGAATAATTCCAATTGATCTTGCAGCATTCATGGTGGATATTATCATGTTAATGATATTGATTGATTGATATAATGATGTTTTCTGAATTTGATATATATTACATCTTATTTAAATATCTCTGAAGACAAATTTCATACTCATCATTACTCTGTATCTCAAAGTTGGACGGACTTTCTAACAGTATTATCTATAATTCCCTACTATTAAAGTCTTATATTTCTTCTCTTTTTTAAATCTTCTAACTCAGCAAAGAATTAATTTTATAACTACATATTTCGTTGGTTAGGGCCACAATGATTAGCTTATTAACTGTATTGGGAATCAGCCATGATTTGACAGATCCAAATTAAACACAGTTTAACACTTAATAATATTTTTGTGTTTCTGCTATTAGTTACATTCATCAAGAGATGCTGACTCATGTTTCAGAGCCACAGCAATCCCTGGCCTCATGTAACCTTACATAAAATAATCACCCCAAAGAGCTCAATGAAGAAATTTAGGAAAAAGATAACACTGTTATGGGATTGTACTAAGTTGAGGTATAATAATTCTTCCAGGAGAGAAAGAGACAGATTAGTTAACATATTTGTTCATCCAAGGTCTCTTCAAAGCTTTATGATTGCATATTTATGTGAATGTTGTTTGTCTGACTTTGCCTAAGCAGTTTCTTGTAAGCGGGTTGTTGTGATTGTTGAATGTCTTTGTGTTTTGTTCTCAGCTTTATCTTAAATAAGAAACCTTGAGACCACCTCATTAAATAAAACTACAAATATCAAGTTAATGAAAATGAGTCCCACTATTTAGCATTTATCCTGTAAGATGTATAAATAATCATTTGATAAATGGTTTATATCACACTATAATGTAATTGGAAGCAGATACGAGTGATTATTAATATATTTGTCAACTTAAAGTAAAGTGTTGCTACAGGTATGCAAAATCACGTTTAAAGAAATTAAATCAATGTTCAATGCAATACAGTCACTTGCAATGCACGGTGATATATCAGACAAACTCTTCACGCATGTAAACAAAACTCATTTGTTTGTTTTTCCATTAAAATCAGCTTGGAGTCATTAATTATGATGGCAGAATTTTGTGAAATGATAACAAAATATCATCCTTTCATTAAAATACAATTCCAGTGAAAATCAGTCATTGATTATATTGAGTTATTGCCGACCCCGACTACTTCCATTTGAGGTGTTAAGCATATTTTATCGTGGTTATTTTGAAGTAAAGAGAGTCAGAGTTAGTTTATTCACCATAAGACACACAAACTAATTATAAAATGTTTTATTCTAATCTTTTATATTAAGTATATGTCCTTCAATTACATATTTAGGAAGTCCATAAGTCTTACATAATGACACCTGCTGATAGAAACACAAACGGCTCCCCTCCTGGCTGACTCACATTTGGTCAAATTCTCAGTTAACTCTGAATTAAAACTCATCAAGCTCAAGACATTTTCTTTTCCGTTTTTTTTTAAATTTTATCTTCTGCCGCCGTGGTTCTGCATGACTAACAGGTAATAAATTGCGGTTCGCCCTTGGAGGACCGGCTAGTGGTGAGCGATTGTCTGTGAGAGAGCGCGGTACAGGGAGGAAGCAGATGCCATGTCAGCAGAGCAGACAGTAACAGAGAGCAGACTGTGATGGAGGCTGGAAGCACAAAACGCACAAATTTTTCAAACAGGGTGCATTCAGTTTCGACTCTGCACTGATACGCAATCCTGAATGTATTTTGTCTCTGATTAAAAGTGGAATCTGAAAGGGTCAACAAACAAGGACAGCACCGGTGTTGCTTTTTAGTTTTGGGGCTCTTGAACTGAGGCAGAGCCACAAGGAGCTTTGCATTATTCAGCAGTAGCATCTTTGACTCATAGGCCCTTCATGTGAAAGCAGGCAGGCCAGTGCCGGGTAATTATAACAATAGATTAATATTTACAAACCAAATGTGACACAGCGAGAGGCCGGTAGGAACTGGCCTTCTGTTCTCTGCAACCAAAGGCTGCTACTTCCCTCCTCATTCAACACCTTATCTACCGGTATCCACACTGACTCTCTACACAAACTATTTTGAAAAGCGTCACGGTGGCTTAATGCACAATTTCTGCCCTAAATATGGCAGCTTTGTACTTGTTATGCCCCCCCAAGGCAACAGCATCTTCAGTGCATGACATCTTCCCAAAGCAGCTCTGACTCACAGAGCAAAATGTCAAGACAAAGGTTATCAGGCTTCTTCATTACTGCCACACTGAAACAAACCTCAGGAGAGCATCGCCTCGTTCTTGTACATGCTGGAACACGTGAGGCCTTCCACTGACCTCCACGGGTCTGGAACCAAGGCATGGTTTACCGCCTTGGGTGTCCCTATCTTGTCAGCTTCCTTCAAAACCTGCTCTGATCTTGATACTGTTAGCCCTTTGAGACAGGACAGCACTGCACAAAATGTTCATCTCGGCAAGAAACTTAATCGGGTATTGATTGTTAGCGTCTCATTTTCCTAAACAAAGAAAGGAAAATTTACAGCAAGGTTAGATAATTACAAAAAATGTAACATCAATTTCTAGAGAGAAGTAAAAGAATATTGGCAGATTTGTATGTTTAAAACACATTCTAGGGTTCAGTCTTGCTGTGATGGACATTTTTTACAGTGTGCATGTTGCCCTTCAGCTGGGAAGGGTCCTTGGTGTAGTACTGTATAATAACACGGCACAGAAGAGCACAAGTGGAAAAAAACAGCCAACAGACAGACTTCATTCAAGCTCTTCCTGAATCCTCTACCAAAGTCTCTGTCTTGGAGTTCAATCAAACAACTGATCTTAAAGAGAGACACATGCAGGCCTCTGTTCTTTCTGTACACCAGACAGTAACGTCTCTTCCCTTCTAATGTGCTTCGGGATGTCCTGAGTCCCCGAGCAGTCCCATCTTGCAAACACAAATTGCTGGAAAGATGCGATAGACAGACACAAAAGGAAAATTCGCCCAGCACAGACCTGCAGACCGGAGTGCAGATACATTACAGCCGCCTCAGAGTGCTCTCCATTATCGAATTCATAACCACAATGGTTCATTACCACTGTGAGTAAATAATAATAGAGGTGGCCTTTAACTGAGAGAGGCTGAAATGAGAGGACAATTAGGCTGCTTTCACAGAGCCCTCGCCTGCTCTCTGCTTACACGATAAAGCTCCAATTCTATCATAATCTATTTGTCAAATCAACCCTTTAAGTAGGAGTGCTCACATATTCTTCATGACAGCGTAACAAATTTTCCTCTAAAAATACACTCACAAGGGCATGCTGCTCAGATGCAAAAATGTGTGTCAAGTGTGAGAGAACAAATAACATCTGTAGTCTGATTTGCCGTGCTATCCTTGTTTTTTCCACTCATGGGAGAGAATCTGTCACCTATTCTGAGCACAGAGTGAATTCTGTGCGTGATTAAAAGAACTTATTTTGCATGTGTGTAACTTAAAGTGACATTTTGTCATCTAAAAAGAATATATTAGAGGTAATAGTCCCAAAAGTGAAGGCAATTCTGTGGAATCATAAGAATAATATCTTCAAAAAGACATTGTGCATTATGCCTGGGGAGTGCTTACCTTTTGGTAGGAGTAGGTGCCCCAGAGGACATGAGCATTGTGTCGTTCATGTTGTTGGCCACTGGTTTCGGCTGACTAAAAGACAAGATTAGAGGTCTTTAATGCTACACTGCAGATGCCTGTGGTGCTTGTCACCAGGGAATGGAGTAGAGGGCATTTGCATTTTATTAGCAATCATGAATCAGCGATCTTGACGGCAATTTAATCCAACTGTACAAAAGAGGGTAAGAGAGGAGGCAAGGGGGATCATTATAAACTACTGAGTGTGCTGCACAAAAGAGGCAACATGTTGTACTTGAGTTAAGTTAAAATTGTAGTAAAGTAATTGACTTTTCCGGGAACAGCAATCTAAATGTTTTTAGGGCAATTAGCTTCAATCTAATTAACATGAGCAAGAGCAACAACAGCAGACAAGAAATCTAATTAAACTGGAAGTCTGTGAAAAACTAGGAAAGGTGACATTGTGGGAGGTAATTTGTGAGAGTAAACAAAGCCATGGGGTCCATCTGGCAGCTGAATCAGTGGCCCCGGCAAGCTCATCGGAGCCCAAGCCCCCGGACCACAGAGTCTCATTAACGGGATCAAAATATCACTCTGCACATCTCAGGTGATCTCAGCTTCACACTTCACCCGGCGCAGCAAATAGCAGGCACTCGCGACAGCACTCGATTTCCATGTCTCTGTAGTTGCATCTCTTCCATCTGCACATAGTATCTCTTTGTAGTTTATCAGCCTTGATTCTATTGTAACAGTTTTATTTAAAGCGCTCATTACCACATAAAAGGCAAAGCACCGAGCAGCATTGTGTCCTATTATGCTTATTTGTCCAATCAGCATTTCTGACCAAAATCAAACTATTTATATCCACATTGTGCAGAATACTGTTATCAGCATCAGGCACTGAAAGCCTCTTTTTAAGCTATGGTGCCACAAAGTGCCTCAACAGCAAACATAACATTCTGTATATTATTGTCCTACTAAAAAACAAAAATAAGAGCAAGAGAAACTGCATAATTTTTGGATCGCTTAATTGTATTCAAATCATTGGCATCGTTATTTGTTCACAAGTCAAATTTCATATTCCCTGCATTCATGTGGATGCTTGTGGGGTTTAGCGTGTTCTTTTTAAAGACAAACTGCAATTATTTATTAGTCCATAAATTTGAATTTCTCTCAGGACAAGCCTAACAGATTCAAAAGAAAACCGTGGACAGTCCTGCATGAGTAATTCATCAGTCCTAATTTTTTAAGTTCCTTGGTCCATATGCACAAACACAGTCCTGCTAATTCTTATGTTTAAAGCAGTAATCTAACAACATGAAAAAGAAAAGCAACTGTCACTACTCAAACCTGCACATGCTGCCTTCTAGTCCCCCTTCACAGACAGACTGTGAGCACAAACACTCCAAGTAAAAGCCCATGTGAAAAATGTTTACCTCTCGTTTAACGCTCATTATGTTACAATAATCCACCCCGAAGGTGAAGAGCTCCAGACGGAAGAGGCACCACACTTACCTCTTTGAGGAGAGAAAGCACCTGTCTGGCTGGCAAAATACATCCAACTGCTGCTGTTGCCAGATGCCTAATCTGCCCTCAACTGAGCAGGCGAGCATCTCAATGTACTACACTGCTGCTGTCTCCAAGGAAACTCGGCGGTCACGTGACTTTATGACGACGTAGATTCCACTCTCTCTCTCTCTCTCTCTCTCTCTCTCTCTCTCTCTCTCTCCTCTCTGTCTCTCTGAAGCTCTCTGCTCTGACTCTGTCTTTTTTTTTACCTCTCTCTAACACATAAATACACACTTGAAATTAGGGAAAAGCCATTTGCTCCAAAAAACAAACAAACAAACAAAAAAAATCAATTACAACCTCTAAAAAAATCCCAAATCTATTCTCATTCTCTCAGGAGAAAAGCATGTAACAAACTGGCCTATACTAAAGTCTATACTATAATTGCATTTACATATCTTCAGTGAGTTACATAAGTCAAAGCTCTTCACAGCTATCTTTCTATAAATAATCATCAGTCCCTTTCAAATACACCAATATAACTGCTGTGAAACAGCAGGGCGCCATAAAAGAAGAGCTTCTTCTTATGTAAAAGCTTGACAGCAGAAGTATTTCATTTTCCTCTTAGAATTTGGATTAATCCTAACGGGCGTCCTAACTCATTCCCGTCAGTGTCTGCAGCTTCGTGGTTCACTGACTGAAGAAATGTTGATTAAGGACGCGCAGTCCAGTCATTCAGCTGGTGCCTCAGAGGTCAAATGGGAGTGAATTGACACAACATTTAGGCACTTAGAGATCAAAGTCTGCATTGCGCTATGCCTTGTGCTACCTGCGTGCAGTGAATGACAATGTGCCACCCTTTCCTTGTACTTGGTAGTTGGCAGGGGTACAGGGAAAATTAAGTCTGCAAGAGCTTCATACACACACACACACATACACACACACACACACACACACATACACACATTCACCTTATTTCTGACAACGACGGATGCATGGCTGCCTTCAATTGCCCTCAGCCGGCTAAAAATAATACGCAAACATGAAGCATCCTCTCCTGCTGGCAAAGGTGCTCCTATTTCCCCGGGAGGCTGTCAGTACCTAGGCCATAAAAAAACCCCAATGGATCACGCTCCCAGAAAAGTGAATTACATGCCTGTTCTCTCCATTTTAATGACATTGATGGAATTTGCATTGACCCGGAGAATAAAAAAAGATGTAAAACAGAAGAAGGCCTTTTGAAAATGTTAAGGGATTTCTGGGGATTATATAGAGAGTGGAAAATTGGTTGCTAAATATTAAACATGGCACTGAAAATGTGACGCTATAGTGTGTGTTCCACATTAATGCAAAGTACGGTAAGATGCCTATTTTCGACTCCCAGACTATTTCGGTGCTTAAAGTCTTTTGGCAGAAGCGGTGCTAAATCTGAAGGTAAGAAGCTGTATCATAGATTTAAAGTTCCTGAGACAGACGGTGCATCCCAAACCTATAACTCCTCTCCAAAACACAAATCCCCAAGAATCTCGCTGACAGTTTGAGTGGAGGGAGAAATTCACAGCTCAGCTCGCTGTTAGTCTTTGCTTTCAGACGCCAGTAAATATTTCAAAACAGTATCAGAATAGATACACTTTGTCTGAAGACGGTGCGAGGGGTTGGACAACTGGGAGACTCATGTCCGTTCGATTTGGGAGTTTTGATCAAACCTGACGCTCTACCCTGATTCTGCCATTATTACTCACTCACAGGCGCTTCGTCAGCCTCTCACACAAACACATACACACCTGAGACACCACGCTGATGGATGTCTCCTGGTTCACAACATTAAATAACACCTCTTCACAGACAACATTCATCAGGATTGGCAACTAGCTGCACTACTTTTAGAATACCAGCAGCACATTTCTCTCCGTGCTATATACCATCAATAAATTGAAGTCAATGTAGAAGAAAATTGGAGGCTTGGCAGTTTTCCTGTGACTAATTATCTGAGGGATCCAGTTTGACGGAAGATTTCTGTAGCCAGCAGGGAAATCAACATGGGAATGGTAGGCGGAAAATTACTGTATTCAGCCATAATTTCCCTGAAATAGGCCGTTAACTAATGGGAATTATTCCATTAGTGCCAGCTCGTCCTTCCATGGCTACAAAGAGTGCAGAAGATTTACAGTCGGTATGTCGGATTAAAGTAATGGTCAACTTTCTCGGAATTACGCTCATTTGCTTCCTTGCAAACAGTCAGATGAGATGATCAATACCGCTCTCATATTTAGCTGGTAAATATCAAGCTACAGCGGGAAGCCAGTTAGCTTAGCTTAGCATGTGAAGGTGCATGTGGATCACTCAAGTTAACAGCTGCACAGTTTGTGTTTGTTTGACCCATACAGCATATGCAACAATGGGACGCTAGCTGTATTCTACGTAGCAGTGGACGGGGTGTTATGTGCCTGTTATGGCCGGGTGCAGTGACCGCCTGGTGGTTATAACACAAATTGTTGCTTTAACATATCTGTTTTGGGTGGATTAAACAAATACGTTAGTGACATATAGGTACTGGTAGGTGGACTTTTTTAGCTGTGGAGCCAGGCTAACTGTTTCCAGTCTTTATATACTCCATATAAGATAAGATAAGATAAGATATGATATTCCTTTATTTGTCCCACAATGGGGAAATTCCAATGTTACAGCAGCAAAGTGGATCGAGGACAGATGTGAGAATATTGATCTTCTCATCAAATGTCCCTGTAAGCACAAACTTTGGTTTGTACAGATTAAATAAATGAGGTATAACATGTTAATGTGTGAGCTTTAGGTTGGTAGGTATCCTGTAACATTCGAGCAGAGCCAGGCAAGCTGTTTCCCCCTATTTCCAGTCTTTATGCTAAGCTATGCTAACTGTCTGTTTGCTGTAGGCTAGCTTTTAACCAACAGTTATGAAAGACAAACTGTGTGGTATTGATTTTCTCATCCCTTAAATGTTATAATCTCAAAATATGTGTCACATTCCAAACTGATAAACAAAATAAAATCTGGATATTTTGACTTGTGTGTGTAAAAAATAGACTCTCTGGCATCTCTTTGGATATGATTTGTCAACAATATATTCTGCAGTTCAAAGACATGCACAGTTATAAATATGGAAGCATTAAATCTGAACCAAAATTGAGAATAGCAGTCACTGATGAATACATATTTTGAATGGTTGTCAGGTTTAAAAAAACATCTTTTCATGGCACGGTTGATGAGAGCCGCTACTTCATCACCACACACAGATAAAAAACATAAATGCTTTTTGAACCAAAAATAGACCTTTTTCCATCGTCAAAGACGGGGACTTTTGGTAAATACCTTCCCTGCGTCAAACATAACAATAGAGACGAAGAGCCATACAAACAAGTCTCAGGGGTCAACAGTCACATCCATTATCCTAAAAGTCAGTGAACACATACACACACACACCATAGTGCCACCAACCTTGAAATGCCATCTGCGAGAGCATGAGAATGCACTTTGTCCATTAAATTCTTAAAGGAGAACATAACAAGAAGTTCCTGGAATTTCTACCTCAAAACTTCCATTTAAGAGATCTCACAGAGATTATATACATATACTGTATATATATTAATACATATCAATATATATAAATAATCAGACCATTTACTCAAGTAAAAGTACCTACAACAATTACTATTCAAAATTCGTCCTATAAGCATATTAGTATTATCAGAAGAAGTATCTGAAGTAAAAGTACATTTTCTGTAGATAAATATCACCTGTGCATGGAATAATATTATATTTCTGTACTAGATTGTTAATGCTTGTGCATCACTGTGCAAGCTGCATTTTACAGTTGTAGCTGGTTGAGGTGAAGCTAGTTTTAACTACTTTGTATAAAGTTACCAAGCTTGATATGAAGTTAAATTATGTTGTGACCAAAGGGGGTTGCTGGAATAAATGCTGAAAAATAGTATAGTATACGAGGGACAATCCAGAAGATTACAGACTGGATTTTTGACAATTTTTATTTTTATATAATATTATACCATATTATATACAGATCTGGATACATTTCCATAGACCTGCATGCCACTGGATCTTTCCGGATACAGGCTCTCTGAGGGATTAATAATGGGACAGGAAAGAAGAAAAACAAAATTCTGTGACACAAATCTGTATGAATTTTTTTGCTTGTGTGTAATCTTTTCTTTTTCTGCCAAATTGGATCATTTGACCTGATTATGCTTCTACGAGTGATTCAAATGAAACCTTTTGAGAAGTTTAAAGGATAAATGTCTATGCCCAACTAGACACAAGCTTTTGCAATACATTGTATGTCATAAGATTATTACATATTTTTTTACTGTAAAATCTGAAAGGTAGTAACTATGTCTGAATGTAGTGGAGTAAAAAGTACAATATTTCCTTCAGAGATATAGGGTAGTATAAGTATTAAGTAGCATAAAATGGAAATACTCAAAATGACATACAGTTCTTGAATAGATGAGTCACTAAAAGACTTCAAACTGGACCCTTCGGTTCATGGAAAAATCATTCTGAGGAAAAGAATTACAATAAAAGGCCTTTGTGCAATAAAATCCAATATAACCAAGAGCCCCAAATGGACAGAACTCAATATTCTCTGGGCTTCCATCATCTGAAATAATCAAAATCGTAAAAAAAAACCAACAACAACCAAAAACCAACATGGATTACTGCTTGCTGAGGGCACTGGAGAGACATAATCCAAAGTAGTTTAGCCACAAATTCTATTTTAATCAATATTAATCTACTTGATGTAATTTCATGCTACACAGCCTATACCACGCAGGCTAATCCAATCGCCTCATCTCTCAGCTAGAGGAAAACAATTCAGGTTGTGATGAATTGTAAATTTATGCAAATGTAAACTTCATCTTAAATGCATAAGTTTGGGCACAATGCAGAAAAATCCTCCTGCCAGTGGGCAGAGCCTGGATGTGAGGCCCGATTAAGAGAAGATGGTTCTATCAGGCACTAAAACAGGAAATCATGTTGATGCATTTACGTTGTGTCTATTTTTCTTGGCATTCACTGAGCTAGTTTTTCACCCATCATGTAGCTCACTATCAATTACTCACTGACACTTGCCAGCAGCAAAAGCATATAGAGACAGCTTAGGTTTATGGTCGTGACTGGAATATGAAGCAGGATTTTGTTATGAAATGTGTCATGAGATATGTTTGAAAGCTCAAATGAGAAAGTTGAGAGATTTTTTTCTGTGAACGTATTAATGCCATGAACAAGCAAAATCATAAATCACTTTTTTTTAATCTGAAACATTATTAGATTTTGTCTTGGTGGAGGCCAAAAGCGTCAGAGTTTCGGCGAAACAATGATGAGAAAAATATGAAGTGACCACACTGATGTGGACTACTGCGGATGTATCTCGGCAGTGGAATTGATTATGGAAATCGTAGTATTTTTCAACTGAAATGTAAATGAGTGTGTGGGGTTTAAGACAGCAGCAGAATATAATGCATTTCCTGTAATGATTTCCAGAAGCCTCAAAGCCTGGAGTGTGAGATTTATACCAACGTCCCCATTTCATTGCCAACAGACTGATGAGGACGACTGTGCTGTTAACGGCTGAACCTGCATAGTATATCACCATTTCCATGTTAGCAAATAATCATGGGCTTGACACTTTCGCGAGATTGGGACTCTATCAGTCATGTAGTGATAGCGAAATGGGAAAGATGGAGGCAGTTACATGACAAGAACAGACTATAGATCGTGAGCACACTGGGCCCTGCTGTGCTGTTAATCAGCAAATCAGTTGGGTTTCCCTCATTAATGACACAAAGAGTGGTAACGAATGCTTTGGGTATGGCACTTACACAGTATGGGTGAGTTCCTGTGGTCTCTCAGCCTGCTCGGGGAACACAGGATGTGGCGGCTCTCCGATGGGGACGCAGCCTAGAGATTTACTGATTGCATGGCTCAGCTTTTTGGCCGGAGACTTCTGTGAGGAGGGCAGGACAAACAAAGTATCTGTCACCTTGCGTGTTGGATCCACTGCTGTCATCGTGTTGGAATAGTAGAAACAGCTTTAAGCTGTTTCACAAGTAATTTACATAAGTAGGTCAACTGTTTGTTTACTGTGTCAAAAGTGTGGATCAGCAGTAGTTTCTGCATATTCAGTGCTCGTATCTGCTACTTCACATGCAGTTTTGTTGGCTGCCTTGCAGTCCCAAAACTCATGAGTCCATTATTCTGCCTTCATGTCATATGGCCAGCTGAAGACATTACAGAGTTCATTGTGTAAGGCCGGAGATATACTTGCTTTTAACAACATGTTCACGTATGCATGATGGCTGCCTCGTGTATCCTGCATCCATTTGGACCGTTGGTTGTGTTACCTTAGAAATTAACGCAACAGCAAACCACCAAACAGTATATCTCCGGCTTAAAGGTTAAATATACTTTGCATAGACAACAATAGCATATACATCAAATTTGGGTTTAATCAGGCTTGAAGGATTTTTATTAGGTGCCATGGATTAACCATACCTTTCCCAGTTTCCTAGTCCTAATTTCAATTTGAATGCTATTTACAAGTTTAAAATTGGCAATCATAACATACCATACAATAATAGATAGAATTTTTGAAACTGTACTTTTACATACAGTATTATTATCACTGATTACCAATTTCAGTGTCAAATCTGTCAAATCTGACCAGAATTTAATTATTCAGCAGGGTCTTTGAAATAAGTTTTTAATAAATTTAACACTCCAGTGAAACACAAACAGAAACACAAACTAATGAATTCATTGTAGGTAAGGTTAGGCTTCGGGATAGCAGTCCCTTTAGGCAGGATGATCAGTGTAGCATGTGCACTAATTTAGGAAAGTGAAGAAAGCAAACAAAACATTGTAAAGCTGAATGTTGACCTCATAGTATAACGCAATACAGCTCAATGGCAACTGCATAACTGAACACTTTAACCTTCACAAAGGTAGGATTTATTGCAGGACTGTCTAATTAGAGTGCATTATTTTTAGCTAGGTGTACATAATAAACTGGCAACTGAGCATTTATTCCACATTGCTTCTACAGATGAGCTGCGTCCAAAATAGTAGAAATGCATGTGTGTAAAAACGTCAGTGAAAGCTGTAGTTTCGCGCTACTGTAATTAAAGGGTAATTCCGGTATTTTTAAACCTGTGCCCTATTTTTACATAGCTCGGGGTCTAAATGACTAATAGGTACAAAAGGAAATCGGTCACCACTAACCAGGCTGCAATGTAGACCTTGGGGCAAATGTGCCTGTCCACTACAAGTGCTTTGTTTTTGCCACTGACTGGCTCAGGTTGTTATTCTAAGCGTCTGACAACATTATGGAAAGGATTCCTACAGAGATATACCTTTTCAGACAGCCCATTCCAATGGGGAGCTGAAGCTGTTATATTGCTCTCTTAAGAGCCACCAGACTCCTTTGACAAAAACAGTAATTTTACTTCGCAGAACATGGGAGTTGTTGGTCTACCACTGCCTCAATCTGTGAGTTTGTTTGAGTGACTCTGGAGTTTTAACAACCCTTTAAATCTATTTCTTTAATCTGAGCCTGTCAGTGGCAAAAAAAAACAAGCACTTTTAGTGGACGTACTGTGACAGGCACATCTCACCCCAAGATTTTGCTCCAAGATTATGTTGCATCCATTGCAGCCTGGTGAGGGGCTGTTCGGTTGAGGTGACCTACTGGAGCAATTCCTAAACTTTTTTGTACCTATTAATCATTTAGATCTCAAAAAAATTAACAAATAGGGCCCATATTTTAAAATACTGGAGCTGCTTTTTAAGACATCTAACAGGGCAAAAATATTTCAAGAAGACATTTTTTATCATTTTGTGTGACTTTTTGAGAAGGTTTTGAGATCTTTGAAATTACCTGACCTAATGAATAAAATTGCCTTTCCTTTATATAGTGCCATTGACCCTTACAATACAGACACAAACAAAAAGACAGAGTGTGGCATTAAGTAGCAGACCCAGCACTGGTCTCCCTCCTGAATGAGCAGCCATTTTTTCTGTCACAGCAAGAGAAATGACCAGTCACACTACCAGTAATCAGAATAGTGACAGATGGAAAATGCTGCCAGATACACAAACGAAACACTACAGGTGGTTGTAGCAGTGGAAACCAAATGAAATGTAGTGAACAACGTCACAGATCTGTTTCATAGACATACAATTTACATCAATTTGTCACAGAAGGAGGAAAACATCCAGAACAGATTCACCCACCTAACCTTCGTGATAAGTGTTATAAATGGTTTTTCATATTACAGACTGTTTTATGTTTCATGCACTCATGCATGTTATCCAAGTCCTGAGGCTTTATGAACACTCATTCTTTTCTGTGAAAAAACTGAGTGGGACTGGAATTGGATTTGGGATCCAGCGCCTGTGACTTCCCTTGTTTCGATTTATAACATAATGATCGAACTTTGGGGGAATGTGGCAACGCAGAAAATTCAATCAATACAATTTAATTTTCCAAAATGAGTAAAACCCCATATAATCCCTCTTGGATTGTTTTGAAAGGACAGGAAATATAGGGAGACGGCTGAATAGTCTGCTATGCTGTAAAATCATTCCACTCTCTCACACGGATATTGACTTTTGGATTGTTTAGAAAAGGGAACAACACACTGTAAAATTATGAGTTATCAGGGCTTTGCCTTACCCAAGATGAATGCTCCTTCATCTGGTGCTGGTTGCTATGGGGACCATTGGCATGGCCACGCCAGAAGCAGCTCTGACAGAGCTGGTAGCCATGGCACTGTTGGCACCTATACCGGAAACCCATCATGCTCTCGCTCCGGCAATAGGAACATTCCACCGGATGGAAGACTGAAAAACAACAAAGGAGGGATTTTCTGTAAGAGACATCTTTACTTACAGAGTTACTAACAAAAAGGCAGAAGGAAATATTGTACTTTTTACTGCATTACATGTATTTTACAAATTAGATTAGTTAGATTTGGTCTGATTCCCCTTGAAATCAATGAAACGCTGCGGTGGAAACACTACCACTATTAGCGATAATACATCTGTACTTTTAATTAAGAATGAATAGCATCAGAAGATGTCTTCATTTAAAATTATTTCAAATTGGATGTTATAACATTATGATTTATATAAAAATATTGTTTCATATAGTAATCCAGGAATTGTCATTGCTCCTTTATTTCTTTCTCTGGTCAAGTTCTCATTTGTATGCCCACTTGGTGGTACAGAAACTGAATGTATATTTATCCATGACATTTTTAAGTATTTATTTTGTCTCTCTGTTCGCATGCTAACTACTTTTAATAAAAATTCCAGTGTGGATGTACAGTGTAAAAATAAACAGTTGAGAGTTCAGATCTTACCATTTTCAACATTAGCAAGTCGGTGCATGAGTGGTAGCCATACGAGGCATTGAGGGGGAGGATCTGCCATCAACACATCCAAAAACGTGTTCAGCATGATCTTCTTCTAGATACAAACACACACATGCATGCATTAAACAAGAAGAGTAAATGTTTAAAAGACGAAGAGGAAGAAAAAGAAGAACCTCCTCATACCTGCTGAGGGAAGCACGTCCGCACTGAATGCTCCGTGTAGCCAAAAGAAGGACCCTCAAACACGGCTGTGGGGAGTTTCAGCACCTCCCGGAGGAACTGATCGAACTTTGCAAACATCATGACTCCACTTGAGTCAGAGATCTGTGAGAAAATATCTGAGAGAGGGGAAATGTCAGACTTATTATTCTTAGCAAAAACAGAGGGCAAAACAGGCATTTGACATTTCTGTAGATGTATATTATTGATCCACAGTCCACATACTCTGCAGAGAGTTAAAATATGCACAGCTAAAGCAAATTAATTCTGCTCTGTATACATGTTCCAACAGTGCCCCTGTGTGTTTAACTCCAGCAACTACATGAAGGCAGTCGCCGTCTCAGGAAACCCAGATACATTCAGGTAGCCATGACATCAGATTTTAGAAAATTAGGCACAAATTATTAAAGCTTATTTAAAAATGCTGCTCGTTCACATATATATGTCCTGACATGGTATGTGTAAAGTGATTCGACATGTACTCACAGCGTAGTTTGTCCACAATTTTCCCTCCACACATTGTTGCCAGCATGGCTTTCATTGAGAAAACTGTCAGCTTCCCATGGCTTTCACTGCAAGCAGAGAGAAAGGTTCACTGGGGTATTAAAGTGACAGGACAGTAAAGAGACTTTGTGACTTTTTAAAGAAGAAATAAGTTGAATTTATAAGCAGTAAAATGCACCTTTGTTCAATTCAATACACCAGTGGTGGAAGAAGCATTCAAATCCTTAACTTAAGTTAAAGTACTAATACCACACTGAAATACTTGTTCCTTGTCCCTGTGTTTTACTATTATATGATGTTTGGATTTGGATTAATAATGCAATGCAATTGCATTGTGTATGTTGCATTTTACTGCTGTAGATGATTAACTTTGTGCTAATTTTAACTACTTTATATACTGTTGGGTAGTTTAATCGACAGCAATCCATGATATTCTATTAGATTATTTTATGTTTGTAATGTTGCTGTGCTGTGAGAACCATGTATCTCTTACAAGTCAACCTTTCCGTTTTCATTGTTTTTACATTGTTTCATTTTCTTAAGGAGTAGGAGGATTTTCTCCGCTCAATACAGGAACATTTCATCTTTCAGTTTATCAGAAAAATTCTGAATCAGCAAATCTGAAAATATATGATTTTCACTAGACAAAAATAATATGAAAAACTGTGATCCAAAAAACTTGTCAGACCATTTAAGTTGCCTCTGAGATGTAGTACCATATACAAAGTACTACCTTTACTGGACTGAATGTACTTAGTTACTTTCCACCACTGCAATACACTGACTGGTTTTGCCACTACAGCCTTACTTGGTCTGGTATGACAAGTAGCTTCTGGTTGCTAATGTTTGCTTTGTGAGTTAGCTGAAAACCAACCCTTCTTGCTTGTACTGTCACCCTATGTTTTAGAATATAATACTATCCCACAACTGTAACTTGTAGCCACAGTAAAGTTACACTTTTATTTTGTTAATTTAACCTGAGAATTCTGCTAAGATTATGAATTTGAGATGAAAGCAGAGAAAAATGTGCACCATGATAAACACAACATACAGCAATGCATTTACCAGAATACGACTGAAACATATCAATGCACTTATGTTGCATCAAAATGTCAAAAATCATGAACTAAACCTTAAATCACAGATTAACACAGTATAGCCAAGTCATTATTAGGCTGCGTCAAGACCCTTTAAAATCTTTTTAATTCGCCAAGAGAGACCAGCTCTTTCATTTCAGATTCATTTAGCTCTGGCTTCCGAGCAGAGGTAACAGAGTACATGAAAGCTCCTCTCCCTAATTCAGTTTGGACCGCAGGGACAGATAGCAATACTGCTTCCTGTGATCGCAGACAGTCATTTCCACAAAGTTTCCCAGAGATACGGCAGCATGAATAATAACGGAGCGGGACCAGAATGGCCTTACAGATAAAAGTAAAGCAATTGAATGGGTCAATGAATGGACAGGGCAGGCAGCCAATCAATTTGAGCACACAAGGTACAATAATGAGAGAGAGCTTTACGGTCAATAATAAACCTCTGTACTCCGGGATGCACAGTGTCTGGGGTCTGTAAAGCACAGAGCAGACATTAACAGAAGGGATCATAATACAGTAAAACATCACCAGGGATGCTTCAGATCTGTATTGGTTCCAACATTTGTCAGCTTATTGCCAAGATTTCTGAGACCTAAAACCTGGCTGGATGGATTGTTTGGGCCACAGCTACCATTGAGGACAATGAGGTCATGTGCTGCGTATTATTCTGGCAATTGTGGGACACATGGACAGTATTGTTTCAGCTGATTCCAGTATTTGACACTGCGTTAAACAAAGGATTCAGCTTCTTTTTTTTTATACCAGAATTTCATTCCTGGCAGCGTGCAGCGGACTTTAAAACATCATTTAAACATTTGTGTTGGGGAATAAAATGCTAACGGTTTATTTTATAGGTCTATAATTTAAAATCAATTTGCCACAAGTTTCCTGGAAAGCAAAAACTATGTAATCTGATACTAATCATAGGGAAAAGAAACAATGTCCTGTGACAGTATTTCATTCAGAGCAGGGCTGTGGATTAGTCTTTCAGTTCATACATATTAGAAAATAGTGAATAAATCATAATTTGATCTAAGGATTTGTCTTAAGACGTGTCGTTTTTGTCTGACCAGTAGTCCAAAACTCAAAGATATTTAATTTTACTATACTTCAAGAGGGAGAGAAGCAATTGCTCATACTGAAGAAGCTGGAACCACTGATAATGTTTTCAAATCTTTGCTTAATAGACTGCATAGACTAATGACGTTTCAGTTAGTTGAAAGAAATGTCCTTGAACTGCTCAATTTAAATAAAACTTGCAGAAAAAGTAATAGAACACTTTATTTAATACATAATGTGTGAAAAATCTTGACTTTGACTTTGATAGGCCACAAAAACGACTCAATCATGAACCAGTTGACTGTCAACAGGACATATTAAGTTACTTCAATAAAGTGTGGTGTTCCTCTGCACTGATCACCAGACCCATACCTGTCATAGGTGGCCACCATGAAGTTGAGCAGCAGGCCGATGGACTGCTCCACATTGATCTGGTGGGTGGTGGGCAACCGCTTGTTGAGCTGGTAGTAGATGGAAGACAGGATAGTCTCCAGCCGCGACACATTGATCTCAGCGTTGTGGTCCAGTGTGTTGAGCCCGTTGTCACGAAAGGCTTCGATCATGTTCCAGACATCCACCAGATGAACTGTGAGGGGGGAGGAGGGGAGTCACAGACAGACTGTGATCAATTAAGTCTGTATTCATGTTGGAACAAATGTTTCTATTGGTTACACGGTGTCATCACAGTTGAAAAGAGAGGAAAATCTTTAAGAATCTACATGCTCTTACGGTTGCATCTCTTTTGCACAAACCGGAGTTTGCAGGCAGTCCTGTAAGTCGACAGTCTGATTACATCGAAGTTCTGAGCTCCTGCAAAGCGAAATATCTCAGATTAATGCTACACCTGTCCAGTTTAATGAAATACATGTTTTTTTTCCAAACACAAGCGGGCTTACTGATGGTACATTCAAACACTATCACTGTCTTTGCGTGGGAGGAATTATACTGTAAGTGTGAGGCACCACGTATCTCCTGTGCAACTTGGAGCCAGTCAAAGAATTACATGAGCTGCAGCTGACTATGAATAGTGAAAAGAGATTTTCTCTCAGTCGACTCCACTCACTCATTTCCATGAAGAGCTGCCTCTTCTCCACCATGGCCTTGCCTCGTTTACTGCCTTCCTCGATCATTCTGTGGCACATCAAACAGCAGAGCATGCGATGCTTACTGTACAGACAGGAGCATGTTCACAAATGCCACACACAGCTCTTTTCATTGTCCAAAATCAATCACATACCCTGAAAATGAGGATGATTTATTATTAGTGCAACCGAAGAAAATGTTCCAGACTATGAGTTATAATTTTTGTGGGAAGAAGAGACATAAATATGATATAGAGGATCTGATTATGTGTGTATGTGTTATGTGGTCAGCTATATTGTACATGAGAGCTCCTGAATGCGGTATACCAGAGGATACAGTACGTTCTTTCATCTTTCTCATTTAGCCTGTACATCAAGGACTGTATTAGTCATCATTCCAACTGTAAAACATACAGATTATATGGCTTTAGTTGGATTTTTATCAGAAGATGAAAACCGCTATAGGGATGAAATTATTTGTTTTTCTGAGTGGAATGCCAAATGTAACCAATTTTAAAGACTAGCTAACCTAATAATCAGACTGATCTTTCAGTTTGTTTCACCTAATACACTCGCTGAAATATTAGAGATGTGGAGTGCAGCTGAAGATAGTGAAAACCAGAGATAAATCCTAATTTTATAAATTCAAATCTCTACCTATCTTGGCTCAGTTATACAGCAAAGTGTTGTGGGAAGCCAATACCAGCGCATGTGCTCGGTGGCCACTAAGAAAGTGTAATGTTGACAAAAATTAGATTTTTATCCAAAGCAATAAAGTTCCACATTTTGGGAAATATCCTATTTGCTTTCTTGCCAGTAGTTAATATAAGATTGATATGTCTGTACACTAAATATGAAGCTACAGCCAACAGCCGATTAGCTAATTAACATGTTATATCTCATTCAGTTAATCTGTACAAAAAACAAAAATGTTCAAACAACAAGTTGTGGTTTTATGGGGGGTTGTGTGCTGGAAGATATCTTAGTCAGGGCAATTTGTGTGTCAAACTATTTCTTTAAAGTGTGTTGACAATCTGTATTTAGCGTTAAAATCAACGCCACAAAAATGATATGTATGTATGAAGACTTTCCTCTTCAGGACGCAGTATCAGATGCTGGAGGAGGAACAAAGAGGACACTCATCTCTTGCACACCAAAGATTTTACATCTATTGAACAATTTAAAGTCTAACTTTTGTTCTGACGCCTGTTTTACCTTCAGCGTCGGCTCTGTTGTGTCCTTTCAAAAAGGATTCACTGTCTGATTTTTGTTTCAACATAGTACTCGGCAGTACTCCCTTTGAAACAATACAAGTGTCCTTGGTTCGTTCAATTCCTTCATTCATACTATTGTTTAGAAAGTGTCATCATGGATTTTAATGTTTTCTTCAGAGGAGGTGTTATTTTCCTTAAGCAGTGAACATTTTATTTTGAAGCTTCAACTGAAGGTAATTAATAGTAGTATCCATTTATTAGTGACATAAATGTGTGGTAGAATATACTGGAAAAATTTGTTGTAAGCCCATACATGACAGATACATTAGTCTTGTATCACATAAGACATCATTTTAGCATTGTACATTTAATTTTACAAAGATTTAAAAAATATTTACCTGTCGCTGGCTGAATGTCAAACAAAGTGAAGCCTTAAACGCCGACCCTGCGGGGGGGAAAAAGCAATATTGAAAGAGTTAGCGAGGGTGTCTTTTTCGACTTGATGTCACCGTTACTGTGAGAGATGAGCAATTCCTCGCTGACAAAATGTAGATGACTCTTAAATAAGTAATTAACACCTCCCCTCTCCCCCTCCTTCGAGGACTTCATTAACTCTCAATTTGTGCTTTTGTTTCCCCTCCCTCTCTTCCTGTAGAGATATTGGTGAGCTGGCTGGGGAGCACTCCAGCCTCCTGGCCTGTGCAAATGATAATTCCCCATGACGTGCCGCTCAGCAGTGAATGCATCCTGTGGGCTAATGACACCGACTGAGCAGCAAAGAACCCACTTAATGATGACCGACGCAGAGCACATCACAGCTGGCCAATGAGTGAGAAGCCCGGGACGGCCTCAGACCGGAGGACCCAGGCACCCCAAAAACATGTCTGGATCACATCAGGGTGCGTTCACTGACTGTGGGTTGGGATCAGCTGACCAACAGAGTGTGAGCGAAGAGGCCAGGGTTCTGCTACGTTCAGGAAGTCTAAAAACAGGGAGAATTTTTCTATTTTTGGGGATTTTTCTTACGCATGAAGCCTTGTTTTAGAGACACTCTGACGGTGATCTCTACTGTTATGACAGAGGTCCTTTCCAGTCACTAACTTGCTACTCTGGCTTGTGTTGAGTGGTTTTTATTACAGGTTAGAGGCACCAGCAAGGGTCTTTAAAAGGACCCCATCTACTGAAATGAAGTGGTATTCAATCATTATTTCTTATATAATTTAAAACAATAGGTAATAAAAATCATTATTTACATGATCAAATAATCTTTTTCTCACTTGTTCAAAAACAATAAGCCCATCACCAGAGCTGCAATGATTAGTCAATCAACAGAAAACTAAATGGCAACTATTTAGATAATCAAATTTAACATTTACTGGTTTTTTAAATGTAAGAACTGAATACTTTTCTGTGTCATATAGTGAATTTAATACATTTGGGTTATGGACTGTTGGTCGGAAAAAAGTAAGACGTTTAAAGACATCACGTTGGGTTCTGGGAAGTTATAAGGGACATTTTTGATTATTTTCTGACATTTTTAGAAACAAAAGTCTTTAATTAATTAATTAATTGAGAAAATAACCGTAAGATGAATCCATAATGAAAATAGCAGCCCTGCCCATCACTATTTCAAGGAGCTCAAGGTGACATATTTTAAGTGTCTCGACCAAGACCCTCAAAATACTGAATTTACAATGATATTAAAAGGAGAAATGCTTAAAATCTTCACTTTTGAGAAGTTGAAACCAGATAATGTTTCAAAAATCATTGTTTGTTGTGCGACTTATCAATTAATTGACTATTTGCTTCAGCTCTAATTATGACTGCTGCTTTGTACGACTGCAATAAATCACTTGGTGCTACATTAAACAGCGATTTAAGACAGCCGTATGGATCTTTATAGCTCAGTGGGCAAATCATGACAATAACTCAGGATTAATGGTCGACTTTGGCAACTTGAAAACACTTGGTCAGCCTAATCACATATTAAATGGGGTCCTGAATGGGGCAACACACACTGTATTTGTGCATTTTCAGGGATAGATGTGTTAGAGAAGCACTGCTGTACTTTTGGGGAAAGGGTAGAAAAACGTTTGCTATGCAGTGGGAGACCCAACAGACACATGTCAGCAAAATAACACAATGGTTCATTGTAAATATTCAGCCTGTGAAGTAACTGCAGAAATTCATGAGTAGGCAACTTGAAGGCCTTGAATTGGCAGGCAATCTTCAGAAAAAAATGTAAGCAGTACATGGCAGGAAATGACAGCTTAACACAGGAGTTAATTATATCATGCCAGATAAGGAAACAGAGACAAGTTCTTAATAATTCATAGACAAAATGAATCCACAGACCAGAGCACATCCACACAGACCAGAATCAGTGCGATAAAGGTCTGAATTCAGTGGGATTTTTACTCAATTACATTCACTCATTTGTCCATAAATAACCATAAACTCATAGTTATTTTGATGTCAGCCCTTTCTTGACACAGTGAGACTGTGGTTCTCATCACAGGCCCGTAAAGGTGCATTTTACAGTAACCGCACCTTCAGCTTCGAGGTAATGACAACATCCTTTGAGTCAACATAAGGACTCGGTTACTGCAGTACCTCCCTTCCACTGATATCATTCACTCCTCGGTTTCTACAAGCCTCAATTCTCACCGTGAGCAATCCTACAGCACTTATAAATCACTTCTGAAGCCACGGCAGGGCACAAACGCAGCCATATTGCTGATTTAACTGCCTATTTACCTTATTTCCGCAATGGGAATGGTGTGTCGTGATGCCCGTAAAAAAAAATGTGGATAAGAAACAATGGCAATCCTGCATCTTTTCAATTCTCACTGTGTCTCAGCAGCCGAATGAGAGGCATAGCAGGGAACTGGCCTTTTACCGGAGGGAAAATCACGCAGGTTGCGTTTAGAGCTTCACCATCATCATCATCATCATCATCGGCAGCAGCAGCAGCAGCAGCAGCAGCAGCAGATGGGGAGGATAAGTGGTCCAGGGTGAATAAGGAGGTTATTTCCTCCGTGATTCACAGCCGCACTCTCACCTTTGATGAATCCACGCGTGTGTCCGCCGACGTTACAGCTGTCCGAGCGATGAGAAACGGCTCGGACGATCCATCATCGTATTTCAAGCTCCTCTCCCGTTTCATTCGACTTCAATCTTGGGAACTGCGGTTGTAGCCGCACACAGAAATGTACAAGCGCCCCGCTCCGCGCGGCATCATCAGCGACCCAGCGGCAGAGGACGGCAGAGCAGAGCGCAAAGCAGGCACGGAGATGCCATGCGCGGCCACCTACTATACTTTACGCTTGTGCGCACGCACGCTGGTTAAAGGCGCACTACTACTATTGCTGCTTGTACTCTGAATGATGATCCTCAAAATAGAGTGGAGGAAAAACAAGAAACGCAGATTAAATTTGATTTAAAGGGATACTCCAGCTGTTTGCTATTGTGCTTTCATAAAGTCAAAAAACAACAATGAACAATCGAAGCAGCAGAGGATGAGATAGCCTGACTTTATAAGTCAAGCTCCAAATACACTGGATCCTACATTTCCCATAATGCAACAAACAAGCGTCTGTGTGGAAGTTTTCCCCCCATTCTGTAGCCTATTCCCATTTCAAATTAAATGTATTGATATCTGCAGTGTTAACATGGAATACTGTAGTGACCCTGCAGGCATATGTTATAGTAACCAGTTTATTGATTTTTTCTCAGCATAAAGAAATCATGTTTTGTCCATCCAGTGAACGGCCCTAAATACAACAGTGAGCCTCAGCCTCCGTTGCCATGGAGAAGAATCCAGTCAGAGTGCATTAGCACATTCAAAACACTTCACAGTTGCTTAAATCATCCAAAAAATACCCAGAATCCAAAAGTGAATGAATTTAAGATGCAGATTTTGTTACTAGTTTTCCCATCAGCATGATCTTTAGCTTCAGATCGCTGTTAGCAGCGAGCAGAGTTTTAAGGTCAGTGATTTGATGTTTCTTGCCAAAAAGGCACCTTGGGAGTCATTAAATTCTCCCCAAAAGTTTTTATGTAGACCAGCTTGTACTTTTGAGTTTATACTTTATCAAAGAAACAGATATTCAAACCCACTTTTGTTAATTTTACTTTTACTAATAATTCAACCTGGAGAGTTTTTAGTGAATCTGCGTTTCAACTGTGAGTCATTAAATATTGGAGTTTTACTTGCATAACCAGAGGCAAACTGATATTAGAACAACCCTGCTTCCTGCTTCTTATCCAGTTTGCAATTCATGCTTTCTGCTGTTAAATCTGAAAGCTTTAAGCCAAATCCGAGACACAATCATAGCGACGAGCAATCAGAATTTCCCCTCTGTGTGTGAGATAAGCACCAGTAAACACAAACAAAATCACTTCTCTTTTCATTATTTATTCATAATAGTCTATAACTTTTGATAAAATACACTTTGTTTACAAGTGCTGATTACTATATTACATTCACCCGGAGTTTAAATGGAGACAAAATGACACAGACATATTAAACAAATTCACCTAGTGATAAACGTGACATTTTAAAATGGTGGGGATTGCCCATGACACTTTCCCCTGCACAGTCAATACTATATGAACTGCTATTCTGAATGCACACACAACAGGTAACTTCAATGACAGTGGGGACTGCTGCCTGACTCAGGTTTCAGTCCTTATTAACAAAGATTTCAGCTGCCTTTTGGGATGATTGAATGTTTTTGTTAATTGTTTTGCAGTGCAGTCTAGTCCCCGACTCTACATGAGTAAATACAGCATCCTAACATCACATTCAACCAAATAAGAACTAAATATTTATTGGGGATAAATCAAATTTGTGTTAACAGAATCAAATACTGGTACGCCAGTTTTAGTGAAATGACTATACTAGGTTAGTGGAAACCGCTCCTGACTCTACAATCTTAAAACCAATTTTCCACAAGACACAACCCCCATTTAATAACAAATACATTTAAAAATGGACTTTGATTAATCCACTGATCTAAAAACGGTGCTTTAAAAACATTTCCTTTTCTTTTCATAAGGTAATGACACAAATGTAGACAGCTAACAGGATACATGTATTAGACAACATCTCTATGGAAAAATATAGACCAATAGATCCATTGAAAAAACCTGGGCCATACAGAATATTGATACCTGGGCAATTTGAATTATAAAAAGTCTGTATGGTGGTCTGTCCAGTCTAGACAAAATCATAGGAAAAAACGGACAGCCAATATATTATTATAGTAAATACCCTGTTGATTTTCAAAAACAATTAGCAAATAGATTTTTTTTTATATTAAAATATATTAATTAAAATATATTACTTTGATTAACTAGTCAGACATTAAAAACAAGTTCTGATTATTTTGTTTTCTTTAAGGTGACTTTGGCATATTACCTTGGAAATAATTGCTATAAAACAGGCCTACTTTGCACTTCCAGGAGATTTCAAAATATAGTTGATGCGTCTTAATTTGCAATCAGCATGAACACCCAAAGAACCTGCTGAGGTAACTCTTCACACTGGCCTTTTTTTTTTTGCATGTTAATATGTGGTAAAATAACTATTTTTACTGTGTTAACATCATCATAACGCAGCTACAACACAGTGTTCACATCACAAATGTGCTGGCCCATCCCTGAACATCACACATATACATTATTGTACATTATATAAACATGATACAGTATTATTTTGTGCTCACAATACTTCATACCACATTTAAATGGTGGATAACGCTCTCAATCCTCTGGAAAAAAGGCCATTTAAAAGTGAAGTGTTACGCCCGCCTGTTAATCAGTGTCATATTGTACCTCCAAATCATTTTGTAAAACTGAAGCATACTATGCTGAATCATTCTGAGATAAAGCATTTAGCGTTTTAGCATAACTTACTGTTCTTCTCTGTTTTTCTTTCCACAGTAAAAATAATTAAGTAATAAACAGCTGGATATGCTGAAGCAAGGTGTGCCACATGAATAAAATAAAATACATTTCTACATCTAGGCATATACCGTAAATGAGCATAATATTTACAGTGAAAAAACAAAATTATCTTCATTTTCTCCCCTTGCCTTGAGTGTTTTTTTTACCGTTTGCCACTGCTGATGTATCTATACAGACATACAAGCATGAGAAAATCCACCTCACGGGACACAATATCTACAAACTGGCTTTTCGGGGAGAAAATGCAGGTTCACACAGTAGGAAGTGACTCTAGACCTTGACCTGGAATGGAAAAGATCTCAATTTGTCAAAAGCAACATATAGGCATTTTTTTTATATATATAAATGAATCTTTCTCCATATATTTTGAATGTAAGTGCTGTACACAGTTACTACCATATATCCAGGTGGTTTCAAGTGCTTCGCTCTGTAACTGCTAGTCAAAAAATGATGTGATGTGCAATCAGTATCATTCAAAATTCCTTTTGTATTCTCTTTCTAAAACTATACATGCTCTTTCTAGTTCTTGAATCTGAGTGTGCTCAGTAATAAATGTACAGTTTTTATATAAAATAGTTACTGTAAGTTGCACTTCCCTGCCATGCGTGCATAAATGCCAAATAGGAGGTACTCTACAACCAATGATTATCATTAGCGCCCTTTTTTTTTTTGCCGTTAACCATAACTGATTAGGCCCAATAATAAAAAGTGTCAGTCTAAAACACAACAACAGTCATTATGTTCTACAAAAATAACAACATTCATTTTCCCTCCTTTTTTAAAAACTACACACACACACATATATATATTTAAAAAAATATATCAAACTAATCCTAGGCGAGTGCAAACATTGCCAGATTTTATATTTGTCACACATCTGACAGACTACTGATTGGATTGAAAACTGATTGACATTTCTACCAAAAAATTGCACAAAACAACGTTCCATAGATGTTGGTGAAACAAAGACCATCCAGTGTAAATCCTTGCCTTTCCAACAGCGACCACATGCTGGTTGTTTTGTCTGGAGCACCGCTAATGTGCTTCTCCCGAGCGCTCTGATTCTGTACTGATTCTGTATGACCTGGCTCTGCTTTGTGCCCCGCTTCAATGCAAATCAAACCATATCCTCTAATTATTATTAATTTCATATCATCGTACAACTAAACATGACACACAGAGTTTCGAGGGGCCGATGCAGTCGTCATGGCAGAAGGCGCCACATCCTTTGCACATGATCATAGCCTTCAGTCGGCAGTAGCATTTAGACTGGACGTCCTCCATGTTGGGGCCCTCGATGAACGTCTGTTCAGGTGAGGGCTCGCCCTGGTTGCCGTGTTCTAACGAGTGACCGGCGGGTATGGTGGTGACAGTCACTGAGAAAGACATGACGCTCCCGTGGACGCCGCCGCTGTCAGCCTCCGATGAGACAGTGGAAGAGCCGGTGCCTGCAGTGCTGTGGTTCAAAGTGTGAGGTACAGACATGCTGATAGTGCCACCGTAGCACGATGCTGCCACGGGTTCCTGATTATCGAGTGTTCTCTGGGGTTGAAAGGCAGACGGCCGCTGGTGACTGGGGTCCACTTGGGTAAGATATGGCTCGGAGTTTCCTTGATTACTATTGCAGAGTTCGAGGTGCCTTCGGTGTGACTGTAAAAAAGGGCTGGTGTCTTTGGCTGTCGCGCTGATGCTGTTGTTATCGGCACCAGCTACACTATCCTCTGATCCAGGCTCAGTCTTTACATTGGACCAATGTTGAACGCTTCCTGCTTCATCAGACTTGGTTATTGAGTATACCTGCTGCTCTGTCTTAACCCCAGAAACAGGAGAGAAGACTTTCCTGACTGGTTCTTCTTCCTTAGCCACCTCCTCTCCTTCTGTGCTTTCCCTTTTTAAATTGGACACAGAAGTGTTTGGGATGGCAGACTGGTGCAGTCTCCTGCTCTCTGGTCCTCTGCCGTATGTGGACACATTCAGCAGGTAATGTCCTGTCATGGCAGGCCTGGGCATCCTCTTACGACCAAGAAATCCAACAGAAATCCTGGATTGGTCCTGACGCTCTTCTGCATGCACCAGCTGATGGACCTTATACTGGGGTTGCTGAGGTCCCATACCGCCGTAAGGTTGGCTCTGCTGCACTTTCCTCTGCATAAGAGCCTGTAGGATCTGCTCCTGAGTCTCCTTATCAGGAAGTTCTCTGTGATGTCTTGCGTATTCTGAGAAAACTCCTGCTCGTCCTGCTGTATTGAACTGGTGGGACATCTGCTTAT